TAGGACAGGATAGAATAGGACAGGATAGAATAGGACAGGATAGAATAGGACAGGATAGAATAGGACAGGATAGAATAGGACAGGATAGAATAGGATAGGACGGGATAGGATAGCACAAGATAGATGATGTACTTGCCCACTGTTCGCAGTCACAAAACAGCATCCAATATTCCCAGACAGTTTGGCGTAGCCCTCGGCCGCCTGCACGGCGGTCGTTTCATGGCGAGTATCGACAATCCGGATGCCGACCTGCTCACAGCCGATGAGGAAGGCGTCGAGGTGGCCGCCGTGCACGCCGAACGAGACTTGCACGCCCAGCTGTTTCAGCGATTGTGCCAGCAGGTCGCCGCCCAGCAGTTCCCGTTTGGCATGGCGCTGCCACTGTAGTTTGTGACTGGAGATGGACATGGATGGGTCTTCTGGCTGAATCGATCACTCTTAATATAATTGGCGCAGGACAAGGCTGAATCGATGACTCTCAATCCAGTTGGCACCGGACAAGTCTCGCCAGGATTCAGATTGCTGGCTGTTCTGGGGGGAAGGGAGGTGCATCCCTGTCTTTTCGGGATTGCCGGTTCCAATATACATACTGTAGGGTAAGTGCTCGAGCACGCTTTGACGCCCTCGGCTTCATCGGTTCCGCCATGACAAGTCAGTCGCGGCGTCGAATCAAAGACAATATACCATTGTACGTACAGTAAGTACACAGTAAGAAAAGTCGACTAATGCGTTGGACAAGTGCGGGGAGGAATGTCACTCACAGATTCATCGCTTAAGCCTAAGCCCCTAATCCTAAGCCCTCGGCAGTCCGGCTCAATCGGCTGTTTCTAGAGATACTGTACAGTACATACAGACTACAGTCTCTGCTCGACTGGAGCCTTGTAACTCTGCACTCTGCCTCTTCACACTTAGGGGCAACAAGGGGGTGTGGTAGGAAGGCCATGAGCAAGACTGGGAATGGCCTTTCATCTCGATTTAGCTACTGTATAGCATTCCTCACCCCAACCAGACCTCAGATGCGGGACATGTAATCAATCTGTCTACCTTCCCTGCTGCTGCCTGGTCAATACCGCGTCCTGAGCATTCTTCTCTAAGAGACAGTCGGACATGTACGGATACAGTGTCTCGTCAAGCAGGACTTGTTGATCTGCTGCTCGATGAGTGGGATGCGAACCGCTCTCGGAGACATTTCAGGTTACAGCATCCATTGGCTGTGACTTGATCTCCTTTGACACTCCTTATTGTCAAAGGTTGAAATGTTCCATATTCGCTATCAAAGGGGTATAGGGGGAGCCTAGACTATATAGGTGTGCCTATACCAGCCTTCCAGTCAAAGGATAAGACTGGGAATGCCTAAAGTTAGTGCCTAAGTTTGACACTTATGCCTTGGCCAGACACTCGGGTTTGGGAGTGACCAGGATCTTGACGTGGTCGTCTTTGTGGTTGACGAGCTCCTCAAACCCTTTCGTCACCACATCATCCAGCAAGATCCGGCTGGTGATCATCTGCTCCGCGCCCTTGAACTTGCCTGAGGACCGGATGGTCAACATCTCCGATCAGACGAAAAGGTTGAACTCGAGTGACTACTTGGCAGGTATTACTCACCGGCGACGAATTCCTCCACCACCTCCCGGAAGTCTTCGTCGGTGTAGGCCATGGCCACTCTTAAGACGAGTTCCTTCATCATGAAGAGCCCCATCGGAACAACGAACTGGGACAGGACAGACCGAGGTCAGTAGTGGCATGCAGACCCGACCAAGAGCGGGGGGTCGAGCATAAATCATAACTGAATGGCATCTGTTCAGCTTACCGGCTCCTCCCACCCAGCCACGTTGACATAGGTCCCCCCCGCCCTCAGCGCATCCATGCCGTCTACCAAGCCTGGGGCGATGCCAGCACAGTCAAAGACCAGATCGACGCCTTTGCCGTCCGTGAGTTCGCGGCACCGGTCCCCAACTTTGATTTGGAGAGGGTTGAAGACCTCATCGGCCAGGACGGCCGTGTGTTTCTGACGTTTCTGCGTCGGCTCCGACACGAAGATGCGCTTCACACCCCGGGCGCGCAGGTTGAAGATGATGGCCAAGCCGACCGGCCCGCCCCCAAGGATGAGAATGGTGAGATGGTCGAACGACGGCACACCCGCCGACTTGAGCGCGTGCCTGGCCACCACCAGTGGTTCGATCAAGGCGGCATGCGACAGCGGGATCGAGTCGGGCAGAACATGGCACATTTCCTCCTCGACCGCGACCGCTTCGGAAAAGCCGCCGCCCAGGCCTGAGAGGCCGAGGAATGCCCACTGCGTGCAAATGTTGGTCTGGGCGGACTGGCAGCGATGGCAGGTCTTGCAATACAGTCGGGGGTCGACCATGACCGCCTGGCCCGGCTGCAGCTTGCTGCCCGCACTCACTTCCCGCACTCGCCCGCAAAACTCGTGGCCCATGACGACCGGCAGGTGCTCGCCCGTCAATGAGTGCGGATGGCCTTCGGTCGGGATGGCTCTCGGCCCTGTTGGGAGAGGTTAAGTTCAGTTTAGTTCAGTTCATTCGGTTTATTCAGTTCAGTCCCGTTTGGGGGCGGGGGCGTAGGCTTCAGAGTCAGGAGTCAGGAGGGACGTGCCAGCAAGGTATTCATGCAGATCTGATCCGCAGATTCCACACCATTCAATGTCCACTAGAATCTGGCCGGGCTTGACTTGGGGCAGCGAGACACCATCGTCGACTCGGATGTCACGCTGTCCATAGAACCGTGCGGCCTTCATGCTGATGGCCCAGCACCGAAAGCGGTGTCTGGTGTGGTGTTTCTGAGTAAAAGTGATATCAGAGCTGGTTACTTTGGCCTACCTTTGGATTAGTAGTCTCAGAGAGCAGCCGACAACAATGGCTGCCCGGAGGTTCTTATCCTGATCACTATCGACGTGGAGATGGAGATCGATGAGGAGTCGGACCGATTCACCTGGGGTAGACAGGATAGAGGGACACATGGTGTCATTCAATTCTGACTCGACACGCTCGCCAGAATACAGTACATTACCAGTACGGGATCCTGGACGGATATGTACGGGAGCCGTGGTGGCAGGGTAGTCATATGGTACGGTCAGAGGTGTGGCCAGGTTAGGGTTAGGGTTAGGGTTAGGGTTATGGCTTTCTGTACGGGTACGGGATACGGGACAACATCACACAACTGACCACGCCACGAGACGGATACATGGCAGGAGGGCTCAGGAGGCCCTGGACAAATAATGTGCAGAGTACAGTACACTCCATGTTATGGAAGCCTGTCGACTCGGTCATGCTCGGTCATGACGCACTCAGTGCTCTGGTCTGTCTGCCTTTGCCTCGGCATATAAGATGACTGGCTGCCCCGGCCTCCTAAGCTTGGGGTCTCGGACCATCCGGGGTCCCCGTACTTCGTACAGTACAGTACAGTCTGTGGTTTTCCCCAGGTTGACTTTGTCCTGTGAGAGCGAGAGCTAGACAGCACTCCGTCCTCCATCCATCTCTGTGTGTGGATTTCTCCCACGGCTCACACTCATCGAATTCAGCCATGGCTGACCCTCAACCTGACCCCTCGCGGCTATCTCAAACTCGGCACCGCTGGGGCACCAAGCGACGGTCGGCGGTGGCGTGTCTCTGCTGCCGGGCCCGAAAAGTGCGTTGTGATGTGTCGAACCGAGGGCGGCCCTGCACCAACTGCTCGATCGACCGACAAATATGCTCGATCCAGCCCCGACCGAAACGATAGTAAGCCTTGTCCTCCTCCTCCCCTTGCAGCCTTCTCTCTGCACAAGGCCCAAGGCCCGAAACAGAAAGCATGGTGCACTAACCGTGGTGATGCACGGCTTAGTGGTGTTTCCAAGAAACATGCCGCCTCTGGCACTGGCAATTCGTCGTCTACGGCCACCGACGTCGTCGAAGCTGACCCCGCAGACCCGCCATCGGGCTCGCTGCCGACCACGGCGGAGGCTGACATGGACCGCGGAAGAGCGACTACTGGCGATGCCGCCTTCAATCCAGACGCATGGCTCGAGGATGACGCCGACGGGACTGGGCCTGCCACGCACCCTCACACCCAGGACGCTTTCCTCCCGAGCCCCAGCTTTCTTTCGGTCGACGCGCTGGATGTCGATGCATCATTCGATCTGAGCCACAGTCGCTGGACCGGGATGGCGCCAAGTGTGGACGAGGCCACGCAGCAGCAGAACAGCGACGCCAACTACGCCATTGATCCCGCCAAACTCCTGACGCCGAGTGTGACTACAGACATGGCTGACCTCCAGGTCCCTCTCCCTCTCCCGGAGTCGTCTGCCGCACAGGCTCAGGCCAGCTTCGACCCCGGCAGGTTTGTCATCTGTTCCTACTACTCGTTCATTGAAGGGGACTTCCTGGCGGAGCTGCCGGCCGAAACCATGCAGTTTCTGGAGACGAAGCACTGTCTTCACCTCCCCACCCCCGGGATCCTGAATGAATTCGTGCGCCAATATTTCCTCCATGTCCATCCCAACATTCCCATGCTCGACGAAGGAGACTTCTGGGACATGTATAGCCGACGTGGAAGGGGTCGAGACCCGGGACGAGGCATTTCTCTGTTCCTGCTCCAAGCCATGATCTTTGCATCGTCCAGCGTAAGTCGGCTGAACTGAAACGCCCGAATTTCCCTCTCGGCCGTTGATGAGTGGGAATCATCTCCTGACAAAATCTCCAGTTTGTCTCCAGCGAGACGCTGCGACGCCTCGGTCTCCGCAGCACCCGCGAGGCGCGCACCCGGTTCTACCATGCGGCCAAGGTAGGTTGGGATGCCATGTCCAGCCCAATGAGTACTCTGTGCTGACTCCCCCCTCCAGACTCTGTATCAGCACGACGACAGCAATGACCCCGTCACCACTGCCCAGGCCCTCCTCCTGCTCAGCTACCAAACGTCGCCGAGGCGGATGCGAGCCAACAGCTACTGGCTGGCTCTCTCGATCCATTCTGCCCGAGAAGCTGGCGCCGACTGCTACCAGGACCAGAACCATTCGCCGGCCCGGCGTCGGACCCTCAAGCGGCTCTGGTGGTCCTGTATCCTGCGCGACCGCGTGGTGTCTCTCGGGGTCCGGCGGCCCCTGATGCTCAGCGCCCATGACTTCGACTTCAGTCTGCCGTGCCTGGAGCCGGAGGATTTCGACAACGACCTCGGCCGGTCGCGGGTGGTCGACGCCGTCACCCAGCACGCCCTGCTGACCATCATCGTCGCTAAGTGCAAGCTGGCCCTGGCCCTGACGGATCTGCTCATGTTGGTCTTGCCTCGCAAAGCTCCCTTTGCGCCCCAATGCGAGGCTGAGGCCCGTCGCTGTCTCGCCCGCATGGATCAATGTGGCGCCCTCCTGGACAGCTGGTACCAGGACTCGGGGCGCGATTTGAACCAGCTCAAGGCCACGGCGAAGGGTAGGGAAAGCCAATCCCAGACCCAACCCCAGACCCGCCATCCGTCCCTGACGTTGCACGTCAACGTGACATTCATCTACTATCAGTACGTACCTCCCTACCTGTCCCGTTCCTAGGCCAAGCTAGCATTGGCAGCATGGTGGCAGTATGGTTGCATCTGCATCAGGATATGTACAGTATCTGTATATGTCCCTAATCTGACATGGCTCATGGTGTTTCTGTCGGCAGGTCGGCCCGCATGGCCCTCTACCACTTCGGCGTCCTCGCCATCGCCTCGTCTTACCATGACTATGGCTCTCACTCTCAGTGGAAACGCATCGCCGAGTGCAAGACCAAGTTGCAGGTGGCCGCTCAGGGGATTACGGGCAACCTTCGAGAATTGCTGCAATGCAACCTCCTCCAGTATCTTCCGATCAGCATGTGCGTACTATACACTCCCCATCTTTCCCCTCCTTCCCTCGAATCTCATACAGCCAAAGCTTGAATTGGATCATATCATCGACGGCTTGCACCCTCTTCTGCACCCTTGTTCCCTCCTTCACCCTCTCTGCACCCTCGTTCTCTTCGCCCGATGATATAATCCGATCCACGATTTGCTGCATGAGAGAGTATGAGTATGACTGATGACTGACACACTCATAACCCAACAGCGTCGCCTATGCCACATTCCCGCTCGTCCTCCACGTGCTCGACACCAAGCTGCCTACGTCCAGTGGTCAGAATCAAGCCAAGCAGACCGGCCTGGCCGTCTACACGCGGCTGATGAAGGTATTCGAGAAGTCGTACGATGGCACCGACCTCGTGCTTGCATCGGTCTCCACAATCGTGAGCCACATCAAGCTGAACGACGTGACGAAGTCGTTGGAAGTGTGTCTGGACCCAGACAAGGCCGGTGGTGGAAGGAAGACGTCGTCTCGTCGCAATCAACCCCGCCACCATCTTGCGTCACACTCGCACTCACAGTCACAGTCACACTCACAGTCACACTCACAGTCACACTCACACTCACAGTCACACTCACAGTCATATTCACAGTCATATTCACACTCACCGTCGCCCTCCACACACGACTCGCCCGCCCTCACCCTCTCTTCCAGCAGCTACGATTGGGGCGACGTTCTGCTCCGCCAGCCGGTATGCTACATGCGGCTCGCGCTCACCATCGACATCTTTTTGAGTACTGGCCGTCTTCCGCACGACACGGAACTTCCGTCGGCACTGCGGTCGCGCCACCAAGACACGGACACGGGATTTCCATTCTACCCCATTAGTCTGGAGCCCTCACTCTCGCAGATCCAGACGGCCAACGACACCGACAATAGTGGCAACAAAAACAAGGCCTGCTGGGAGACTGGGGCGGAAACTGAACCTGTAGAGCGAGCCAGTCAAACTACTCATCATCATGATGGTATAACGGGATCCCAGCCGAATCACAAGTATGGTCTAGTCTAGCATGTTTGATCACACCCATCCTCCTCCAAGATTTGATATCCCCCATATTCTACTGTCCGAGATCTATTCATATTCCCCATATTCTACCGTCCAAGATTCTTTCATTCCCCATATTCTACTGTCCGAGATCTATTCATATCCCCCATATTTTACTGTCTAAGTCATAATACTCATCCATCCTTCATCTTAGTGTCTCGGACAACGGCCAGCTGCTTTCGACACCGACACCGACGCCGACGCTGACCCCGACACTGGCCCAGCCACAACCACAGTCCCAGGCCCAGGTCCCCCCAAATACCAGTGTCGAGATCGACTATGACATGTTCGAAGCCTTGCTTCTGGGCTATGAATTTGAATCCTCCGCTCTCCAGTCTTCCGAGTAGATGCCCTGGTCTGGCATGACGTTGGTCCAGAGGATTGTGTTCGATGACATGACGATGGTCCAGAGGAGTGTGTGCGGTGACAGCTGCCGGTCACTCACTAGGGAAGAGATGGGCCTCTCACCTACAACCACAGAGAAGTACAGTACAATCAATACTCACCTACAACCACAATACAAGTACAATGTATCCATATATACGCAGACACAGTATTAATCACTGACGTCGCCTCGGAAATCAGATGGCGACAACCGAAATCGGCAACGGCTATATCTCCGTTACTATGTACTATACCCGTCCCGCCAGCTCGAGTTCGGACTCTATTTCCGTCGAAAGACGATTGACTCTCGTTGATCTGAAGAAGTGATAACTTGCAGTTCGCCGAACACGATGTCAATTCCAGTTCCCTATAAAGAAAGAAGTAAAGGGATCTTAGTGTAGAAACCGGCAACCTCTAGCACCAGTACCAACACTACCTGGTAGTTGCGGTTCTGTCCTTCGTGTACAGACGCAGTGCAGTGGCAGTATCTGTATCTGGATTGAGCCTGGCTGACGTATTCCCGGGGTAGTACTCCTGTAAGTACTGTACCCCGGTCTACAGTACACGGACAGGGAGTGTTTGGAGTAGGCAGAATTGGGCCATGGCCTTGGAATTCTGTACATTATACTCTATATACTCCGTGCTCCATAATCTCCGTCTGCGGACGCATTCGCCCTTCGGGCTCAGAACTTAGCGTGCCATGGCAATACGGAAGGATCTCCGTCAGAGACAGTGGCACTCACTTTCAGGATGATGAGTTCGCTCGGAGGGGTTGACTGTATTTACTTTCGGCAACACGGGCCGGACGAGGGCCAACCCTCCCGCCCGGCTGTGGAACCAACTACGGCGGGGAACTGCTAACCCTACGTAGGTATGTATGTAGACAGACGTCTCTACCAGGTGATATGTAGATATGTCGGGCAAAAGGTCATAGTTAATTACTACTTAGATATGACCAAGGGCCCAGACGTACTCACTTCCCCGCTAGAGGGTCTGTTCACGTTTCCTTTCCCTTCTTTTTATCCAAGTTCCCTTTCATTTCTTCTCTGTTCAAGTTCCTTTCCCTTCCCTTCCTCTATACGAGACAGGCGCCCTGCACGACCAACTACATATATACCACAGGCACTCCTCAGTACAGTGCTCCCTCCACATCGTACCTTAAGTACTTACCATGGGCCTCCCTCCTACGAAGCCCAAATCAGTGCCGGCGCCGGTCCCGGACAAGCACAACCTCAGAGCCTCGACAACTCTCCCTCCCACCCCCCCTCGGCACCACGCATGGCTACGGCTATCGCTGCAAATCGCCGCCTACCTGGCCTGTTCGACTGCGGCCTACTACGGCATGTGGATTCGACCGGCCCGCTACTACGGGCTAGGCGGGCATTTCGCCAGCACGTTGACCAGCGGCAAATTCCCCGACCATCCTGACGCCTTTTCCCTCAAGAGACGGTACATTGGTGTGGCATTTGTCGACGATACCTTGACCTTCCTCGACGTGGCGTTCATGCCGGGTATTGCGCGATGGCACAGCGCGTTTGGCTTCTTGCAGCTGTACTTCCTGGGAGGACTGTTGCAGCCTATTGCCATTTGGGCCGTCGAATCGGTGAGGAGACGCAATGAGATGGCCTTGATTAGTTTGTATGTTTGATCCTGGTATTTCTTTCTCTTTCCGTCACTCGAGTTTTGTCTGTCTGATGTACTATATGTACATGTACATGTACATCCTGTGGGATCTGTCCCTATATTGTTCTCCATATCTACACCTTCTCTACTACACCTTCTCTACTACACCTTCTCTACTACACCTTTCTCTCTGGTCCTCCGTATTGAACCACACCCCTGCAAGACCAAACCAAAACTGACAGTTGCCATTACAAACCCAGCATCGGCGTCTGGTCGTACATCTATCAAACCAACGGCATCGCCGTCATCATGCCCCTATATTTCATCGCCTACACCTACCTCTCCAACGGCGAATCCTACTGGGGGCCGCCGCCTTCCCTTTCCAGCGAGGTGCCCCTGAAATACGCCAAAGTCCTACTCCCCGCCATCCTCCTGGGCTACGCGCTCCCCACGCTCCTGATGTTCTGGCCGTTCTGGACCGATCCCGATACCGTGCAGAACCTGACGGCATTTTGGCAGCCGAGCCCCTGCTACGTTCAGGTACTGTTGGTGGTGTTGGGGGGTGGGTATGACTTGAAGAATATCTATCAGCAACACCAACAAAAATCTTCCCCTTCCACCGGCGCAAACTCGACCTCCCTCAACAGAGCGAAAGACAACCCAGGAGAGAAAGACTCGGCATACCCGTACCTCAAGGCCGTCTATAGCTGCACGTTCGTCGTCGGACTCGTGCTTCACGTCTCCTGCATCGCCTACTTGACTCTCGTCTCGCCCGATCCCGAATTGACGCTGAAATCCGTCTTCTGGCCCGACTGGTCGGCGACCCCGAAGCCACACGGGGAAGGGCTGAGGAATATGTGGCTGGTGGACTTTTACGTCTTCGATGTCGCCTGTGTCATCTGGTGCTGCTTTGCTGTCTGGGATTTGAAGAGCGTGGGCCGATTGACGCCTGGAGAAGAGAGCTTCGGCGTCGCCAGAGCGTCGCTGCTCATCCTGTTGGCGCAGTTGGTGGTCGGTCCTGGCGCGGCCATGAGCGCCGTGTGGTACTGGAGGGAGATCGCTCTTTCGAGGACTTTGGTTCGGAGAAAGTAAACGTTACTGGAGTACTGTAGTGTCGTGGTCGTGGTCGTGGTCGTGGTCGTGGTCATTGTAGTTGCGCCAGCCAGGCTGGATCTGGGTCAGTGGGAGTATTCGGTACTTTGGTAAGAACGGAATGCTGGCATGGTGTGGCTTGATATACGTATATGTAGCTAGGGGAACTGTAAAGGATGAAGAGTGAAGGGTAAAAGGTGAAGGGTGAACGGGAGATTGCTTGCATAGGAGATAAGCGAGAAGAGCAGAGCCTAAAGGCGTTCATGTTCAAGAGGAAAGCTAGCTGCCTCGAGACCAAGACGGCTGGCCCCAATCGATGGAGAGAGAGCGTTGACATGACAGAATCTCCATATCAGGAAGTAGGTTAGGCCAGGGCCACAGGTAAGGGGGTGACTATAGTACTGATGTTATGCTATATACATGTATACATACATAGCATTCTGTATTCATCAACATCAACATCAACGTCAAGGCTTGATCTGGCAGAAGAGAAAGATCAACACCAACATCAACATCAAGGCTTGATCAGGCAGAAGAGAAGGAAGAGTCGACGGACCTATGACATGTACAGTCTTGCAGTCAGTCAACTGATCTATATCTATACCACCGTTCCCGTCTTACTGGAGTTACAGCCGGTGAGTTGAGTTGTGGAATATAGTTGCGATGTTGGTGTTGGTGTTGTGTTGTCGTTGTCGTCTGTTTTCCCGCTCTACTGATATTGCTCTCTCAGGTGTGGGCAGGACTCGCTTGACTGCTGAACTGTCCTACCCAGGCACCACGAGGCAGTGCTTAGGAACGCGCAGGAGACAGCTAGAACCCTGACAGCTAGACCCCTGACAGCCAGCTAGCTAGCTAGAGCCTTGTCGTTGTTTCACCTGTCACGATAGGTCTGTCATGTATATCCGTATATCCGACCTAAACGGCTGTTATGTAGTCAGCAGGCTCAGGCTCAGACTGGCGGACACAAGGCTGTGCTGTGCATAACCGGAGTCCCGCGGGTCGAGTGAATCACTGTATACGTTGGTCGGAAACCTGTCCACCGGGTCTGCGGACCGAACATGCATGCCATGCTGCCCGGATGCAGAAGATGTTGGGTTTGACTTCTACTCCAGTGCATGTAGCCTCGAGCTCGAGGGTCATTTAGCTACTGACGGACTCGTGACCGAGAGGGTATCGGGAATCTTGATCCTACCAACCTTGACCCTACCAGATTGTGTGAGGTGAGGTGTACAACCCAACCCCTGGATTTAATAACATGGCGATATAAACAACAGCTGATTGATATGAGTGTCCGTCTTAGTCTCGGAGAAAGATCAAGATAAGTATCTGGGGCAAACCCAAGCGGAGAGAGAACCTTGACCTTTCGGCCGGTCGGTCCGAGATGTTTGTCAGCTACCCTCCGGTAGGATCAGTTACATTCTTGGAGAAATTACTTACAGTACAATATTACTACGTACTGATAATCAGTCACTCACACTGGCTTAGGCTAAGGCTCACAATCAGTCACTCCCACAGAGTCTCGGCCTCACGCACCATCGATAGATACTACATTAGTACCAAATATCTTCACCGCCGATACCACCGCCACAGATGTCTTGGCTTGTTTAGATTTCGCGTGATGGGTTCGGCGGGGAACGTCTAACCCTAGACGTAGAGCCGAGGGAGGGACAGACAGCCTCCCCCTGTACTTGTGGACCCTCATCCATGTGGACACTATACACTATACATACAGTACTTAGGAATAGACTATAGAGTACGGAGTACAGAGTACGTACTAGTGTCTCCGAGCTAGACTAGACCTGCTGCTATGGCATAGCCGAACACATGAGGTCTTAGGGTCTGGGGGCTTAGGCCTCCTTAGCCCTTAGTCCCCCCGGAAAGCCGAGGAATTCACTTCATTGCTGGACCGGACCCCATGGGGCACAACTCTCACGTCGGGGGATGGTGATCACTCTAGAGGAGGCGGGCTACTTGTGAGCCAGCCCATCCCTAGCCACGCCGAATCTTTCTGTACTAGCTAGATGCTGTTTTAAGCATGATGCTGACGGTGATGCTGATGCTTATGTTGATCCTGGTCCTGGTCGTGGTCGCGGTCGTGTGATAAGGACAAACCCCAAACCGCCAATCCCAACCCCCAACTATAGATACATTCTTGTCTTTCAGTATTGAAGAACCCTGTATGTACATACTGTACTGGTTGGCAACAGGACTTCTGAGAGAAGAGGGTCGCCCATCTGTCGTACTGTACATACAGTCCAGCGTGTTGTTCCACAGCTCGGTGCGGTGAACCTTCACTTCCCTTCAGATCAGATCACTCTCCTTCCCTTTAGATCAGATCGCTCTCCTTCCCTCTGGATCGGATCGCTCTTACATCCACAATGCTGTTTGACTCGCTGCCCACAGCAGGCCTGAGCCCTGCTACAGTGGCAGTGGTAGCCATTGTCTTCCTCGTCGGCATATACCGCCTGCTTCAAGTCGGCAAACGGGACCCTCGCCTGCCGCCCGGACCGCCGACCATCCCGATCCTTGGAAATCTGCATCAAGTGCCTATCACCGGTCTTCACAAGCAGTAAGAGCACGCTCCTTCCTGGACCTGAAATGCTGAAAGAGAAGGGAACCGTCAGGGTTGGAATCGAAAGCTAACTTGTCGGTCGCCCCTTAAGATTCCGTACCTGGGCCGAAGAATATGGACCGGTGTACTCGCTCAAATTCGGCCCTTCGACCGTCATCGTGCTCTGTAGCAGGGAGTCGGTGCACCAGCTTCTCGACAAGAAGGGGGCGATCTATTCCGACCGTCCGTCCCTCTACATCGGGGACATGCTCACGAAAGGAGACCACATGGCCCTGACGCCGGCCAACACTGTCTGGAGAGAAAAACGCAAGATTGTCACGCACAATTTCTCCCCCAAGATGTTGGACGAGAAGCACTTCCGCATCCAAGAGGCCGAGTAAGTGGCCAAGCCCAAAACCGTCTTGTGATTTTTCCCCCCTGCATGTCGACCGACCGGTCGCTCAAGATATCTCGACGACTCAAGACTCGGGTCGGGGTTCATCTGTCCTCTGGGTTAAGCGGCGTATTGTATTTGTATGCGCGTCGACTGACTCCGTGTTCTTTCTTCGGGCACACAGGGCAACGGTGTTGATGAACGATCTCCTGGCCAAACCGGACGACTTCATCAAACATGTGCGGCGGTACACCGCTTCAGTGGCGAATTGCATCATCTATGGCCAGCGAGCAGCCACGTATGAGAGCTTCTGGGGCCATGTGAGTTGCTCGTCTCCCTCTTCCGTGGGATGGATGTGATATAGATATAACGCTGTGGTCTATGCTGGGCTGGGCTGACTGAATTCATTCGTTACAGACCGTGTATGAAGTCATGGAAAAGGTGAGTAGGGAGGGTGGAATCTTCTTTCTGTCCCACCTGAGCCGCAGAGGTTGCTGACCGTACTGGGGGGCAATAGTGGTCAGAAGCCATGGAACCCGGGGCCAATCCGCCGGTCGACATCTTCCCGTTCATTCGCTATATCCCGGAAAGCATGGCTTTCTGGAAACGTCGGGCTCTGGACGCTGGTAAGACCATGGACGACGCATGGCGCGAAGGTCGAGAGCGTGTCGAGCGACGTAGGGCACGGGGGATCAAGCGTGACAGCATTGTCGATGCCTGTCTGGACGAATATAAAGAAAAAGGGATGCCGTTCAGCCAGCACGCTTTTGACAATCTCATGGGCGAGATCTTGGAAGGTGCCGCTGACACGACTGCGTCGCAGCTCTGTACCTTGATCATGGCCTTTACCGTCTACCCGGAAGTGCAGGAAAAGGCCCGGGAGGAGATCGATCGAGTGTGTGGCTCGGAGAGGGCCCCTGGATGGAGCGACTTCAAGGATCTGCCTTATATCAATGCCATCGTCAAGGAGGGTATGCGCTGGCGACCAACGTAAGTACCCCTAAGCCCAAGCTCAAGCCTGAGCCTACGCAGATGGCAGATGGCAGATGGCAGGTTTTGGCAATCTGATTGTGACAACCGGCGGTGATGACGATCCTGCAGTTGTTAGAAACATGAGGTGACTGACTGACTGACCCTTGACTTTGACTACCTAGATCCGCCACCGCATTGCCACACTATCTCAGAGAAGGTCAGTACCACTACCACCACTTAGCCTTTGGTTGAAGTCCCCCTTCGACGTGCTGAACGGTCCCCATGACTAACCCGGATGTTCTGTCCGTTTTTCTAGACGACTGGTATAACGGCATGCTCATACCGAAAGGATCAACCGTCTTCCTGCCCGTGTGGGCGGTGCATCACTCCGAGGGCATCTACGAGGATGCCGAAAGGTTCAACCCAGACCGGTACGCCGGAATGACCAAGCTGGCCAACGACTACGCCGGGAGTCCGGACTATGAGAAGCGCGACCACTACGGATATGGTGCAGGACGCCGTATCTGCCCGGGGATCCATCTGGCAGAAAGAAACATGTGGCGGATCGCGGCCAAGTTGCTGTGGGCGTTCGAGTTCCATCCGGTCATCGATCAAGCCACTGGCAAGCCTGTGCCGATCGATACGGAGGCTTATACGCCTGGCATTGCACAGTTTCCATTGCCGTTCGCCGTCGACATCAAATGTCGCAGTGAGAGGCACCGTCTGCAGATCACGAAGGAACTCGACGACGCTCTAGCCCTCGTCCAACAGTTTGAATAGAAGGACTGAGGCATCACTTTCACTGCCGAGATCTGATCTGATCGGCTGGGAGTAATGTTCAATGCTTGATTGACGTCGACTCTGCATGAGACGGAGGATGTGGAGGAGAGTTGAGAGTTGTTGGCTGTTGGTTGTTGGTTGTTGGTTGTTGGTTGTTGGTTGTTGGTTGTTGGTTGGTGGTGGTATTAAGCATGCAGTGCACGTGCACCGAGTCACGTGTCGAGTTGCCGTTGCGGTCACGTGAGCGTGTAAGTCACCTGACTGCTGTTTGCCAAGCCTGCTTCGGACATTGCTTGTGTCCCACCGTACAGAATACAGAACACAGAATACAGAATGTATCATCTATCCTCTCCCTTCTATTTCTCTGTAGTCCTTACTACTCCATACAGTCGAGTCCCCTCCAGGGAAGAGGCTGCTGATTGTCAGCCTGATTGTCAGTGGTCGGTTGCCCTGAACTGACGGCTAATGTCTTTTCATAGGCTAGTGGTGCCGTGGATTACCCTGCACCTCACACGGGCACGAGATGGGTCTAGCCGAGAGTACGGAGTACAGTATCCCTCCCTACATTTCAAGAGTACACATGTACGGAGTACACCTATACAGCCGATTCCTGACCCCCGCCACGCTCCGGACTCGGGTCGGCTTGGATGTCGGCGACCCCAAATGTTCGATCCGACCCCTTGGAGACATCTGTTGCTGCCTAAGCCGCGCTTCTCAATGATACGACTGTACAGCGTACGGTGTACAGTGTACAGTCCTGTACCTGCCGGGCTAACTCTTCGACGGGCCAATTCTTTCCTATCTCCTATCTGGACCCTGACCCTAAAGCGGCGACGCGGACCGAAGAACGCGCCTCTTCAGTCCTCACTCAGTACTGAGTACGGAGTCGAACTGACGGAATCCAGTGTACACTGTACAGAGGTGTAGTACTACTACTACAGAGTACGGAGTACAGTACGTACATAATATTTCTCTGTCCGCACAAGACCGGCGGCTATCGGCCCAAATGGGTACCACCCCCACCGGCATTGACATCAAGAAGCCCGCACATAACCGGACTAGGACTAGGACCTCGTGCCGCTACGCTGGCTGAGCACCCTTGCCGACGATGTCTATACCCATGCCCTCTTTCTTCCACCTATAACCACCCTTCCTCTTCTGACGCTTCGTACTCTATTGTTCCCCTCCATTCCGCCTGAAGTGGTCGTGTCGGCACCGGTTTGTCCTAGAGATCCCAAATCGAAATTCAAATCCAGTACCTACAGCACCATTTAACACCCACAGCAACGCAACCATGGTGCACACGTTCCCCGGACGATTCAACGGCAAGGTGGTGGCCATCACGGGCGGCGCGTCAGGCATGGGCGCGGCCATGGTGGCGCGCTACGTGGCCGAAGGAGCCAAAGTGCTGGTGGCCGACATGTGCGCGGAGGACAAAGGGCAGGCGCAAGCGGCGCTGTATCCCAAGGGGTCGGTGTACTTCCACCGGGTCGACATCTCGGACGCGGCCCAGGCGACGTCGGTGGTGACGGAGACGATCAAGCAATTTGGCGACATCGACATCGTGCACAACAACGCGTCGGCCGTGGTCTGGGGCCCCGTGGACGAGATGGAGCCGAGTCAATGGGACCGCTGCTTCAAGGTCGGCATCGACGCGCCCTTCTACATCACCCGCGCCGTGGTGCCGCACTTCAAGAAGAAGAAGGCCGGCTCCATCATCAGCACCATCTCGACCGCCGGCCTGACCGGCGACAAGGGCTTCGCCTGCTACTGCGCCGTCAAAGCCGCCCTGGCTAACCTGACCCGCGCCATGGCCGGCGACTACGCCCCCTACGGCATCCGCGTCAATGCCGTCGCCCCCGGCTGGACCGACACCGCCATGGCCGCCGCACTCAAAGCCACCCCGGAAATCAGGGAAATGGTCGCCTCGAGCACCCCCCTGCATCGGCCTGGTACCCCGGAAGAGCTCGCCGCCGTCATGATGTTTCTCGCATCCGAGGATGCCTCGTTTGTCACTGGGGCCGGTAAGTCCAAGTCCGTGATCCATGGGCTGATTAGATTGGGTTCCCATCCTCTACGAAACCAACTCAACCCAACCTAATTCAGCCCAACTCAACCCAACCCAACCTAATCCGAACCTTGACTTGTGTTTCAAACATGTTTGTTTTTTATCCCCTCCCCGACCGGTTCATGGCTGATGGTTGCTCCTTTTTCCCCGTCTAGTCTGGAACGTTGATGGAGGTCTGCTGGCAAACAGCCGTATGCCGTCCCTAGATGAAGTCCACAATGTGAGTGTGATCTGTCCGTCGTCGAGTTCCAATCATTATGCACTGCTAGTACCCAGCGATTTCGAGCAACCACACTGACATGTTTGGGTCTCCTGTACAGGCTGGAAACCAAGGGAAAGAACTATTATACTAGGTTTAGCGACAATCCAATCAACAATTATACTACTAGGTTTAGCGACAATCCAATCGATTTTCCGTGCCATTGGCATTGCTATTGCCGTTGCCGTTGCCGCTGCCACATAATCATTTCCACCTCCCGAGCGTCTTGTCTGGTCTACCGTCTGTCTTATGTTCTTTTGCACATGTGTTCTGAGCCTCTATGCGTAAGTGATTGTTTCTTGATATTGAAAGCTAGCTCCGAGATGTTTTCTATGTTTATCTAGCCCGAACGATTCCTTTTCTGCGTTTATCTAACCGAACGTTTCCTGGTCCCATGCCTTGCCAGAGAGCTTCCTGCCGTGTATGTGTGTCAGGCCCTCTGTTGTCTCGACAAGAACAATGTTATGTCCATCTCTGTCGTTCACATTGTGGTCGCGAAGGGATGTGGAAGGGAAGCCCCTAACATGGGTGCAGTTGAAAGCGATGCGGAAGGGGAGCACATGACATGCGTGCAGTTGAAAGACGCAGTTGGCAGGTGGCAGGTAGCAGGGAACAGCGATGTGATTATCAAATTAGACCAGGTCCAGGCGTCAAAATGATGGCCCATGGGTTGAAGTATCCTCAAGCCCAGACTCAGACTATCCCGGATGTCCACTCTCTATTGATCGCTGTCTACAGAGTACATCACACATCCCACCACGTTCTTTGTCGTATCCTCTTCAATCGCCAGCACAATCAGAAGACGTGTTTTTGTCCTACTCGACAGACTTCCCCACGATCAACTCCTCGTAACCGTACATGATATCCAAGGGATGCTGGCAAAACTTCTCCTCATCCGCTATTAAGATGAGAAAAAGGAGTTAGTCTCTAGACGAGCATGGAGGGGGTACTGGGTACTGGTACTGGAGGGGATATTGGGACTTGTACTGGAGGGAGTACTGGTATTGGTACTGTACTTACGTCTCAGCGTCATGATGCCCTCGGGATCCTCAATCAGCGCTTTCCACACATCCAGGCTGTCAACCCAGAACTCGGCGGCGCCGTCGTAATCCAGAGCCTTGAGACCGAGTGATTCGGCTTCCTTCTTCATCTGGGGTGTCATGTGGTACTGTGGTGTGGTATGATTAGTTGATCATCATCGACATCATTAGAGTGTAGGTGGAGGTGTAGGTAGATGTAGGGTTGGTGTAGATGTAGGTAGGTGTTGATGTAGGTGTTGGTGTTGGTGTTGGTGTAGGTGTTGGTGTAGGTGTTGGTGTAGGTGTGAGAAAGACGACCTCAACCCCCTGGGTACAGTATGACTACCGAAAGTCGGAGACACTTTACCTGGTTATACCGGTGACACTTCTCCATGAAGGGTTTGCATTTCCGCACTTCGGCCGCGTGGTTGACCTCCCAGTAGCGGTGGAATTCTTCGTGCGAGACGTCGGCTCTCTTGTGCACGAAGAGAGAGATTTTCAACAATCGCTGACGAGTCATTTTTGGTGGAAGGTGTGGTGTGGTTGGGTGTGGTGTGGTATGGGATGGTTCTCAGAAGGGTTGGTTTGAATCTGGGTCTGTGGCTCCTTCAATGCCGAGCGAGATATAGACAGGGACAGGGACAGAACAGAGAAATAAGCAAGAGACACTGGAGCAGTAAATAGTAAATGGTAAATAGTAAATAAAGCCAGCGGACAGCGGACAGTGGACAGTGGACAGTGGACAGTGGACAGTGGACAGTGGACAGTGGACCAAAGGAAACTAACACCAAGGTCTTAATCCTAGGTAGATAGTAGATGGTAGGTACCGCAACCTATCCTTATACACTGTACGATAGTATGTAATATATACGTACTACGTACGACAGTAACAGTATACTGGACCTCGGGTCGACAATACAGGGTGGACCGTTTTCACCTGACTTGGACTCCGTGAAGGGACGAGGGAGGAGAGGAGAGGAGAGGATGACCGGCCATCTCCATCTGCATCTCCGGCGATTCGGAGAGGGTCTCCCGTTGGTTGATATCCTATCCTGTCTTGTCCTGTCCTGTCCTTTTCTGTCCGGCACGGAATGCTTCGTATGGATGCAGTATGCAGTACATGCAGTGCAACTGAGTTCTCCGTACAGCTCTCTGCACTGTGCCGCCGGCGTAGCATAAGGAACTGACTGATTGTCCAGTGTCTATACTACAGTATTTAGACCTTAACCCAGCCGGCCGGAGAGTCTAGCCACTAGCCACCCACGCCGAGGTACGATACTACGCTATAGTATCTAGATACTACCCATACAGCGACAACGGGTTCCCATTCACAGCGGGCTAGCTATGGCTTCGGCTCTGGCTTCAGCTCCATATAATTGCTTGGACGTCGGCCGGCACATACAACCAGGACTGGTAGGTCAAGAGAGAAACTCAGGCACAGACAACCATGACTATTAGGCGAAGAGAGAAGCTTAGGCACATACAACCAGGACTATTAGGTGTGGAGAGAGAAACCGAGTGTTTAAGTTGAGGCTGCTTCGATTTTGGTCGCGTCTGGTTCCGTGAGCGGCGATGAAAAAGGTGGGAAGGTGTGGAAGACGAAGACGACGACGAAATCCAAACATGGGAGAAGAAGAGTCGGCGCTGCAGTAGGACTCATCTCATTTCATGATACAGTAAGGACACAGGAATCGGAATCATATCCCCATCCCTAGGGTTGCCATCTAGAACGGAATATCCGTCCTCTTGCCAATATCCGGCCTCTTCTTGATACTCTTCTCGTCTTCGCCGGCCTCGAGCCTGCGAATCAAGTCTTCAGGGTCGAAGTCAACGCCGATGGGATTCTCCTCGAATTTAGGCCCGGTCATAAAGGCGGTGGCGTCGTCGTTGTTGTCGAAGTTGTCGACTTGGGTCTCGATCTCGTTGCCATCCGGGTCGCGGTAGTAGATGCTGGTGGTGGGACCGTGGTTGACGGACCAGAAGGGGAGGATGCCGTGGGCCTTGCGCTGGCGATACGCCAGGGCCAGATCGTGCAGCGTGTCGAAGGAAAACGCGATATGGGCCAGCCCGGCCGACTCGGGCAGTCGGTCCTTGACCCCGGGGAAGATGCCGATGGCTATGCGGTGGTGCTCGTCGTCGTAGGTCAGGAACGACAGGAAGTCGTTCTCGTAGCTGGCTTCGGCGCCCAGGAATGTCTTGTAGTAGTCGACCATGGCCTTGAACTTTTCCGCCTTGGTTTTCAATACCACGTGCGCCAGTTTTTGCGGCTTCGTCACCACCGGTCCGGGGTTGTCGAAGGAGATGGCCATGGTGGATGGTGGATGGTGTAGTGTGTCGGGGTTGAGATTGATATAGAGGTGTGGTGCGAGTGAGGGTGAAAGTGGGAGTGACGGTGACGGTGAGAATCTCAAGATCTAAGGTCTTGTAAGAGGTATGAGGTGGTGGTGGTGGTGGTGGTGGTAGTTGTAGTGGGCTGTGATGTAGCTTGCGTCGGTGCCGGTGCCAGTGCGGTGACGTTGACGATGACCAAGGGGGCTAAGACGATCTCGTTGGCTTACGGATACAGAGGACAGAGTACAGCACAGTGCACACGTATGTATGTACGGAATACTCCGTATATATGTATGGGGTTTGTTTTTCTCCCGGGTTTGTTAAGGGAAAGGGAACCAGTTACCACGGAGGACTCTGTAAATCCCCCGCGTCCTACCGCAAGCACCGCACCTTAGTAAAGGCCTGGTCCGCTGGGACTGGAACCGAATCTTTCGGCCGGCGACGACGTGCATGCCCGGATCCTTGGCTGTTGAGGGGTGAGGAGAGCAACATCGCCACGAGCACAAGACCAATGAGGTCAGCCCGGTCGAATTCCCGAGGCCGAACAATAGTAGATAGTGTCCATCGTGTGTTGGCCATACGGCATGGACGGAGCAATTGCGGGGCAGGCTGTACAGCACTCGGTCCCATAGCTTCAGGAGCCTGAGCCCCAGGTGGCTAAGGAGGCTAAGGGAGTCCTAAGCCTCCTTGGCCCGTCACCCTCCGTACCCCTCCTTTCTCCTTTCTTTCCCCGGAATTCCAGGCCTAAGGGGCTAAGGGGCCCTAAACAGGGGTATCGGGGTATGGCCACGTCTCCCCCAGGCCTGTGCCCCAGCACCAGCCCCAGTCCCATGATTTTACGGAGTACACAGGAATATCATTCAAATGTTGATACCGAGTTATCCGTACATCAGGGCGGTCGTCACCAGGAGCCACAAGGACTGGTTCAAATACACCCCCTGGTGATATCTAATCAATCTTCAGACAGCTCTGTATCGCTTGGCTGGCTGCTCTCGCCTGTCAACGAACGAGTCATTCTCATTGTTCAATCTTGCACCACCTCGAGTTCGACACCCAGAATGACAGCCAGTGCCCATGTCCCTCGTTAGCAAGTTGAGATCTGCATTGCACTGACGCGGGGCCACGGCCACGGCTTACGGCCAGTCGGAGGAGGAGGAGACAGAATGTTCGGCTACTTTGCCCCCGAAACCCATGTCCAAGTCTCGTTTGGTTCGGGTTGTCTGATCTGCCTTGCCAGTGCTGGACTGGGTTGAGTTAAGCCCGGTTTCTTTTGCTGGGCGGCCAGGGCCTGATGAAATGTGCAATTATTTGTGCAAAGATGCGAGTCGACTCGACTTGACGCTGTCCGGGGCTGCTGGGGGCTCACACCCACACTTGTGGAATGGGAGGGGCTGATGGCGTTCGAACCGACGTCCTGTACAAGACATGTGCAGTTGACTCCGTAGGCGTACATTACTTCAGCCTTCCTCGAGATCCAATACACAGCAGCAGGGGATGACATAAATAGACAGATGATTCGACGACGAAGTCTAGGTTCATCGCGATGGAGATTATCACAAGCGAAGACTGCGTCCAGGAGACAGCAAGGACAATAATCTGAAGGACGTAGTACTGCGTACATAGTATGGAATATGGATTATGGAGTATGGCGTCTGGAAATATACAGTACGAACAATCACAATCAACTCCTGCTGGTTGGCCGGGCCGTAGAGGGCGAGGAGCGAGGAGCGGCCTTAGGCTAAGACGCCTAGTTTGGAAGGGCAGCACCTGACATAGCCCATAAATATCATATCACAAAGACCTGAGGCCCCTACACCTCCAACTCCACCACTCTGGCCTACAGTATACAGAATAAAGTACACCGTACACAGTACTCAGTAAACAGTACACCCTGCTCACAGTACAGACGCGAGGACTACCACCGACGACCGAGGATCAAGGTTCAGGAACAGGGAACTCTCCCGACATGACTCTCCTCTCTGTTTCCGTCTGGGCTGTCCCCCTGTTCGTGGGGACCGTCATCTACTTCCTCGCCAGTGTTTTGAAAGTGGGCAGAAGAGCCCCAGGCCTGCCACCGGGGCCTCCCACCCTTCCCATCATAGGGAATCTTCATCAAGTAAGTGAGCTCACCTGAGATCTGATCGACTGGGGAGAAAAAGAAAGAGAGACACCGCGCTGACCAGACGAACGTTGGTGATATGCAGATGCCATCCAAGAATCCACATCTTCAATTTCAGAAATGGGCGCAGGAATACGGGTAAGTCCAGTCCAGTAGTCGTCAGACAAGGCTCTTTCTGCGTCCCTCCCTCCCATCGAACCCCGGGCTGTGGACGCGCCTCAATCTTTTTTCTAACAGCATTGTCTCTCCAGACCAGTCTACTCTCTCATTCTGGGCACCAAGACCATGGTCGTCCTTTCGTCCGATCAGGCGGTCAAGGACTTGCTGGACAAGAAGAGCGCCATCTATTCCGACCGTCCGGACATGTTCATCGGGCAGAAGATTGCCAGTGGGAATCTACGCCTGGTGGTGATGGTAGGCGACCCAAAGGCCCCCAAAGCCGCGATAACCCAAACCCATCAACCTCTAACTGACTCCTGACTCCTGACTCCTGTCCTGATTGTGGTTGTGGTCGATGTCGATAGTGATTGACTGACTATTTGTGTCTTATTGGAATATCTAGAGATACGGCGACAACTGGCGCATGATCCACAAGATGGTCCACAACATCCTCAACATCAAGGCCGCCGTCACCTACGTGCCGTACCAGGACCTCGAGAACAAGATGCTGTTGACGGGCTTGTTGGACTCGCCCGACGAGTTCCTCAACCACATCCGCCGCTTCAGCTATTCGTTGGCCACGCAGATGATCTTTGGCGTGCGCTGTCCAGACATTAACGATCCAAACATTCAGCAGTTGTTTTGGGTGCGTATTTGACTTTCCAATATGAATATCCCTGCTCTCCTCAACTCAACTCAGCCCTGCTCTGCTCTGCTCTGCTCTGCTTCGCATACTTCTTGACGCAACATCAACATCTAGTCCATCTAAATAACTAACCTGTTTCTCTTCTCTCCAGAGTTTCGAACACTGGGGTGAATTGGCCGGCAGTGCCAGCGCCCAACTGGTCGACCTGTATCCCATTCTGCAGAAACTCCCGCGAGCCATTGCGCCCAATGTCAGATATGCGGAAAACCTGCACGAAATCGAGAAGAAGCTCTACGTCGGCCTTTGGATGCAGGCCAAGCGAGGACTGGAGAATGGTACTGGACTGGTAAGAAGTATTCTGACATGCTGATATATTGTACTTGTATACTCACACTCACACCTACACCACACCCATCCCTTCTCTCTCTCACACATTGGCACATACTGACAAACAATCTCTTCCTCTCCCCCTCCTCTCCCCTCTCCCTTTCCGTCCATCAACTCACGCACCCTCCCCCTGAGCCTTGAGCCTTGAACAGGACAGTCACCTCGAGTGGTACATACTACTTACTGGTTGCCACCCTGGAAAGTGGACACACAAATCCAAAAGACCTTTGTTCCTGTTGATTTACTAACGTCAAATCCACCAACTCAACAGCCATGTTTCTGCAACGACGTCCTCCGAGCGCAACAGACGGAAAAATTCACCGACGACGCGGCCGGCTACATGAGCGGGTCGCTGCTCGAAGCCGGGTCGGACACGACGTCGTCGACGCTGTACGGCTTCATCCAGGCCATGCTGGTGTGGCCCGAGGTGCAGAAAAAAGCCCAGGCCGAGATCGACCGCGTGGTCGGGCCCGACCGACTGCCGACCATGGACGACTACGATCAGCTGCACTATATTCGATGCTGCATGAAGGAGAGTCTGCGGTGGATGCCGACCATCATTCTGGGCGTGCCGCACGCCTCCACCAAGGACGACACTTATGGAGAGTATATCATTCCGAAGGGGAGTACTGTGGTCGCTAACGTGTGGTAAGTCTGCGTTTGACTGTCTCGTCTACACGTATCTCTCAGCCCAGCCCAGCCCAGCCAACTCATCTAACTCATCCAACTCCTCCAACTCCCCTAACTCCCCCAACTGAAGTTGAACTGACTGATTTCTCTCTGTGTAGGGCAATCCACATGGATCCCAATCGATGCCCCGAACCGCGCCGCTTCAACCCCGACCGGTTCAAAGACGACTTCACCACCCTCTACCAGTCGGCCAACGGCGACCCGGCCAAACGCGACAACTTCAACTTCGGCGCCGGCCGCCGTCTATGCCAGGGCATCCATATCGCCGAGCGGTCGCTGTTCCTCGGCATCTCGCGCCTGCTGTGGGGGTTTAACGTGTCCAAGCCGCTGGACAAGGTCACAGGCAAGCCCATCACGCCGGACATTGACGACTTTGTCGGCTCGCTGACCGTCATCCCGCGGCCCTACAAGGCCGTCATTGAACCCCGCTCGCCCGAGAGGACCAAGGTCATGCGCGACGCCTGGGCCGACGCCCAGAATCTGTTGGATCCCGTCACTAAGCAGTGGAAGAAGATGCCTGAGGGCATGGCTTTGAGTACGTGGATGCCGGAGAAGATTGATGTTTAGTCCTGGCTTTGAGGATGTGGATGTCGGAGCGGTGATGATTGAGTCTGTCAAACTTGGGCAGTCCCAGCCTTGCCCTGTAACCAGAAGGCTGGTTTAGGCTATACTATACTATATAGCATGCGATCTCCCTGAAACCCTTTGATAGAGAACATGGAACATTTCAACCTTTGACACAGTCCTGGCCTTGAGTATGTGGATGTCGGAGCGAGATGATTGCCTAGACTGCCATTTGGTGCTGCGATTATGGTGGCCTTGATGTCTGAATCCCGTCCCTGAGTATATGGATGTTGGACCAGAGATGATTCATGTCTGAGTCCCGTCCCTGAGTACACTACGCGGATGTTGGAGCGGAGATGATTCATGTCTGATGTCTGATGTCGGAGTCCATCTGCTCCAACAACCCCCTGGGACTCAGGTCGGTTGATCGGTGTTTGAGCTGTGAGTGTGAGTGTGATTATGATATCAGCGAGCCCGGATGGGATAGATTGGTTCCCACAGACACAACATAGACACAGATCAGACTCACACTGAGAGACACCCACACTCACACTCAAACAAACTCTCTCATATACTCACATATATAGACATAGATAGACATAGATATACAATATAGTGCTTTCAATATTCACTATATGAATTAATCGCTTAGTGTCTAGTGTGTAGTAGGTATCTCTTATTAGTGTCTAGTCCCTAGACCCTAGTATATAGTATATAGTATATAGTATATAGTCCCTAGTGTTTAGTGTTGAGTGTCTACAAAGTATAGTATGCTCCCTCACACGCCAGTCGTCATTCACAGCCTTGTTATCCCCAGCCTTGTACGAACAAGGCTTTAAACAAGATGAGTTCCTACACCACACCACACCACGCCACACCACAATCACCTAGAGCAAAGACCAGCGCAGACCTAGATTATAGATTGCCTAGATCTAGACTGATGGACAGTAGAACTGATACCGATACCAATACTGATACTGATATCTTATAACATCCTACCAAAGTCCCATGGTCGAACCGATACCTTAGACATCCTACTAAAGTCCCATCGCCAGGGATGGTATACTGTGTTCATATATAACATGATCCTCTCCTCGTACTCACGGCGCCAATAGAAAACATTTCCATACTGTCCAGCCGGATTCAGCTCGGCTCGGCTCGGCTCATCACAGCCCAGCTCAACTCAGCTCTGCTCTGTGTCGTCTCTGTCGAGTACCCAGTACCAGTACATAGTGGACTCGCCCGCCTAGTCGCACAATGCCTATGTCCCATGAAGTGAATATATTCCAAAGGAACAAAAGCACTTCCCTAACCAGCCCCGAAGAACTGATTAGAGTTGCCGGGTGCGTGGTCATGGTATGTTGTATGTCATATGACTTCTGTGACTTGTCCAGCCAGGCTCATAAAGGTCTCTTGATATTGTCAGTCATCAGTATCAATTTTGATGGGGTGGCCTGCGGTCAATTCCAATTCAAAGTCCAATTCCATTTCAATCCCATTCCAGTTCCGGCCGAGGTTGAACCCCACCAACACCAGCGCCAGCACAAGATTAACATCAATATCAACTAATGTGTGAAGAATAGTGGACGTAAAGGAAAGGCCAAGGTCAAGCCTAGCCTTAGCCTCAAGATCAACCGACCGAAAAATCCATGACTTTGTCGTCAAAGCCGGCCGGCAGAAAAGTACTCCAGTTCTCGAGTTCGAGATCGAAAAACGGGTTGACGTAGCTCTGGAAGATGAATGTCAGTCAAGAAACCCCCTTTTCAACGAGTTGGACCAGAAAAGCTTACCGCGGTAGGATCATCACACTGCAGATCATCCTCCAGCACATTCCCAGTCCGGTCAGTCATACAATCCGACATGTCTGGCCTGAGTCGCGACGGGTCCGAGTCCATCCCGAGACTCTCGTTTCCGGAATACCGCCGCGAACTCGACCCCCGGGCGACGGCCTCGTGGGCTAGTGCGGCCACCTCTTTGGCAAAGGTGAAGGTGACTTCCGAGTCGGTGGCGATTTGCATTCGGGCAAAGTGGCCGGCGGCCACGTCCATCAAAGCCAGGTCAGACTGGATGCGGGACTGTTGCGGGGTCTGTAGAATATAGATGAACAGGTTGATGAGGGCGTACATGGGGCCGAAAAAGCTCATTCTGGAAAGACATGGCCGAACGGCCAGTTGGTCAGTCAATTTTGTTCAAGTGTGATGGAAACAAAGCGGACTCACGGGACAGGAGTGTTGGCGTCAAAGTGGATGTGTTCAGTTGCCAGGATGGCGCTGCGGCAGGTCTCGGCTACCGTCTGCGTTGATTTTTCCACCTGATTGCGCAGGGCCGCATGAGGCGTCAGACCAACCATGCTCCGACACCACGGGTACGTCAGGGCGGTATGGATGTCGAGGGCGACGTTGAAAAATCCGTAGCGGAGATACATGGCCTGTTGCAGGGTCATGCCGGCCGGCATTCGCTTGAGGTTGATGGGAGATTCGAGAAAGAGAATAGGGTCGACCGATCGCCTCAAGGCGTTGAGTTGCTCGTCTAGCTCCGCCACCGATCGCACCAACAGCTCGGCGCCTTGCTGGAAGGCTCGCACGGTCGAGAGTCGTTTGGACACCACCGACGACAAGCGAGCCAGCCGGATCAAGATGGTGAAGTATTGCAGGTTGACGGTGCTGCCGGCAGGGACTTGGGTGGGAACTTGGCAATTAACGTCGTCGTCGTCGATAAGCTGAAGTAAGGAGAGTCAGCACGAATTGGAGAGAGGCAGAGAGGGAGAGAGGGAGAGAGAGATTCATCTAATAAGTTTCAGGGGGTGGGAAAATGAACACGAACCGAATGGCGCCCCGATTGCGAAACAATCTGCTTCTCCAGACAGTAGGCGGCCCAGAATAGACAGCTGCGGAGGTTGTTTTCGTGCTCGGACGAGTTCCACGACGACACGGGTTGTCGATGAAGGCCCTTGGCCACGGCCAGTCGCAAGGCGTTGGTGCAAAGCATGTACTCGAGACACGGACTGCCAATGTTGTGTGAGTAGTAGGCCTGTCTCAGGTAGTCAGCGTCAGCGGCGATCGTCTTTCGGAGTCAATGAGTGAGTGCCTTCATCTCTCATCTCCTCTTACCATCACGGTCAATGCTTGGACGCCCAGGATGGACGTTCGAAAGTATAGGATTTCGGTATGGGCGGCCAGCGCATTCTCAAACCATCCCCAGGCCGTCTGGTTGGCCTCCAAAAAGGTCTTGGTCTTGGACAGCTCGACGCGAGATCCTGAGGCGTAGATGGCATTTCGCAGTGCATACCACGCCGGATCACTGTCGTTGATGCTACCGTCGAGGTAGCTCCTGAGTTGCGCCTCAAACCAGGGCCGGTGCACGATTCCCAGGGCTGAGTCGAGGGCCTCGTCAAAGTACGCTGGCACGGTTCCCATCAGTCCCAGTCTCCTGCCTATCCAGCTTGAGTTCGGGTCTTACCACGTGTATACCTCCAGGCATCTTCTGGATCGGGCTCAGGTGCCCGCACGGTCGACAGTCTCCTTTCGATTTTCAGGCGGCGAGTGACATACATAGTAAAGGACCTGGCCGCCTCGTTGAAGTTGGAGCTTCCTGTCTTCCGTCCCACCCACTGGATGCCCGGTTTGGAACAAATGGATAGAAACGATCGTGGGCCTAAATCAATCGTCAGCCTCACGGGTCGACATCCCACTATTGTTGTTGTCCTGGTCTTAGACTTACCATGGTATTCCCAATTGGACTTCCCGCAGCCTCCAGTCAGTGAATGAACTTGAATACGAAGACAGCCTGACGGATTGGACATGACCTACTATTTCACTCGATGAGATGCTACTCCTTTCGCGGATTTCCTCAGGAGTGCTTTCATCATAGCCCGCAGTTTCAGACGCGGGGAAGGTGGTGGAAACTGCGTACTCCGGTTCGCAGTCAAAGGTAGAAGAGGTCACGTCGGTGGGCGCCGGGTTTGCTGGAGGCGCCAGCGGGCCGGGGTTCGCGGCCAGAGGCAGACTCGGCTTTGGAAGGAGATTTGAGGGCGTGAGCTGACTGTGACCTTCTGCCGTGTCGTTCTCTGACGTGTACGGCGGAGGTGGAAGTTGGAACTGGCTCATGGACGGTTGTTGATCGGTCGTGCGCGGTAGCAGCTTGACCGGCCGATTGCTCCAGGCGTTGAGAGCATCATGCGATGGGTCGAGAACTGTAGGGGCGGGCTGGAGGGGCTTTAGTGTGAACAGCTTTCGCGAAGGCTGTGTCCGCCACTGCCACGGTCACTTACGGTGGAAGGCTGTTGCGTGAGTAGTGCTTCGACACGGGCCAGTCTCTCTGCCACGTCGTGGTTTGCGCCGCCACGGTCCCTGTTGCGGTATCGAGCTGGACTGGATGAGACGCAAGGCTGGTTGCGATCCAGACAATTTGCACACGGGCCGTGGTCATCGCCATTGCCTGTGCAGAGAGATGGGTCAGCTTGGTCTGGCCTACGTGCGCCCGGGAACAGTCACGGTTGAAGACGAGGTTTGAGGTTGAGGTTGAGGTCGAGGGCAGCCTTACAGCGGATTTTTTTCGCCCGACAGAAGTTGCATGCCACCGACCGCTTGGTCCGTGGATGCTGCTGCATGGGCTGCGGCCTCGAAAGGCCAGCACTGAGCGCAGTGTCTGGTGGAAGGGACATGTTGATGTTGGCCGGTGGGCGGGCTCCCAGGTTGTGGTCAACGTGTGGGAAATGAATCCAGTGGTGTGAGCTGGGAGCTGGGAGCTGGTGAGATGATGGCCTGGAGTGCTGTGAGGTTTTACCCCGGGCGGGGAAGAGCTGTAGATGCAGTTCCTACCCTACAGCAGGACTGTGCAGTACCTAACCCAAGGCAGCGACAGCTACGTCCTGCACATCCTAGGGATAGTTTAGGTGGCTGGGCAGGCCTCAGGGCTCTTTAGGGCCTTTCAGTAGGCCTTGATTGGGCCTTTTTAGCCACACAGAGTGCACGCTGGCCCCTAGACGGCGTAGGCTTAGGGGCCTTAGGGGCTTAGCAGGCCCCTAAACCCCTCAAACGCTCCCCAGCCCGTCCACACTTCCACACTTCCCCGCGTTCGACCAGCAACCACGCGACTTCGCAGGCGTGGGGGGCCTGTGATTGCCACTGCAGCTGCGCCTGCGCCTGCGGCTGCGAGCAAGACCGAGGGCCGCAGGCTTCTCCCCCGCTCTCGGGGGCCGAACATCCGACCCAAACAGGCAATCATCGGCGGAACTGCGCAGCATCTGCCCACTACCTCGGGTTGATCAGCCTGCGCCCGCAGCTGGCTCCCTTCCAAGCTCCTGGAAAATTGAGACACCTCGCCTCGTCTGGGGCCCCTTCTCGCCTTCTCCCCAATCTCCCGGCCGCCTCGGTGGCTCTGGCCGGACACAAACCTGGGGACACTGACACTGGGACCCAGCGTGGCCTCGTGACGCCCGAGCCCTAAAGCCGAGGCCGTGCTAGTGTTCAGCATGACACAGCTCCTATTCCGTCCAGCGTGCACAAAAAGACTTGGTCAGGGTGGCAGGTGGGAGGTGGGAGTTGGGAGTTGGAAGCAGACACACCTCCACCTCGTCCCATAACCCTCAAATCTCACTCTGCTCTAACTGTACCGAAGCCTCTACCTACTCTCCTCAGCCCTGCCCAGCTCAGCTCAGCTTCCACCCACCCGCGGGTTTCTCAATTTGGCTGTTGGAGGCAGCTAGACGGACGTCAGTCAGAAATGTCTGGAACAAACGGCATCAACGACCCCAGCGTCAGCGCCAGCACGACCACAACCACGACCACGGCCACGCAGGCAGACGAGCATGTCTTCTTGCCCCGCGGCACCGTCCTGATCGCAGGAGGCGGTCCCGTGGGACTGATCCTGGCCAGAGTGTTGTCCTACTATGGAGTCCGATCGGTGCTGTTTGAGCGGAATAAGACCACCACCAGCTGGCCTAAAATGGACCTCACCAACGGGCGCTCCATGGAACTGTTTCGCAAACTGGGCCTCGCCGACGACCTGCGACGACAGGGCGTCCCTCCCCATATCGACCAGGACGTCTTGATCTCTTCCGGGCTGGCCAGCAAGGAAGCCATCACGCGGTGGGAACTACCGGGGGTCGATCGGTTCCGACAACGCATTCACGAGCACAACGACGGCACGCAGCCCCAGGAGCCTTACCAGAGACTGTCGCAGGCTCTGTTTGAGAAGTGGTTGAAGGCGATCTGTGACCAAGATCCCCTGATCGAGCTCCACTACGGCAACAAGGTCGAATCGGTGCAGGAGACAGCGGACCATGTCAAAACCACGGTGACGAATGTCGAGACGGGCAAATCGACCGTCTACGTGTCCGACTATGTGGCCGGCTGCGATGGAGCGTCGAGCCGGGTGCGAAAATCCCTCGGGTTTCCGTTGGATGGGGGGCCAGTGTAAGTCGATATCATCTCAACCTTCCTGAAGCAGCCGCCGCAAGCAGGATTCCACTGACCAGGCGTCTCCCCGTACAGTCCCAAGTGTGTGCTGCTGGTGCACTTCAAATCTCGCGACCTCAGCCGTCTCCACGTCCAAGGCCAATTCTGGCATATCTTCTTCCTGTCCGACCACGCCGAGGGCGGGTTTGGCAGCACCATCATCGCACAAGACGAGGTCGATACCTGGACCACGCACCTGTTCCTCCCGCTGGACGCCGAGCCGGACAAGATCGAGTCCCACGACGCCGTCTACCGGGCGTTGGGTGGTCTGCACGGGCCGTACCCGATCGAGATTGACGAGGTGCTCGTCCGGTCAGTCTGGCGGCCGAACATCGCGGTGACACGCCAGTGGAGCAGCGCCGGCCAGCGCGTGCACGTGGCGGGAGACGCGGCCCATCAAAACATCCCCACGGGCGGCTACGGCATGAATATGGGCATCGGCGACGCGTTCGATCTGGGCTGGAAGCTGGCCGCGGTGATCAACGAACAAGCCGGCCGCGACTTGCTGCAGTCGTATGAAGCGGAGAGAAAGCCCGTGGCCCTGCGCAACGTCGAGCGCTCGGGCGTGCACTTCCAGCTGCACGACCGGCTGAAAGACGAGTTCATCGCCGGCGGCGACCCGCATCGGGTGGACGCCGACACGGAGGAGGGCCGCCAGTTGCGGGCTGCCATCCACGAATACTACCAACAGCACGACGGGGAGAACAAGGACTTTGGCATCGAGATGGGCTACCGCTACCAATCGCCCGTCATCGTGCCCGACCGAGAGGCGACGGAGCCGGCGTGGACGCCGTCGCAGTACACGCCGACCTCGTGGCCCGGCGGTCGGCCGCCCCATGTCTTCCTCTCGGACGGCACGGCCATCTTCGACAAGTTCGGCAAACACTGGACGCTGCTGGTGTTTGCTGACGACAGCCAGAACAGCACCAGCGGTCAGGAGTTGGTGGCCGAGGCGGCCGCATCTCTCTCGATCCCCTTGAAAGTGGTCGCTCTGCCCGGCGAGGACCTAGCCAAGAGATTGTACGAGAAGCCGCTGGTGTTGATCCGGCCGGACCAGCACGTCGCCTGGAGAGGAGATCAAGTGTCGAGTCTGCAGGAGGCGGAGAAGCTCCTGAACGTGGTCACGGGTCGGGTCCGGCCGGATTCGACGGCGGGCGAAGGCCAGAAGGCGGCTCCCAGCGTGGCGTTCACTGCCACGCAGGAACTGACCACGCAGGTGGAGGACTTTAAGCTCGAGAAGATGGCCGCCTTTCAGATGTAGCGGACGGGATAGAGTACAAGATTGGTACAATATAGTAAGCACAATAAGTCCAATAGGTACAATAGGCATAAGATGCATACAGTATAGTTCAGGAATACTGGTAGTACAACATCTGTACAATGTATCAAGCAAGGTTCATGACATTGAATCCAACATACCTAACGTGTAGTACTTTGGTCCGTACACCATACACATTACATGTACCAATCCTGGGAAGTACAGTGATATCACGTGCACTGTACGTAGTCAGCAGCATGAACATGGCTTAGTAATGATCATGCCATCGGCCTATCACGGTGTCACCCCAACATGACCTTATCTACACCTCATCCTAACCCTAACCCTAACCCTAACCCTGGCAGAACATTTACCATCCCCATTTACCATTTACCGGGCCCGCTGCGTTGCGTGATTAGGCCGATGTTCGTCCATCCCATCCATCACATCATCACCACTCAAACCTCCCGCCCAGGACAGCACAGCACAGCACAGCACTACACAGCACTACAGACAGCACACCACACCACACCATACACAGCACAGCACAGCACAGCACTACGGAGTACACAGCACCACAGCACTGAGCACAGCCTTGGCCGACCCCCCGATCCCCCATCCACCATCCCACCATACACTGTCCACCGTCCATATCCACTATCCATCGATTCCACTCGCCTCGACGCCTTGTTTGTCCGAAGATCAGCACCATGCCAAAAATCCCCGGTCCGTCGTCCGGGCGTCTGTCAGCGTGTGTCTGTCTAGACAGTCCGAGAGAGCTTGAGCTCTACCCTACAGAGGTCTTTTAATTAGGTTTCGGCTTTCTGTTGGTTGCTCTTGCTCTTTTCTTGTTACTACTCCTACTCCTACATTTACATTTACAGCACCTGTTATCACCGCTGCTACTGCTACTTATCACACCCTTATCACACTACCTCACACCTAATCTCATCATGCCATACACCACTGAAGGCACGGCGTGGCCGACATCGGTCACGCTCCCCGACTCGATCAAAGACCTCATCGCCGTCTTCTACACCCTGGCCGACGACAAGTCCGCCGACGCGGGCCCGCGCATGGCCAAGGAAATCTTTACCGCCGACGCGCATTTCGGCGGTGCCACGGCAGTGCACAAGGGCAGTGAAGGTATGTACGATGCGTGTATAGTAGTTGTGTACCTACCTTCCTTACTACACCTACATTATATACCTACCTTCCCTACTACAGTACTACCCTCCCCCCCAAGAACCCTCACTCACTCACACCAATAGACATCGCACATAGCAGAGTCAACGCGTGGAAAACAGTGACTTCGCGCCGCCACGTCGTGAAAAAGGTCTTTGCTCACGACGCCGCCGGCCACGACCTCCTGCTTCTGGCCGAGCTCGAACAGGGCTTTGTCAATGGGAAGAGCCTGCTCTCGCCCTTCGTCGTGCACGTCGTCGTCGATGCCGACAGCGTCAAGGCGGGCAGTCCGAGATTTAGTTATATGCAGGTCTATGCTGTGAGTGATTTCTCTCTCTGTCTCTCTGTCTCTCTCTCGCTTTCTCTACCCCTCGTTTTTCACTATCTCTCCCTTTCTCCGCGACTGCCTGTTTTGTTACCTCCCCCTCCCTCTTTGTGTATGTGTCTATATGGGCATCGTATTAATCCCTCCTCGACAGGACACCGCCCCCGTGATTGCCGCGTTGAAGGGATGAGGTACTCTGGCATGATACGAGTCACGAGCATAGTATTCGGTCGATGCATCAACAACCGCATCCGCATCAGCACCGGCACGGTTACATATTGATATATATTGAGATACTGAGATATTGACATATATATTTATTGCGACCACTGCAGACCTGATTCCGATACTACACTGAGAAATATACTCGAATGACTTTTGTTCCTTATTGACCTGACCTTACCTTGCCGTGCGTGCTGCGCAAAATATTGAATCTGAATTGACTTTTTTTCTTTCTGTTGACAGTTGACAGCAAGTAGATGGTTGAATCACATCTAGATGCAGCGCTGATCGAGAGTTGAGTTCAGTCTTCCTCATAAGTGACCAACGATCAAGACAATCTTCTCCTTCTCCTTCTCCTTCTCCTTCAACAAACCCTCAGCAACTTGACTTCACTTCAGACCTCCTCAGACGCGATGAACCATCGAGGGAGGTCAGTCTTCCCATACATGTACACCGCACCTCATCAATCGCGATAGTGGAGTCCTCACTCCTCAATCCTCAATCCTCCTCATAGGTGACAAACTCATGCAAGCCCTTGCCCGCCGGTACGACAGGCCAGACGGGACTATGCTGATCTGTGACGACCTCGAGCACAGCGGGGCCCGGCTCGTCGAGCAGCCAGCGCAACTTCTCGTCGACCTGGTCCAAAGTGACACAGCGATCGGCGGCGACGCCGAGGGCGTGCGAGGCCTTGACAAAGTCCGGGTTTTTCTGGCGGTTGTGGGCAAACTTGGCCTGGTAATACAGACGCTGCAGATCCGACACCATGCCCATCTGCTCGTTGTTGAAGAGCAGCACCTTGACCGCGATGTCGTACTGGGCCGCCGTGGCCAACTCGGCAATGGTCATGTTGAAGCTCGCGTCGCCGTCGATGTCGATCACCATACAGTCGGGCCGCGCGCGCTTGGCCCCGATCGCCGCCGGCAGCCCGTAGCCCATGGTGCCCAGCCCGCCCGACGTGATCAGCGTCCGGGCGTGGCGCCAGCGGTAATGCTGCGCCGCCCACATCTGGTGCTGGCCCACGCCCGTCGTGATGATCGTGCGGTCTTTGATCGACAGCCGCTGCGTCAGCTCGCTGAGCTGCGAAATCACCGCCTGCGCCTGGATCAGCCCGGCCTGCGGCTGCGTCGCCACTTTGCTGTATGCCGACAGGGGGAACCGGCGTTTCCACGACTCGATCTGCCTGAACCAGTCTGGTCGGTCGTTGACAAAGGCAGAATCAGAACCAGACCCAGACCCAGACTCAGTGTGTTGTTGTTGTTGCTGTTGCTGTTCCACCAACCGAGTCAATCGCGCCAGGTTGACACTACAGTCTCCCACCACGGTCTCGGTCGACATGACCACCTTGTTGATGTTCTTGGGCGCAATGTCGAAATGCACGATGCCGCCGCGCCGCTCGGCCGCCGCGGCCAGGGCCTGAGGCGCGAATTTGCTGATATTACCAGTAACGCGGTCGTCGAAGCGCGCGCCCAGCGCCAGGATCAAGTCGGCCTCCTGCATGGCCATGTTGGCGTAGCCCGTGCCGTGCAGTCCTAGCATGTGGAGCGCTTTCCGGTCCAGCTCGTCGAACGCGCCCAGGCCCTGGAGAGACGTAGTGACGGGAATGCAGGCTTTGTCGGCGAATTCCGCCAGAATCGCCGGCCCGTCTTCCCGGCCCATCATGCCCTGCCCGACGTACAGGACGGGCTTTTTGGCCATGCGGAGCAGACGGGCCACTCGGTGAAGGGCCCGGTCGGTCTCTGCGTCGTAATCACTCCTCTTGAACTTGGACGTCATGCTGCTTTCGCCGGCGTACAGGCGCCGGTTCAGCTGGCTGCCCACAAACGCCGGTCGGTGGAGGATTTGTTGGCTGACGTGCGCGGGAATCAGGACCAGCACCGGACCCGGTCTCCCGGCCCGGGCGATGTCGAAGGCCTCGTTGATCCGGCGAGGGAGCTGTTCGATCGAGTCCACCATGACGTTCCATTTCGTGCAGCTTTCCGAGATGCTGAGGACGTCGATGTCTTCTCTGGGGTCAAACCGGGGAATCTGTGGTGATGGTGATGGTGTCTGGGAAGCCTGTGCCTGTGGCTGTGGTTGTGATGCCTGAGTACAAAACACCACCATCGGCGTTCCATCGCACAGTGCGTCTTGGAGAGGTGTGACCATGTTGGTAAGACCAGCCCCCGACACCACGAACACCACGCCCGGCTCGCCCGTTGCTCTGGCATATCCCTCGGCCATGTGGCCCGCGCCTTGTTCGTGCCGGGCCAGGACCGTGTGCATTTTGTCTGACTTCAGGACGGAGCTGTATGATGATGCTGCCAGAGACACGGCGCTGGGTGACCCAACTGTGACGATGGTGAGCTTTGTTTTTGGCGGTCGGTTAAGAGCAAGCGAGAGCAAAGACAAGAAGGACAAGAAGAAGGACGAGGATAAGTTCGAGAATAAGATCCAGGATAAGAACAGAACCAGAGAACCAGTTCAATGGTGCCCACTTACATATTTGGTCCACCCCATGCTCGAGGAGCATTTCATGCACGATTTCTCCCGCCGAACAGCCCGCAAACCTGACAACATTTCGGCGGTCAGCTTCATTCCTCTTTAGAGGAGGGGGGGAGGATGGGCATCATGATCATGATCTAGCTTTCTGTGAAGAGAGTCACCATCAATCAGCTGGCCCACTCACTTGAAGTCACCAGCCCGAAGGTCGGTTGTCGGTCGAGGCACCGGCTCCTGCACCTCGCGCCCAACTGAGCCTGACCCTGAGCCTGACCCTGGGTATGGGTAGACCTGGAACGGGAGATGATTTCCATCGCTTCTAGAACCAACGGGTCAGTCTGAGTCCACAACATCGACATGGCTGTCTGAGAAACGCTGCGACGCAAAAAGAAAAGGTGTCTCGATGGAGATGAGATGAAGACGGACGAATAAACTGGGAGGAAAGGGGATGAAGACGGACGAATAAAACTGAAAGGGGATGGACATTGACATGGACATGTCATGTGTCAAGGCTTACGGTTGAGAATGTGCCGTCGCCGGGCTCCTTCGACTGGTGGCAGTTCCAATGCTGCGAGCGGGCGTGGGTGGTTGTGGTTGTGGCTGTGGGTGCGGATGACTCTGAACGTGCCTCCTCCCACTCCCCGATAGTGGTTGATGAGTAGCATTGAATCGTCTCCTCCCCGATAGTGGTTGATGAGTCGTATTGAATCGTCTCCCCCCCGACAGCGGTTGATGACTCTCGAATCGTCTCCCAGGCGCCGGTGCGGGACAGATTGAAGGAGGTTTCAAACCTGCCCTTCTGAAATACTTGGTCATAGTAAAGCTGGTCCTGGTCCTGGTCCTGGTCTGTCTGCTTCGCACCACGTGCCTGCGTTCCTGCCTCGGCGGTAGGGATACAAAGAAGGACTCAGTCCCGCCGGTGTTGATGTTGCTGTTGTCACCACCTACGGTACTGCAAGTGTACCAAAGCTGGCCAAAGGATACTGAAAGCTCCCCCGATGTGCAGTACTGTACAGTCGAACGAAGGCTTAGTGTAGGTAGTATACCTGGGTAATGCAAACGAAGGCCCTGAGGTTTAGTATAGGTAGTATGTATAGGTAGGTAATGATAACAAAGCGCCCCCCGGAAGGATACTGTAGGTTGATCTTTGGGCTAACGAAGCGAAGCGCCTTAGCCTCCCAAATATACGGAGTACAGAGGAAAAAAAGATCCAGAGGAGAGCAAGACACACAGTTCTTGCAATACTACAGAGTACACATACCAACCAACAGCATGAGTCATCCAGAATTCTCCTCAAACACCATCATCATCGGAGTATATGTGTATTCCTATTCAGCCCATGCAGATCTAAACCCGCCTATCCGTATGTGTAGTTAGCACTGGCACATTGGGCCCACCGCCACTCACCGATCGGGGAGACCAGACCATCTCCGGAGAGAAGGAAGATCGGTGAGGGAGGGATACTACTACGTACTACTACTAGAGGATAGTAGATACGACTAAATATCCGATGACATGTCTGTACTCCGTACGATCGGGGAGACGTCTCCATGCGTACAGAACGGATAGACTATGATTGTAGGGGGAGACGTCTCCATGCATACAGTACGGATAGACTATGATTGTACGGAGTACGGGGCTTAGGGGCTTCGCCACCTTACACGAGACGAGATGAGGCTGGTTGTGAGTGTCGTTGCTCTAGAGTCCAGGTCCGCTTCGGTTCTAGGTTCTAGGTACTAGGAGCCAAGGACCGGGGGATCCGCCTTTCCTCGGTAATCAGCGTCGGAGACATACGTACTGCCCGTACACTATGTATTATACCTTAGCGTACGAGTACTTGTACTGTACAGCTTGTACGCCCGCCGTATGGAGTTACCAGCCTTTCGGATGCCGGCGCCGGCGCCGGGACACCCCAGCGATCGGCTTCGGAGAGTGGCTCTGGCTGGCATGGCATTGGTCTGGTCTGGTCTGGTCTTATTGGTACGGAGGATCCGGTCAGGGTTGGGACTTGACGTTGACAAGATTGGCTGTGCTGTGCCGGCTTACAGTAATTGATAATCAGTATCAGTACGGACTACAGATACATGTAGTACGGTCTCACCAGTGCAGTGCACAGATACAGTAGTAGTAGTAGTAGTACTGACTGGTGTTGTTCTTGGCCTTGGGACTGGGACTGGACATGCTGTCCGCTTAAATCGGAAGGGGGTTTATCCTTTTCTCTGACGAAGCGAAGCGAAGTTTGGGGTCTGTTAGAGTACTGCTACTGCCACTGCTACTCACGCCTGCTACTCCTCCTCCTCCTGCTGCTACTACTCCCATTGCCACTGCCGATCTAAGAGAATATACTACTAGCTACTAGTGCAGAAGACCAAGGCAAACCAACCATCTGCCAGACCGTCACTCTGTAGTAGTCTGTAGTCTGTAAGCTGTACAGTCACCCGTGTACTACTACTGTATGTATACTATACTATATACTGGATGCCAGATGGGCCTAAGGGCCCAAGGCTCAAGGGGGCTAAGGAGGCTTAGGCTGAGACCGAGGCCGAGGCCGAAGCCGAGACCAAGACCTAGACCAGACCGACATCGGCGGTGACGGCCCTACCTGAGGCAGTCAATTCGACTCAGCTCAGTGTTCATGTTTCAGTTTATGGTTGTGATTTAGTTTTAGTAGTGGTGGCAAAAGCAAGAAAGAGCGGTGTTTGAGTGGTAATTGGTACGTATTGCATCGGTTGGACGTTGATCTTTGCTGTCAGGATCAGGATCAGGGGGGAGGAAGATCCTATCAATGTTAGGTGCCTCCCTACGGAGTACACATGATTAGTAGTCCTGCAGTATCCGTACAGAGACATACAGATCTAATCGAGTCTAGACTGTATGGACTGTTAAATTACCCGACAATGATATAACCGAGACAGTCGCTTTTCCTGAATAAACATCAAGGAGAGGACTACTGATAATTACTTTTCCTAAATAAACCAACGAGAGGACTACTAATGGTCATCCTGTCTCACCCAAATAAACCAACGAGAGGACTAGTAATGGTTACCCTTCCTCGCCTAAATAAACATCAACGAGGACAAATAAACCAACGAGAGGACTACTGTTACTCACCCTGTCTTACCCAAATACATCAACGAGATCATGCATCTATGCTGTGTTGGGCGCGCTCTCATTCCATGTCCCTATGCCGTTTACTTAATGTCTTGACGAATACTGTCCTTGTTCTTGTCAAACTTAGGCACTAACTTGGGCATTCAGCCTTGTGCTTTAACCAGAAGGCTGGTATATGCACGCCCATATAGTCTAGGCTCCCCCCATGCCCCTCTGATAGAGAACATGGAAAATTTCAACCTTTGACTGTTCTATTCTTGACGAGACAGTCTGCTTCTGCCGGAGAACCCTGTGTATACTGTATATTGTGCACTGTGTACTATAATCGATTTATTGTATACTGCATCCTGTATATTGTAAAAGAGAGAAACATCTGTTTATGGATATGAGATGTAGATATGGATATGGCTACAGACATGGATATAGATATAGACATGGATATTACAGTGAAATCTGATCAAACCCTAGGAGTATATACTGTTGGTATACTTTTGATTCTGAATTACTGCAGCCTACAACCCTTGAATCCCCCCCTCGTAGTCGTCGGCATCGTACTCGGCGGGATACTTCAACATCAGCCGTCTCAGCTCTTGTCTCTGAGCCTCCTGCTCTTCGGAATACTCGGCATAGACGTCGTCAAACACCGAACTCAGCCGCGGCTTCTTCTCCTTCTCGGCGGCCTTGAGCTCGGTCAAGATGTCCTTGCGGATCGTCGTCCTCAGCTCCTTCTCCCGCCCGTCGTCCCACAGGCCCTTGTGCTCGAGGAACTTGCGCAGCAGCGCGATCGGGTTGTCGCGGCTCTTCCACGGATGCACCTCGTCTTGGGTGCGGTAGGCGAAGCTGTCGTCGCTGGTGCTGTGGTGCGAGATGCGGTAACTCATGAATTCCAGCAGGATGGGCCGCCCGCCGTTCTCCAGCGCCCGCCGCCGCGCCTCCCGCGTGGCCTGGTAGACGGCGAAGATGTCGGTCCCGTCGACCCGCAGCGCCTCGATCCCATAGCCGATGGCCCGGCTGGCGATGCCGTCGCCCCGGTACTGCTCGCGCGTCGGCGTCGAGATGGCGAACCCGTTGTTGCGGCAGATGAAGATGACCGGACAGTCGCGCGTCGCCGCCAGGTTCAGCGCCCCGTGGAAGTCGCCCTCGCTGGCCGCCCCGTCACCAAAGTACGCCGCCGCCACGCGCGGAGAATCCGTCCTGGTCTCGCGGTCTTCCATCTTCAGCGCGTACGCGGCCCCCGTGGCGTGGGGGATTTGCGTCCCCAGGGTTGAAGCGACGGCGTGCTATGGGCATCCAAGTCAGTATTGATTCCATGTCAATCAGACTCCGTGTCAATGTCAAGCAAGGTCCATGCCGTGACAGTCTACTAAGGGGCAAACTTACCACTCCCGTCTTCAATCGGCCGCTGTAATGCACAGGCATGTTCCGGCCTTTGCCAGGGTCGTTCCGCGTGGCCAGCAGCTGGCTCATAAAGTCTTTGAGCACGAACCCGCGTTGTTTGAAAACCCCGGTCTCGCGGTACTGGCAGGTGATGATGTCCTTGGGTCCCAGGGCTGCTGCAGAGCCTACCATGATCCCTTCCTCACCTGCCGACACCTATTCACATTCACTCGAGTCAACCAGAAGAATCAGAGAAGAGAGGAGAGGGGAGAGAGGAGAGATGGAGAAAGACGGGAAGTCGATGCCACCCACCATGTAAAAGCTGATGCGGCCTTGTCTCTGGGCTTCGGCCATGATTCCATCCAAGATCTGCACTGCACGGGGACAGCATTGGTCAGCATATGAGAATCGAACACAATCACCTGACCACACCACCAGACAGGAGGCTAGAGGCCAGGAAGCCAGGAGGCAAGGAAATCAGAAACAACAACTTACCAAACACCATGTTCTGGTACCACTCGACAATCTGCTCGTTCGTCACGTCCGTGGGCATCTGCGTCTCGTCCTCGATAATGCCCTGGTTGTTCATGATGCGAAAGGTGCTGATGGGAGGCAGGGTCTTGGGATTGAGAAAGTCCATCTTGGACGTGATGGGGCTGTCGGGAGCTCCTGGGAAGCGAGGCCTAACAACATGCTGACATCAGCAACTCAACGACCAAATCAACAGTTGGTACAGCTCTAGCCAGCTCTAGCTATGACTCTGGGAAGAAACTCTAGCCATGGCCATCCGGGCGGGAGAGGCAGAAGAGGCAGGAGAGGTAGGAAAGGCGACTGACGAGGTTGAGATCTCTCCAAGGGTCAGTTGGGACTCGGCTCCCCGTCTGGCGGTGCCTGAGACATGTCGCCTCGTGCCCCGAACCGTGACCCCTGTGAATGCACGTCGCACACCGCCGAGGATGGTGGTGGTGGTGGTGGTGGTGGATGGAATCCGGGCCATTGCTACCACTGCAAGGCTGGGTTCGAGAAGCGAGAAGCAGGAGCAGGAGCAGGACGAGGACAGCCGTGAAAGCAGCAAAAGCAGCAAAGACTCCTGTATCAAGTGTCGCCCGTGTACCAGTCAGTCAGTCAGTCAGATCCCCGAATCAAGGGTCGACTCGAATCAAGTGTCGTGAGTCTATCCCAAGTCAAAGGTGGCAAGTCTATCCCAAGCCAGATGTGGCGTCGTCCCTCGGCAACCACGGTCCACGGTCCACGTCCAGGTCCATGGCTAAGGCCAGCCTCACAGGATTTACGGAGTATTGTACACCATACACCTGCATGGCACATCATGTGCCCACTGTGCCACAACCAGTCACTCCGAGTTCGCTGTGCGGCTGCGGCAGTTCTGCTGACCATGGGCCACGGCCATCAGCAGAAACGACCACGACCACACACCCTCTCCGTCCCCGTTAGCCGTTACACCATGCCTTTCCTCGCCTCGCCTCGACCGAGAACGGGGAAAGGAGAAGGAGGAAAAGTGGGCTGGTCCGACCAATCGGGAGACGGCCCAGCTTCGCCGAACAGATTGTGCTAAGCTCCGGCTAAACCAATGCGACGCTCCGGGCAGGCGTAACGGTACTGAGTACTGTATCGGTACAGTATTGTATTGACGGGCATTATTCACTCCTGAATTCATCCAGCGGTCACGATGTGAGCCATGGCCATTGGCACCTCTACTCCCTACGCTGGAATTACTAATGGGCCTGACCGTCTTGGAGCACCGCCCAAGGAGCCCTCGAACGCCGCTTCTAACCGTTCGGCTTTTGCCTGGGACATCCAGCTTACTACCCCCATACCTCGGGCAGGGGAAGGAGTTTTGTCGAGCGAAGACGGAGCACTCAGCATGATCCATGACCCACCACTCTACTGAGGACACAGGACACACTTGTAGCGCGAGGCTGTTACACTGTACACTTGACAGAAGATCTGTAAATCGACCATAGTACTGTCTTGACAGCCACTGGCAGTGCATTCCTTCTTGGTTCGGTTCGAGCTCGCACGGTCTATACAGCCTTTGCATTCTTGCTCTTCGCTTGACGGTGCCAGGCTCGCTTGTTGGTCTCGTTGTGATGGTGATGGGCATGGGCGTGGGCATGGAGATGGAAAGAATTCTCGTTCGGCAGGTTCGAACGTACGGCCTCAGCAGGCGACCAGGCTCATGGCGGCGGTCTGTCCAGCCCGTGTTCGCGTCGTGGCAACGGCATCAGCATCAGCATCAGCATCAACCCCGACGGCACTTCCACTTCTCTCGTCGCGCGGATCTGGAGAAGCCATATCTTCTCGCAGACATTGGTGAAGGTTCGTACGAGAGGCACGACATATGGCCGGCCGGCAGCTCACGTGGATGGGTTACTGATTACTGACTACCACTCTAGGAATCACCGAATGTCAAATCATCTCGTGGTCGGTGAAGCCGGGAGACAAGGTGGAGGAATTCGATCCGATTTGCGAGGTCCAGTCCGACAAAGCCACGGTTGAGGTAGGCAGGCTCACTATCACTATCACTTGACTCCAGGCTCCAGAAAGGGCCGATCTGGTCTTGCTCTGTATCTGAACTCTCGGCTAACCCACGGACGGCAGATAACGTCGCGCTTTGACGGGACCATCACCGCTCTGCATTATGAAGAAGGGGACGTCGCCGTGGTCGGCAAGGTATGTGACAGTCACAGTCCTTCTCGCCCAGCCTCGCTCAGCCCTTTGAAAGTTTGGGTTCTGAATTTCATTCCATTCCCTTCCCTCCACGATCACGACTTCGAAATGGATGAGAGCCATCGGAGATCCCACTGACACGACACAGCCGCTGTTGAACATGGACATTCCAGATGACGTGGTGGCTTCTGCGGCTGGCGTCGCGGACAAGCTGCTGGCGGGCTCGGGTCCTGATCCAGAGGCAGATGTAGGAGAGCCACAGGCGGTCCCTGTCGGCCACGGAGACCTCAGTGCACCGCTGCCAGCTCCCACTCCCTCCCCCTCGTCCAAACCCGAGTCCGAGGCCCCGGTGGTGAATCAGAACGTGGCCTTGACTCCGGCAGTCCGCCATATGCTCAAGGAGGCCCAGATCGACCCTCGCACCGTCCGAGGCACAGGCAAAGACGGCCGCATCACGAAAGATGATGTGCAGCGGCACCTGTCTGCCTCTGCCTCGACCTCAGCCTCGTCGCACTCGGAAGTGGCCACTCCTACTCAGACACCGACACCGACACCGACGCCATCCGCCGTGTCTGCCCCTGGGGACCAAAGCGTGCGCCTGACGGCGACGGAAAACGCCATGTTCAAAGTCATGACCCAAGCGCTGAGCATCCCGCACTTCCTCTTCACACACAAGGTCGACATCACGTCGCTGAACAGCTACCGCAAGAAAGCCAACTCGAGGGCGATCCTGAGCCAGATCCAGCCAGCCACAGCCGCGACCCCCAAACTGACCGTGTTGCCGTTTATCCTCAAGGCGCTCTCGCACGCGCTCAAGGCCTACCCCAAGCTCAATTCGCATCTGCACGCCGGCAGCGGCAGCGGCACCGACGTCCAACTCGTGCTCAAAGGCGCCCATAACTTCGGCATCGCCGTGGACACGCCGGCGGGCCTCCTGGTGCCGGTGGTGACCAACGTGCAAGACCATTCGATTGTTTCGCTGGCGGCGGAAATCGCCCGGTTGTCGGAGCTGGCGCGGGCCGGTCGCCTGGCCCCCGACCAGTTCCGCAACGCCACCTTTTCCGTGAGCAACATTGGAGCCATCGGCGGCGACGCCGTCGCTCCCATCATCGTGCCGCCCAGTGTCGGCATCCTGGGCGTCGGGGCCCTGCAGGAAGTGCCGGTGTTCGGGAAGGACGAGCAGGGCAACGAGGCCCTTCTCAAGCGGGAGCAGATCACGCTGAGTTGGTCGGCCGATCATAGGATCGTCGACGGCGCCACGGTGGCCAAGGCGGCCAAGCTGATGGGGAGCTTGTTGGAAGATGTGCAGAGTCTGAGTCTGGTGGCACGATAGGATAGCGGGAGAGAAGGATCTCTTAGGACGGAGGCGATCCAAAATTGACTGACAAGATTGATAGGAACCTGATAGGAATACTAGTATTAGGACTAGGATATCTATCTGTTGGGTTGAGCGCAGAGACACAATATCAGTGAGCAGGGATATCGATAGTAGTAGTTCCATTGGGTGTATGTAGCATAGCATAGAATAGTGTTCAACGGTGAGCCCGGTCTTCTATCTTGCGGTATATATCAGTAGGTACTGTATCTTGACCTCCAATATATGTAGTAGTTCAGTGTCACATATCACCTATGAATATCAATAGCACAATCAAATACATATCACCTAATATATCACCAGCACAATCAGATACATATCATGACTTGTATCCATGTACAGTATGTGTAGAGGTCTGTGTTCTATGAGACTCCAACAGCTCTGTTTTCTTTTCCTTTTCCTACCGTCCATCTCTAGGAGACCTGACCGAGATCTTGCCCCGACCGCCTACGCACCGAGGACGACATGACATGAGATGACATGACAGTTCCGGAGAGGCACCAGTCCCAGTCCCAGTCCCGGCAGAACCCCAGCTCCAGCTCCATCTCCATCTCCACCCTCTAGCTCCGGAATCGGCCTCCCGACTCCTGCGTTTGCCCGGGCAGAGGGGCAGGGGCTCCTTAGGCTTCAGGCCTCCAGACCCCACCCCGCCCAGCCGGTCTGTACGGGATGATTACAGATACAGTAGATTACACATTACTCGGTACGGGGTATTATTATTACGGCCCGGATACAGTACATACTACCTACAGACTACAGACTACGTATTGTCCTGTCCAGTATGCAAAGGGGTAGACTCCAGGGCACCGCATCGATGCGCCTCACCTCGCCTCGGCCAATCCAGCATCCACATACTACTACAGACTACTCCGTACATACATAGTACATATTATATACTGGTACTCCGTACTGGGACGGCATTTCGCCGGCTGCAGATCCATCCCATCCATCCCATTACCTTTGTCTGTTTGATTCATGTGACTGAGCACGCTTGCTTGTTTGCAGCACCCAGCACCCATAGAGCAGTATACTGTACCTACTACATACTTACAGTACTCGGTAATTGGCTCAAGACGCGTCGTCCGTCGGTGGTGGTCTCTTGGTCTTGTCTTTGTTTTTTGAATCAATTTGGGGCCGACCACTCACCCACCCATTCACTCACTCACTCACTCACTCACTCACTCACTCACTCACTTCCACACCCATCAAGCCAGGAAATGAAGATGAAGCATATTCCGCGCTGGAAGAGACCACAGTCCCTGGTCATAACGCCGACTCCAACTCTCAGCAGAACGACAACCACAACCACAACGACACAATTTCCCCAAAGTCAATGCCGGAGATATGTATCACAAGGTCAAGGCCAACGTCGACGATATGCATCCGCATCACCAGCAGCATCTAGCCAACGCAGGCTCAATGTGCCCATTGACTTCGCCACCAGCCCTCTTCTGCACCAGACGTCCAAGACATTCGGACGCACGCCGGGTCTACCAGCGGGGGCGGACCTCGAGGCCACGGGCGGCTCACAGCGGTTGAATCTGTATCAGGCGGTCAACGCGGCGTTGCGCACGGCGCTGGCCGAGTCGAGCAAGGTGCTGTGCTTCGGCGAGGACGTGGCGTTTGGCGGCGTGTTCCGCTGCACGATGAATCTGCAGGACGAGTTTGGGCCGGACCGGGTGTTCAACACGCCCATCACCGAGCAGGGCATCGTGGGCGCCGCCATCGGCATGGCCGCCGAGGGCGCCCGGCCTGTGGTCGAGATCCAGTTCGCTGACTACGTGTTTCCCGCCTTCGACCAGATTGTAAACGAGGCGTCCAAGTTCCGCTACCGGGAAGGCGCGACCGGCGCCAACCTGGCCGGCATGGTGATTCGAATGCCGTGTGGAGGGGTGGGACATGGTGCTTTGTGAGTGCCCCCCTTTCGTCGGCTCTGCTTTGCTCTGCTTTGCTCTGCTTTGCTCTGCTTTGCTCTGTTCTGTTTTGGTCTGCTCTGCTCTAGTCTGCTCTGGGCCCAGACCCTCTCCGCCATGTCTCTCCCTCTCCACATTTCCCTTTCGCTAACCATGGCGTTGATAGATATCACACTCAATCTCCCGAGTCGCTGTTCTCCCACATCCCCGGGTTCAAAGTAGTGATGCCGCGATCACCCAGCCAGGCCAAAGGCCTCCTGCTCTCGGCGATCCTGCAGTCGCCAGATCCCGTCATCTTCATGGAACCCAAGATCCTGTACCGGGCGGCGGTCGAGGAGGTGCCCAACGCGCTGTACACGCTCCCGATCGGCCAGGCCGAGGTGCTGAAGCCCGGGGCCGACGTGACCATCATCTCGTACGGCCGGCCGCTGTACACGTGCAGCGCGGCCATCGAGGCCGTGGAGAAGGAACGGCCAGACATCAGCGTGGAGCTGATCGACCTGCGCACCATCTACCCGTGGGATCGGCCCACCGTGGTCAAGAGCGTGGCCAAGACTGGCCGCGCCATCGTCGTCCACGAGAGCATGCTGAACTATGGCGTCGGCGCCGAACTCGCTGCCACTATTCAAGATCAGGCCTTCTTACACCTCAAAGCCCCTGTCAAGAGGCTGGGGGGTTGGACCACCCATACGGGTCTGGCGTGGGAGAAACTGATCTTCCCGGATGTTACCAGTATGTTGCCTTCTCTCTCTCGTTCTTGGGCCCCCGAGACCGTCCTTTCTTTCTCTCGTTCTTGGTCCCCCGACCGTCCCCTTTGTTTCCCTCGTGCAAGTATCTCTTATCTGTCGGTCATGATATGATCCCGCTGCTGATATCCATCTTCTAGGGGTGTATGATGCCATCCACGAGGTTCTCGACTACTGACCTGCTGCCGCTGCCGCTGCCGCTGTTACCGCTTCGTTGTTTGTGTCAAAGGTTGAAATGTTCCATGTTCGTGTTCGCTATCAAAGGGGTATGGGTATGGGGGACCTAAGCCCAGATTATATAGGTGTGCCTATAGTGCCTAAGCAGCCTTCGGGTTAAATACAAGGCTGGTAATATGCCTATAGTGCAAATCAGCCTTCTGGCCAAGGAACAAGGCTGAAAATGTGCCCAAGTTTGACAGTTTAGAACAAGGCTGGGAATGTCCTATGCCCAAGTTTGACAGTTTGACATGGAGGGTCGGGCAAGGCAAGGCAAGGCAACAAAGGCCACAGGCGCCGGATTCGGATTCGGGGTTCAGATTGTAGCTGGCATCCCACACCGCCGGACTGTCACTCTATACTCGTCAAAGGTTGAAATCTTTCCATGTTCTCTATCAAAGGGTCGCAGGGGGAGCGTATGCTTTATAGTGTATGTAGCATGCCTAAACCAGCTTTCCGGGTAAAGCACAAGGCTGGGAATGCCTAGGTTAGTGCCTAGGGTTGACTGTATCGCCTGTTAAGACTGTACTAAACAAGATGGCAGAGCTCACCGATGCTCTTTTGATACTACACTATATTATTCTACGTAGTGGACCAGTTTCAAATTCAAATCTTTCGACCCTAGGGACAGGGATAGGGACAGCAAATATACGGGTTAGAAAAGATCAGTCTCTTCCCCTGTCACAGTTATGGTTATAGTAGTAGTGATCTCTCGTCTTGACCTACAGATGACCCATGACCATGACCATGGCTAGTAATACTATGTGGATGTTGTTGGTGATGATAACCATGACCATGACCAGCAATACTAGCCCATCAATACCTCCTTATATCTTTATGACAACAAGTTTCATACAGAGGCACTAAGTGAACTCCTCGAATCGGACCAGAAGTTCTGTTTCTATCATGGATAGTAATGGTGCCTTCTTTAGAACTCTAAGCGGCAACACAAGAGATATTGATGTTGTTGTTGATGATGACCATGACTATAACCATGACCATGACGATATATAAGGACTAGTATCAGCACCAGACCATCACCAGACCATCACTAGACCACAACTATGACCACAACTATAACGATATATCAGCACCATCACTAAACCATCGCCACACCATCGCCACACCATCGCCACACCTTCACCAGCGCCGTTAGGATCGATTCAAGGTCAGAACGATAATAGAAGTTGGATCGATTCAAGGTCAACGGTAGTAGAAGTGAGATTAATTCTAGGTCAAAACGATAGCAAAAATAGGATCGATAAGGTTAGAGTAGCAGCAAATAGGATAGATTCAAGGTCAGAACGGAAGAGTAGCAAAAGTGGAATCGATTCAAGGTCAGAACGGAAGAGTAGTAGAAGTGGATCGATTCAAGGTCACGATAGTAAAAGTAGGATCGATTCCCATCAAATCTTACTAAACTTCATCCCCTCGCCCACCGTCCGCCATTGCTGCTTCTCATCCAGCTCATTCTGTGCTTCCCGCCACTCAGCCATGACGATGTCGACGCGGCGCTGCGACCTGGGCGTGAAGGTCGCCTCAAACGGCTCCGGCATGCACACGACGGCCTGGGTATACCTGTCCGGCTCGGGCAAGATCGGAGAGTTTGTGACGGGGTCCAGCTTGGGGGAGATGTCAAAGGTCCACAGCATGCGCGAGATGGCCAGGAAGATGGACTGTTCGGCCAGATGGATGCCGGCACAAAGCCTCCGACCGGCGCCGAAGACGAAGTGGTCGCGCTTGGCCACGTCCGCGTTCTGCGCGGATTCGGCCGCGGTGGACAGGTCGCCTTCGTAGCGGTCCGGGTCGAACTCGTGCGGGTGGGCGTAGCGCCCCGGGTCGTGGTGGATGGTGTAGACGTTGTTGATGAGCATGGCGCCGGCGGGGATCGTGTAGCCCATGTACTGGATGTCCTCTTTCGCGGCGTGCGGGGCCGCGCCCATGATGGCGGTCGGCATCCATCGCAGCGTCTCTTTCACACAGGCGCGCAGGTATGGTAGTCGGGGCAGGTCGTCGATGGTGGGGAGCCGGTTGTCGCCGACCACGCGGTCCAGTTCGGCCTGGGCCTTGTGCTGGGCCGCGGGAAACAGTACCATGGCCTTGACGAAGCCGCATAGCTCGCCGCCCGTCGTGTCGGTGCCGGCCTCGAGGGCCGCGCCGGCCAGGTATGCGCCGAACTGGTCGGTGAATCCTTCCTGCTTCTGCGCCAGCAGCAGATCGACGCAGAAACACGGCTTGGCTGTGCCTTGGGCTAGTTTGGCCTTGGTCTCGAGCCACAGGCTGACGTAGAAGGCTGCCGTCCGCTTCTGGTGCTCCGAGGCGTCCTTGGTGATGGGAGTCATCCAGGCCGGGAGTCGTCGCAGCACCGGGTACACGTCCATCAGGGCGGCCGTGCTGGATTGCATGAAGGTGGTGAAATCCTCCAATCTGCCACCACACACGTAAGTCTCGTCTCAGGGCGGCCAGACACAGACAGGTACGAACCCTTGCAGGAACCGGATCAAGGTTGGGTCGTCGGATGAAGGGGTTCGTCGGCTGCAATCAGAACAAGAACATCAGAGCTGTTTCCACTGCGGATGGGGATAGATAGGCTGGGGGATACATAGGCTGGGGGTATCAAATGAAGGTGGAAATGTGATAGGTTCTCAATCAAAGGGTCGCAGGGGGGAAGAGGCGCATGCTATATAGTATAGTATAGCCTAAACCAGCCCTCTGGCTAAAGGACAAGGCTGGGAATGTTGACAGCGGGATGGTACATACCCGTATGCCATGGTGGTGATCAGCGAGTTGGAGTACCTGCGCGAGATTGCATCAGAGAGAACGGCCAGGAAGCAGACACGCAGCGGGTTGAGCGGTGAATAGATTGCCACCTGAAGCGCCTCTCGTAGAGACTCAGGGAAAATGGTAGGTTTCTTCTGGTCGGCGATACAGACCGTTTGATATGGTGGATGAAGTCATCCGGCTTCTGGATCAGATCGACCAGCATTTGCTTGTTCTCCAACATGACATATCTGGTGCACGAGGCTGGGAATTAGCCATCTGGTCGACTGTGAAAAATCTTGAAGATAAATTGAAAACTTGAAACCATCTGATCGACATCGACTTTGAAAAATCTTGAAAATAAATTGAAAACTTCAAAAGATTATAGCAATAACAGGTATAGGTAAGATTTTTCGCCGCAAGTCTGTCCACGTACGGGAGGTAGGTTCTTGTGACCTGTAAATTGAGCATCTTCTGGAACAGCTTTCGCTGGAGCCGCCACTTGGGGCCATTGGGCTGAGCGGTAGCCGGTCAGCTAGAGGCTTCTCTCGACATGGATCACGGATCATGGGCGACGGGACGCTTGTACCATGAGAAGCATGTGCTCTCCACCCGTCAAGAGTCGGTGGCCGACGTAGTGGTCGCCTCTCTCGTTGGTGACGGCACTCCGCTTGTCGAGCACTTCCTTGACCGCGACGTCGCTGGAAAGGACGACCATGGTCGTAGTGCCCAGGATCAGGCTGAACACCGGGCCATATTGTGCGGACCACCGCTGGAACTGCTTGTGCACGTCCTTGGAGGGCATCTGCATCCCGAAGTGAGTGAGATTGAGAACCAAGCTCTGCCGGTCGACATCACAGGCACAGGCACAGTCACAGGCACCGACACAGGCACAGACACAGACACAGGCACGTACGTACCTGGTGCAAGTTCCCCAAGATGGGAATGGTCGGGGGGCCCGGTGGATATCTTCGCGGTCTCCTCCCAATACGTAGAATCCGAACCAAGAGGACGACGGTGGCCAGGAGAGCCAGATACCACGGGAAGAACATCTTCATCGTCATGGCGGCCAGGTGGTTCTTGTTTTGGGGGTCAAGTCAATAACAGAGATTGAACAGTAGATCTCACCTGAGACGGCCGGCCCTGCAACTTGACTTATATGCCCTGCCCTGCTCTGCCCTGCTCTGCCATCCCATCCCATCCCATCCCAGATCAAGAGCAAAGACACCCGGCCCCCCAAGCCCGACCCCGACCCCGACCGAATCCGAGTCCGAGCCATCTGAGGGGTCCTAAGGGTGCCATCGTGGCATGGCAGCCTTAGCTCCATCTCCCTCCCCCGCTCCTCTGCAAATCCCCAGTCCCCAGAGTCACGCTCCCCGCGGGGAGAAAAGGCGCTAGGTGTCCAGCGTCGACGGCTAAAGAGGCCTCAGGAGCCCCTTAGCCCCTCAGCCCGCCAATGGAGCCGGAACCCTCTTTCACTGACTCCGAGTGCTTTGCCAAAGTACATAGAAGCGGATGGCTCCAGCGGTCGCTCAACAATGATAAGGCTGCCTGCATCGGTCATCGATTGTTCACTACGGCGTCACAGAGCCCTACCAGAGAGTCACGAAGGAGGGACGAGCCCTCGCAAAGCGGAAGATACCAGATTCCAAACCGCAATACACCAACCGGAGGACCAAAGAGGCGAACTGAAAGTGTTATAACGTCTGGTATCTCGGTGGTCCTAACTCAACGTCAAATCACATATAGGCGAAGGATTCATGCCGCCTCCGGTAATACCATGATCCATGATCCATGATGCATCATGCATGGCCCAACGTTATTCGTTCCGTCATACCCCTGCCGTCGCTGAACCCAATTCTTCCTGGGAAGATGCCCGGAGCTGGAGCCACCATCTATCCCAAAGAACGTCTGTATCCCCACCACACTGCAAACCCAAGAGCAGTCCAATCCGCCTTACTCCGTCTCCGTCGTGAGCAGCAACTCGACAATGAGATGGCTCTTGTCGTATTCCGGATGCTGCAACACCAACTTCGGAGTGCGTGGCGCGGTCAGGAAATTCTTGAGCCCGAGACCATTGATCCCCCCTCCTAAAGCCGGCTGTGTTTGCGTCTGGGGCTGGGCGCCGCCCGAACCGCCCCCTCCATCATCAAGGAGCCGGATGTCCTTCCCGGCGATGACTTGCTTCAGTCGGCCGTTCTGCGCATCCCGAATCTCGACAAAATCGTCGTCCACCAGGATCAAGTATTGCGCATAGAGGCAGGCCGACTTGGCCCGACCCACGAACTCCATCACCACTCCACGTGAGATGTCTCCGTGCTTGTTGACATAGACGGCACATTCCTCAAACGTCACCAGGAATTCCGCCTCGCCCAGCCGGAACATGCCCAGAGGCTTCAAGTCTTTGATCCGACTGGCGATCGAACTCAGATGGGCCTGCGTCTCAGGCTGATCGCTCCTCAGATTAGGCACGCTCCATGTCTGCTTTTTCTCCAGCGTCAGCACTTCCACGCCGCGCGCGGTGGATATGGCCAAGCTTGACTGAAACAGGTTCAGGCTGTAACACTCGGCCGGGATGTAGAACTCGTCGAATTCCCGGAAGAACTCGGTTTGGCCGCGTCGCGAGGATGAAGGTAGGAAGCGGGATCGGCTGGTCGTGCTCCGTTGGAGAACAGGCTCGAGGACCTTGAAGGTCGAAGCGATGCCGTCGCGCTTTTTGTAAAAGACCAACGTCCGCTCCTTCATCCGGCCGGTCACAAAGAAGCCCACGTCCTTGGAGCCAGACAGCTTTTGCGGTGCCTTCCGACTCGAGGCATCAGTCTGTGGGGCCAGGCTGCCGGTCGGCGGGCAGACTACGTCCAGATGATAGGCGACGAGCGCCTTGTCCGAAATAAGCAAAAATAGGTTGAACTCCTCCAGAACCGCGATCTGGCCTACTCGTTGCATCGGGATAGCCTAAGACACGTTAGTTCATGGCCGGTACAACGAATGAGAAGCTTGGTGGCGCTCACCCGGACCCAACCCCGAGAATTCTGGTATTCAGATATATATACGCCGTAGTCGGTGCCGACGGCGCACATGAGCCTGCCATATGGTTGATTAAACACCGTGGCACAATTGATCGGAGCTCGGCAAACAGGCGCTGGACGGCCCTGGCCTTCGAACTTCTTTTCCGTCTCCTGGATCGCCCTGTCCAGGGGAGTCCCCTTGATCAATATACGTCTTTGAGGGTAGGCGAGCCCTTCGTAGCCGAAGGCAGTGTCTGCCAGCACCCGAAGCTTGAAAGGCTCGGCGTTCTGAGAGAACAACGCTTCCGCATGTCTCGTTTTGGCTTGGATGATGGCTTCACACCAATCTTGACGGTTTGGAGCACTGGGAGCATACAGTGTGTAGGTCTCGGTTTTCCCAAGGTGTTTGACGCGGAAGGGATACATGATCTTCTCCTCTTTCGAACTGCCCGAGTCCAAGGTCGTGATGGGCACCATCGATTGGCTGGTATTGCCGGATCCGATCGAGAGATTGGTGCTCGCGTGTGTCAGAGAGCCCGGCTGTCCTCCGCTTGCCGTCGACTGGGCCCGTGCCAGTCGAGAATCCGGGGCGGTCGGCCCTCGAGACACCACAGTGGAGGTGACGGCTCCGATTCCTTTGACCGACGACTTCACCACCGCGGCATCATTGGAGCTTTCCAGCACCAGGAGGTCCATGGGAATAGGAACCTTGGAGACGTCGTAATACCCTTCCTTGCGGTCTCGATTGATTAGAGGTTTCGCCAGGACGAGGTAATGATCGAACAGGATGGCATGCGTGTCGACCCATTGGAAGCCTTTCCCTCCCGCACGTTGCAGATCGCCGCGGAACACGATCTCCCGACCCAGATGGTCGAGGTTCAGCTCGACCTCTTTCTCCATGGCCGGCCGGAGTCGCAACTTGGTTTGCATTTCAATCAGCTCCATCTTCTTGGTCATCTCGGCAAACTTGGAATCACACTCAAACGTCGCCGCTCGGATCTCGTCCAGCGCATACGCGAGGTTGTTCTTCTCTTCCGAATCTTTCAGCATGTTCTTCTGCACCGTCGAGAGCAACAGACTGTACCGTTGCAGTCTGGTAATCGGGGCTTTGAGGTAATTGTCCCAGCCCAGCCGATTGGATCGCTTGTCCTCGCGAGCTTGGTCGAGAAATTGTTTGAAATGGACATTGCGCTCCGCCTCTCGACGCATCAGGTAATCTGCACGAGGGAAATTCGAGGCGTATTCCACATACACCGGCCGAGCTTTCCTGATCCATTCGCGGAATATGTCGCTAAAGCCCACGATCCAAGGCCCTTGCTCGGTCTGCCGATACTTCAGCTGACCGAGGAGGTAATCTTGATTCACCTTCTTGACTTTATCAACCCCTCCAAATACCTCTCTCAAAAAAACCGGCAGTTTCTTGGATGGAATGATTGGGACTGGGGCAGCCGCCAGACGGTCTCTGTACAGGATCCTGAGAACATCCAGTTGGCTGATGTAGAGGTCTTCGCTGGTGACGATTTCGTGCAAGACATTCTGTCGTTCAATCTCCTTCTTGTCATGAGTCGCGATGTCTTCTTTGCCGAGCTTGTAGAACGTCACCCAGTCCTCCGACTTCTTCTCCACCGGTAGAGAATCGAGGTCAATCTTCTTGAGTGTCCTCATGCAGTGGAACGAATAGCAGCGCCCTCGAGTGTGATATGGGTGCAGTTTGGAGGAATAGCATCCACTTCCCGTGAGTTGATAAAGGGCGCCAGACAGCGTGCCCGGGCCAAACTTCACCCACTCTTCCTCTCTCACCAAGGCATTGGCGCCCAACATCTCCTTGACCACTCGCTCACCAAGAGCCTCGGCTTCGGTGATATACATGGTCGGAACTTTGTGCATGAAAAGTGCGACAATGCCTTCGACGATGCTGTTCTCTTTCAGATCGGCCTCATCCTCAGCCAAATCCTTGATCCAGGCCAGAACTGAGCTGAGCGCCCAAGGTTCGGCGCACTTCTTAAGTTGATCGGCGGACAGCTTGGCAGGATTGTACCGTTTCTTCGGAATGGCGGGTAGGTCCAATGCAACGGCGGACTGAGGGCTGGCGATGTCATAAAGATCGGACACCGGCCGCTCTTGTTGACGCGCGAGTTTCTGCCGGTCTGCGTCAGTTTTCGAGCGAACCGGATGCTCCACTCGGGGGGCACTTCGGGTGCTCGACAGGGAGGTCGATCGGGGAACAGGTGAGGGACTGAGCAAGGGAGGAGTGTACGACTCGGGTGCGGGAGGATAACCACGGGAACTTGTATCCGTGTATTGTGAGAATCGGGTTTGCTGAGTGTAAGTACCAGCAGGCATCAAATGTGGGATGCGCGAGCCCGGGTCGGAGTGTGAAGGAGGCGGTGGTAGCGGTCGCTGTTGGCTCAGGCCCGGATGGAAGAACAGATCTGGCATCGAATCTCGTGACGGACTCGTATCTCCAGAGGCACGGCCTGTCTCCGAATCCATCAAAGTCGCCTCATCGCCATCTTCATAGCTTAACCGACGAGGATGAGGACTCGGTTCGGTAAGTCCGCCAGTGCCCCCCGTATCGACGCGCGCGACATTGTGGATGGACTCGTACTGACGGAGATGGTCCGCAGGAGGAATGGATTCGAATCCGCTTGCTTGGGATTCTCTGCCTTCGGAGGACACGCCAGAGCTACGGACAGAATTCATCCGTGTATTCAGCCGGCCATACAAGTCACTTTGCGGCATGGCTGCGGCAGCAGCGTAGTTTGACTCATTCGACTCGCCGTATGACATGTCTGGCGCATAGCCTCCACCTACGAGACTCAAATCGTACCCGGCATAGTCACTGTCGCTGCTCTGCTCCTGCCCAGAAAGATACGGCACGGCCCCTTCAACGCGCGACTGGCTGGGGAAGAGGGTGGCTGAACCGCTACGTCTGCGCGCATCCTCTGCCCTCTCCTGCTCGTCCAATGCTTGCAGAGCAGCGAGTCCGGCGGCAGCCTCAGCATCACTGTCGTCTGTGAATGCTCCGTAGTTAATATAAGTGCCTCCGCTAGAGGCAATGTTTCCGTTCAGGTGGGTCGGAACCTCGTCAGGCGAGAGAAGCGGCTGAGGCGAAGGTTGTTGATACATACCGTTGGGGCCGTCGTCCCTCAGGTCACGGTACCTATGGTCACTGGTGGGCCTTGTGTGCCCAGAAGTGCTTCCGATGGCCTCATCCAGGTGAAGCATCAAGTCGTCGTAGCCGGACTGACGGGCACCACCATCCGCAGCGTTTTGTGAGTCGGTGGGGATGAAATAGTCATTGTCGGACTCTGACTCCGAAGGTACCCCCGGTAGAGACCTTCCCTGAGGATGGCGGTCAAGGGTGTTAGTGCGCTGGGGGGATTGGTTTGAAGGCTGTCTACTGGGCGGCGTGGGAAGCGAAGGTTGTGGTGAGATAGATTGACTGCTCAGTCGACTTGCAAATGAAGAATTTCTGTTGATGTCCGGAGATGAATAGGCATTCAAGGCTGAGTTCTGGTATGGCACTGTCGTTCCGGCGCCATAAGGGTACCCTTCCTCGGGAATACTTGTGGATCTCGAATGGGGCCGGCCTGCGAGCGCTGAATCATGTGGAGGGGGCGCCGGGGCAGGAGGAGAGTAGGCTGGATGAGCCTGGCCGGCGGAGGAAGTGCTAGGACGACGGACATGGGACTGCTGAACAGCGTCATGCTGATATGCACCGTACGCTTGTGTATGCGAATACGGGACTTGCTCGGGCCGGGGAGGAGGGGGAGGAGGCTGATTAGAGGCATAGTTTATCTGAGCGTTCGCATCGTAGTAGCCGTAACTGTTGTACACCGAAGGGCGACGAGCCACGTTGGGGTCCCCATAAGCTGCTGGAATATATGGCTGATAGGTGCTGGACGGGTGAGCAGACTGTGGACTAGTATATGTTTGCGGAGTGTATGCCGATTGCTGCTGTTGTTGGTACTGAGCAGGATTGTAAGGTGGATGAGCAGGCACTGCCGGTTGATATTGGTGTTGATATCCTCCCAATGCGGTATGTTGTGTGTTTGTTCTGAAAGGGAGTGATGTCGCAGCCTGCAAATTCGGCGCCTGCATTCTGTTCACTGGTGGACTTGCTCCCGTCTGCCCAGTGTAGGCCTGGTATCCTTGTATTGACCGCGCATGTGTCTGGCCATGATCTCCCTCGATGAATCGGTCGTCATCTCCGGCATCGAAACTCGAGGTGCGCTCGAGAGGTCGCGAGGGGTATGGAGGCTGGGAGCCATACGGCGAGTACCCAGTGTTCTGGCCCGAGGAGGGATGGTTGTTGGAAGGATAGTGAGGCTGACCATTCTGGTAGCTGGCCATTGTCAGCGCGGGAGCGACGTTGTGAGGCCGCGACGGGGTGGAGGAAAGTCAACGCAGGATCGGTGTATGGTCTCGTTGCGCATGTTCGACGGCTCGTAGAAAGAGGTCAATTGTGTTTCACGAGCACCGGTCGCTCGTCTGGGATCGACGAGCGTTGCGCAGGCTCATCTGTGACGAGGACGGCGGTGGTCGCAAGGCAACCTGAAATCGGCTGCGAGGAATTACCACGGGCGAGGAGTGAGCGCTAGGGCGCAAAGGCTCAGCTAGACAGCTCGAAACTCATTGTGGGATGTGGAAGAGGATCTGAGTAGGTGATGGTAGACTGGATGAATGATCAAATGTCGACACGAGCCGTCAGCGGGACGGACACCAGACACCAAGTGCCAGGAGCCAGGATGATCGACGCAGCATGCACAACTAGCACGCCAGGCTCGGGCCATAATAATGCTGAACCGGTGTAGGGAGCGAGTATCTGTGTGTACTCCGTACTCCGTACTCCCACTACTGCGCCGTATAGGCGGGCAGGTTTAGGTGCCTACTATATACAATCAACTATTAGAGGGTAATCATGTCAGGCTACGGAGTATCTGTACACCACCACGAAAGACACGTTAGGTGCACGTAGGTACTGTCAACCGCGAGGTCGACCATTCTATCGATGCCTACCTTATGATGACCCTCTCAAGAAGATTCAACAACAGTACGGAGTATCATGCTCTCAATACTCCTATAGTCTACATTGCAGTAACTCTGAGTGTTGCCACGACTTCCAAGGTTGTCGACTCCATTGCAGCCAGATAAGAACTCAGCCGCGACAGCGCTCATTGCAGTATACCAGCTAGGTACACATACATAATCAGGCATCCAGACACTGATGCCTGATGCCAGCGATAATGTAACTATTTTATCCGATCCAATCGTCCTCCTGAAACTTGCAATCCTCCATCTTCCGTGCTCTGTCGTTGGAATTAAAGAGCTTCAGTGCAGTCCCTCTGTGACCGAACATCGCCCATGTCCATGCTCATTTTACGCTGCTGTCGACGACTTCTCTCCAGATTGCTGCTCCCGTATGGCGTCGAGCACCCGTTCAGCTACCCTCACCCCCTCGAGCCCGGCCGGCAGCCCGCAGTAGCCTGCAACCTGGATCAAAGTCTCTCGGATCTCGATTTCGCTCGCCCCGTTATTGACTGCACCTCTCACGTGGACTGCAAGTTCCGTCATCCTGTTTAGGGCGCAGAGCATGGCGATGTTCAACAGGCTCCGAGTCTTGCGGTCGAGACCAGGGCGCGTCCAGATGGAGCCCCAGCCCACCTCTGTCGCAAGCTCCTGCATAGGCCGGGCGAAATCAGAGGAGCCATTTTGCAGCGAGCGATGAACATGGTCGGCCCCAGTGACATCAGTGCGAACCGCGAGACCTTGATCATATAGAGTCTTGTGGGCTTCAGCCACTCTGTCTGCTTGTGAGGCCATTCTGTTTTCCGCAGGCTGTTGGAAGAATGGCTGTAGATTCCGATCGAGGAGTTCTAGTAAGAAGATATCAGGAAGAGGTGGCGTCTCAAGATGTGCTACATACACTACGATACTGTACTAGTTCACCTCCATCGAAAATTGCAAGGAGCCGCAGACACGTCTAGTGCGGGGTTGATGAGCTGGAAAACAGGCAGACAAACAAGGCTGAGAATGGCTGTTTACCACGTCCCATCCCGACCCTGCCTTCAATGTGCGGCTCAAGGATACCTGTATCCTGTGTCCGTGTGGAATACTAGGTACCTACTATACCTACTAGGTAGTCCCTAGTAGTATTCATTGATACGCAGCAGCCGAGAGCTGATGCACGTGCCCGAGGTGCCCATGGAAGCTGAAATCCAGTAAAATACGTCATCCAGGCACCTTACAGGGAACTTCTCCCGGACAAGTTCTGGGTGCGGTCTTTGCCAGAGTCATCCAACAAGCTTGTAGTTTCGCAGTTGCTGCGCGTTGCGTATGCCTATTTATGCTACTCCCGTCACATCAACCATGTCTTATGTATTCATTGTCGTCTCCTGATGAATGCATTCGACCCCCGAGCTGATTTCTGACAGAATGGTTTAACCATCTAACCCATCGTGCCGCCGTCACCTCCTGGCGCAGATTCTCGCACAATCTCATCCTGCCCAAGCTCCATCGGTCTCTCTCAACCGACCATGAAGCCCTCCGATCAAGCACCTCTGTTCCGTCGTTCATCCTCGACCACTCACTACCAGACGTTTGGTGGTATAACTCCGCCGAAATCACGAGGCCGGCCGCTCTCCGACTCGTCCAACTCGTCCAGCCATGACCTCCGCAATGCGGAAAGGCACCACCAGAGCTCGCCCTTACCCAAGAAGCAGATGGCAATCCTGGCGGTAATAGCTCTGTGTGAGCAGACCGCACTCAACTCCATCAGCCCCTACCTGCCCGAGATGGCCTCCACCTTTCCCGAAGTGAAACCTGGACAAGTCGGCGTCTATGTGGGCGTCATAGCATCAGCCTTTGCTCTTGCGCAGCTGACCACCAATTTTTTCTGGGGCTGGCTATCGGATCGGATAGGGAGAAAGCCTGTGATATTGTTGGGAACCCTGTTCACTGCCGCCTGCTTCGTCGCGTTCGGCTTTGTCAAAACACTAGGCCAGGCGATAGTGGTACAGGCTTTGATGGGCCTGTTGAATGGGAATCAAGGAGTCGTCGCCACCTGCCTAGGGGAGATCACAGATCGCAGCAACCAGTCCCAGGCGTTCACCTATCTACCAGTCATCTACGGGCTCGGGGGGATTACTGGCCCCGTGATCGGCGGCATACTCGTGTATCCCAGAAACCCCTTCGACAAGTCACAGCCCAATCCCTACCCCTTCCTTATACCTAATCTTCTCTCAGCCGCCATCTTATGTGTCGACCTCGTTCTCACGTTGATTTTTCTCGAGGAGAGCTTGGAAGAGGCTCCGTATCTTGGCCCCATTACTTCTCGGGTCAAGATTCTCTTTACATGGTTGTGGGAGTTCACGGCCTCAACCAGGCCGCATTATCTGAGGAGGCGTAAAGGGAAGGCACAACGGAGACACAGCAATGGGCTTGCTGAGGTTTCGGATGACGAGGACAATGATGGCTCGGATCGACCGGCCTTGTTCACTGCGACCGACGAACTGAAGAGAAGTGACGTGCTCAACCGAGATACCATCCTTCTTCTTCTAACCTATCTCATCTTCCAGTTGGCCAATGTCTCCTTCAACTCCCTCTTTCCCATCTTCGCGCAAGCTCCGACACCGACTGGGCGGGGTCTGGATCCAGAAGAGATAGGGCTCTCGCTTGGATTTGCCGGAGTGGTGACCATCTTGTTCCAAGTTGGCGTCTTCGGGAAATTCCGAGACAAGATGGGCAACAGATGGACATACCGGGCGGGACTGGCCGGCTTTGTGATAGCTTACTTTCTAATGCCCTGGGTCGGGTATAAGGACAAAGGCCCTGGTCAAGGAGGCTTGTCGTTCGGCGCGGCATGGTTATGGGTTGAGATCTGTGTCGTGCTTCTCATCAAGACTGTGGCGGCGGTCGGAGGCCTCACAAGCGCTCTGCTATTGGTAAGCCCATCCTCCTTCGCCGTACGTATCCGCTGGGCAGACTGACCGGGATTTACAGATTACCAATTCGGCTCCCAATCACTCGGTGCTTGGAACGCTCAATGGTCTAGCCCAGACGCTCTCGGCAGCGGGTCGGGCTGTTGGCCCATTTGTGTCAGGGGGCATCTTCTCTCTTGCTACCAAGGTGCAGCCCAAAGGCGAGGCTTTGGCGTTTGGCACCTTTGGTGGAGTGGCATTTGTGGGCTTTCTGCTGAGCTTTGGAATCAGGTCGCCTAGGTTAGAGGCGGAAGGCTGGCACTCTGAAGATGAAGAAGACGACGTTGACGTTGATGATGACGATGATGGGTCTGACAAATCTGCGGATGAAGAAAACTGATTCGGGATACGCAGTCTCGAAAAACACACTGATCTACACGAGCACTACGGGAGAAATATCGAGCGAAGGAGTTCAGACGGTGGCAAAAAGAAAAGGAAACAATACCGGGATGGTGGGAAAAATGGTTCCTGTTTGCTGTGTATTACTGTTGGGAAAAGGCGAGACGCAGCAATGCCTCTAACGCTTGGACATGGATTTTATAATGGATTCGATGTATTGGAGTCTGTATAGAAAAGACGCATATTTTCGACCCTCAGGATTAAGTACTCTAGTTTCACACTGACTGCCAGACGCGCAGGTGATTGTCGCGAGACAATTCACCCGTCGCTCGGCTGTCTCGACTTTGGCTTTTTCGGACTTTGTTCATCATTGGGTCTTGTCTCGTCCACTGCGTCTAGTCCGCCTCGCACGCGCATCCGCTCTCACACCCCGATCGCCAGGTCACCGTCGCTCCCAATGTGGGCACGTCAACCCCTCTCGGTCTCGACGGATCGACGAGTGCGCAATTTCATCGATTCTTTCTTCACGTCCATGATCCTCAACCTGGTCGAGAACTTCATGCGGCCCGTCGCACACGATATATAAATATTGATAGACCAAACGTCGGCTTTTCCGGCGCTCGATGCGCAAGAGAAGCTGGACGGCGGACACGACCGATCCTCCGCATGCACACACGCGCATTTCTGCGCCAAAGAGGCTCGGATTGAAAACTACATGAACATGTCCGTCCTCATCAGCGGGCGTCCACGACCGGGCTGGTTCTGCCGTCGTGACAAGAGCATCCATGTACACCGTACATCGTAGCAGACCGGCCACAGTCGTGGCGTGCAGAGAAGAATCAAAGTAGCAGATCGGGTGATCTGACTTGGTTCGCCTCGGACCCGTGCACGCTGGTTCTTCATTGCCTGGTGCGTGTGGGCAAGATCGATCGGGCCGCGTTTCGCTTCGCCACTCCTGCTTGAGTCATGTCGTCCGAAACGACTCGGGGTCCCGACTCTTTGACACCAAGCGCCATCTACACAACGTCAGGATCGCCAGATAGATATATTTCGCGCGGAAATAAAACGGAGCGAGTTTGACGTCGCGTCAGAAGGGCACTTTGGTGCGCGCGCAAACGACAGCGAGGCGGGAGGTGGCGAGCACGACGGAGCGAGGAAACAGGCAGGACACCTGGGTGCTTGGTGAGACGAGGTTGGTCGCTTGGTCTCGGGAGCGTGCATCTCTTCGATCTCTGTTCTTGGTGGGGTTTTCACCGGGACTTGACCGGAGTCTGTCACGACGACGGCTGCGGATACTTGCAGCCGATGTTTAGAACCCGGCGCAAGCACCCATCTGCCCGTCGTCGTGTGTCCCTCGAGGAATTGGGTAGTGTGAAGAATGGTGTTTCGGCATCGAGAATTCGGCCCTGCAACAAAGAAACATGTTAGATCCTGAATGTCTCTCCTGGTCCTTTACGAAGAGTGCTGATATATGTGGTGCATATATGTCCGGCCGCGACATGCTGGTAATACACTGACCTTTGACCTTGGATGAAGGAGAAACCGGTCACGGAGAATTCGCGAATCGTCTATGAGATTTGAGGTTGGCGAGCGCAGGGGGGGGCGGGCACGGACTCCGCTTCTCGAAGGTGGGCACCTAAGCCTAAGGAGTTACCGACCATTGATGTACCTGGCCATTAGGCGACGAGACCTTACAAAAGTCTTCAAGGAGATCAAAAATGATGAGACGGTGCAGACTCAACGTGACTCTGCTTTCGCGTCACTTGGCATGATACAGAGAGACGGTACTCCGTACTTCGACGAGGGTGAGTGAGAATACCTAAGGTACCTGGTATATACTCTGTAAAGGCGGCGAGATTCTCAAATGAATCACGATGACGAATGCACCAAATGCTTAATCATACATTATGTAATTGGCTGCTGCCCTCGAACATCAGAGGACAGGACGTGAACTGGGAGATGATTGTTACTCTCATTGACTACCGTATCATTGTTTCCAGTCGAGTTGATGTTAGAGTCCTACCTATACAGTAATGATGGTTAGTGTCGTTGCAGGTCGAGGCACATTCTTCTCCTTCGTCTTCCCTTGCATACAGCTACCGAGCTTATCATGCTTGATACATTAAGCAGCAGCCACCTAGAAAGCGCCCAGGGGATCAACATAGTTTCATTGATATTCCATCAACCTCAGCCTATGCTTCATCAGCGACAAGGAGCTCTTCTTGTCTCGTTGCTGTTATAGCTTAGCGCTGCTGTACGGATCCAGACATGGAAGAGGCGGTCACTTACACCGCGGGAGACGCCTCTACACCGCCGGATCTGCGCATTCTACATTACAACGACGGTATGTACCATCCACGCCGTGCTTTGGAAGGGGGGATCTCTCAAGTCCACAGATCGTGTCCTGATACGCGTGTGACCAGTTTATCACATCGACGCGTCTTCCGCCGAGCCAGTGGGAGGCATCGCCCGCTTCCAGACGGTCTGTAACTACTACCGCGACGATGATCGATTTTCGGGGCAACCAAATCTTCTCACGATCTTTTCGGGAGATGCATTCAACCCTAGCTTGGAGAGCAGCGTGACCAAAGGTACCACTGACGCCGTCAAAGGATCCTGGACCTGACCAGTGTTCCACGATCAATGAACGATACCATGCTAATTGAGGCTCGAAATCTTAGGCAGTCATATGGTGCCTGTGCTCAACATGATAGGGACGGATGTCGCTTGTGTCGGCGTAAGAGATGATTGATCCCCCGACTGGCAACCGCCGCTGACCTTGTCGTTGTGCGGCAGAACCACGATCTCGACTTCGGCGTCAAGCAGTTTCGCAGTCTTGCCTCTCAGTGCAAGTTTCCCTGGCTTCTCGCCAATGTGCTCGGTCTGTCTTTCGTCTGCCACAGGCTGCCTTGGACCCTGCTGACCAAGAGTGCTAGACCCCCAGCTGGGCGATGACGTCCCTCTAGGTAATGCGAAGAAAACCGCGATGCTGACCTCTTCCAATGGAATCAAGGTCGGCGTCATTGGTCTGGTTGAGCGAGAATGGCTGGACACCATCAACTCGTTGCCTCCGAATTTGATCTACAAGTCGGTTGTGGCTACGGCAACGGAACTGGTGCCAGGCTTGCGAGAACAAGGGGCACAGATCATCATCGCCGTAACCCATCAACGAGAGCCCAACGACAACAAACTCGCGGAGAGGACACCTGACGGGCTGATCGACTTGATCCTAGGAGGTCATGATCACTTCTACCAGCACAGTCTCATTCACGGCACGCACGTGCTCCGCTCCGGGAGCGACTTCAAACAGCTGAGTTACATCGAAGCTCGACGACGGCCTGGGGACTGCAACAAGTGGGACTTCCATATCGTCAGGCGAGATATCAAGTCAGAAATCCCTCAGGATGCAAAGGCGCTTGAACTCACAGAAGAACTCACGACGTCCTTGAAGCCAAAGTTGGAAAAGCCATTAGGTTATACTGCTGCTCCACTGGATGCCAGGTTTACCACCGTCCGGCTGAAGGAGTCAAATCTGGGGAACTTTGTTTGCGACTTGATGCGTTCTTACTACCAAGGCGATTGCTGTCTCATGGCTGCTGGTACCATAAGAGGCGACCAGATCTATCCTCCGGGAGTACTTCGGATGAAGGATATCATGAATTGGTGAACCTTCCCCTTCGCCTTTGGTGCTCACCGAGGATGTTGACTAACGTGAATTTGTCGAAGTTTTCCCTTTGAAGACCCGACCATCGTCATCCGGGTTACTGGAGCTGCCCTTCTGGCCGCGCTGGAGAACTCTGTTTCTACATATCCCGCCCTCGAAGGTCGTTTTCCCCAGGTATCCAATATCGAGTTCGAATTCGACCCGTCCCTGCCGCCTAACCATCGAGTCAACTGGGCAAACGTCGGTGGGGAACCTATCGACCTCGAAAGGAAATACACCCTCGTGACACGAGGATACATGGGACGAGGCAAGGACGGATTCGATTCTTTGCTCGTGCAATCGGAAGGAGGCGAGGCTGAAGAAATCGTCTCCGAGGAGAACGGCATGTTGATCAGCATGTTACTTCGCCAGTATTTCATGTCTTTGAAGATCGTTGGCAAGTGGAAGCACTGGGGCAAGAGCCTGGCTCGACACTGGGACGGAGTACAAGGCGACTTGCATTCGACGCACCCTGTCGTCGAACCCAAACCGGAAGCGGTGGAGAATTCTGGCGAGAACGGGAACACAACTACGCCGCTCGACGACTCAGACGACGAGGGTCATCACCGAGTTCGGGTACCTAAAGGAGACAAAGACGAGCGAGAACAGCAGATCATCCGGAGGGTGGTGCGCAAGTGGTGGCGACTTGCCGGACTCAAAGGCCAGCCGAGGTGCTGCGACAACATGGGCGAAGGGGAATTCCAGGTCGACTGGACCAGAGTGAGTCTCACGATCTCTGCGATCCGATCACGGTTCGTTGAAGCTAATTGTCACGACGTAGGCCATTGCACCTCGACTCGAAGGGCGCATCAAGATCACCAAGAGCGCCCCGAGTCCGGGGACGACACCTTGAAGGTGAGCAACCGGCCTGTATAGCCAACCAAGTAGCGCACCTGTCGCTAGTGCTCCACCACTCCTCCCAGGTGCTTCAGGACAAATGTCGACTCCTCGGTCAGCACACACGGCGATCGAGGTCGAGGAAAGAGGCGCTACGCCGCCCTCGGGCGAGGCCACCACGACGTCAATGCCGTGGCGCGACTAGCACCTCCTGATCTCAATACGCCCGCAGGAGAATCGGAAGACGGCGAATCGAGTCTAATCAGACGCGCTTCCAGCAAGATAGACGCTGGCCACAGGAGGAGCGAAGCTTCCCTCCTCTGGCTTGTACAGAAACAGTACTGGCATCAGACGAGAACCCAGAGGATGGGACAGCCACAAAGCGGCATTATCAGACATGTTTCGGGTCATTCGCACCCCATGATTTAGAGCGAAATGCAACTACATGTATGTTACATAAGCACTCGGCATCTACTCGGTGTACTATGTTCATGTAGGGAGGCTACGCCCAATCTGGCAACTTCTTTCAAGTTCAAGTTTTGACCAGATTCTTATTCAATGAGCCTCAGCATGTGAGAGATCATGGGACTCGGTCTACAGAACTTGAGCATCGACTACTCCGTAATACGTACTACTACGTGGCCACGGCAGACATGCAATCGGATGGAATGGGCACAGCGTAGTCATGACGAAGACAGCAACAGGCACAGAGTCAACCAATGATATTCTGCCCGTCAAGACTCGAGTGGCGTTGGAGGTTGTTCTGGAATCAAGCAAGCTTGCTGGAGCTGGAGTGGACAGGACGTGGATTCAGCAGAAAGGAAATTCATAGAAACGTCGGGCTTCCGCTTTTCGGACTCCATTGTATCGGTAGCCGTGCCACTCTTTTATAATAGTGGTATGGTCAGGGTACGGATGCGTACAAGTCACTCAGACTCAGGTCCAATCATACGAGTGCAATTGCCAACCACCGATCCCCCACAGCGTTTGGAACGTGTAAGAGAGGCAGGCGAGCGGAGACTCGGAGGCAGGGTAGAACAATTCCGCGGGGAGGAGAGTCTTCGATTCGGCTCGGGAGAACGTTAGGGTATGAGTCGCACAAAAAGAGACGATGGACGAATGGCCGGAAGCAGGAAGCAGAATTAAACCGCAGGACAGATCGAGGCGTGGATGGAGGAGGAGGAGGCAGAGAGAAATTGGCCGGCTCGGGCGCAGGCTGAGGGGTAAGGCCTAAGGAGCCTAAGCCCAGGCGGCCCAGGTCTGAGGTCGCCGGCCCTGGGCCCTGCAGCGCAGTCTGACTACTATCCTTCTATCTGAGATGGACGGGGCTGACCCTGCGATTACTTGCCATGTTCGTCCACCCAGTCTGAGTCTGACCCTGCACCACACTGCACTAAGCCGACTGCCGCCGCCCACCCCATATTACATATTACACACAGTATTGCTCTACACTCTCGTACCTTCTTTTCTACATCCCTCCTCCGACTCAATAGCTCTCTCTCTCTCTCTCTCTCTCTCCTTTCCGTATCTCGATCTCACCGCCAGCTGCCATTGTCCCAGATCATGGAGGCTCTTCTCCACCAGTCCAAGGGCGTCTGTCCCTTTTTGAAGAAAACCTCGCCTGCGACGTTGCGGTCGCTCTCCACCTCCACCCACCAGTCCCCCGGTGGCGGCACCATCACCAACCTGCAGTTCATTGCTCGACGGTGCCCTGTCATGAACAAGGCTCTGGCTGTGCAGAGCGCCCGCATGACCTCTCGTCGCAGCTATGGCAAAGCTACCGCTGGCACCGGCGTGGTCAAGTCCTTGCTCGAGAAGAAATTGCACACTTCAGCTGAGAAGAAGGCCAATGTTGCACCCAGCACCAGCCCCATCCGACCGGTGCAGCAAGGTATGTGACTGGCACTCTCTAACGCCCAATCTCTCTGCTAACGATTCTCCAGCTCCGCCTCTCCAGAAAGTGCAGCCGGCCGTCAAGAAGCCAGACGCTTATGTTGGTCCAAAGCCCGCAGCCCCGCCCGTGCCTCGCTTCGATTACGAGGGCTTCTACAACAACGAACTCGAAAAGAAGCACAAGGACAAATCGTACCGTTACTTCAACAACATCAATCGACTGGCCAAGGAGTTTCCTCGTGCCCATAAGGACTCCAAAGAAGAGCGAGTCACAGTCTGGTGTGCCAATGATTACCTGGGCATGGGGCGCAACAAACATGTCTTGAAAGCAATGCATGAGACCCTCGACATGTACGGGGCGGGTGCGGGTGGCACCAGAAACATTTCCGGCCACAATCAGCATGCTGTGGCCCTCGAGAAAACTCTGGCCGACCTACATGGCAAAGAAGGAGCCCTGGTTTTCTCCTCCTGCTACGTAGCGAATGATGCTACGTTGGCCACCCTGGGCAGCAAACTGCCCGACTGCGTGATTTTGAGCGACAGCATGAATCATGCCTCCATGATCCAGGGCATTCGTCACTCCGGTGCCAAAAAGATGGTCTTCAAGCATAACGATCTGGCGGATCTGGAGGCCAAGTTGGCCAGCCTACCCCCCGAGCAGCCCAAAATCATTGCTTTTGAATCTGTCTACAGCATGTGCGGCTCAGTTGCTCCGATTGAAGCCATTTGTGACCTTGCAGACAAATATGGCGCCATTACCTTCTTGGATGAAGTCCATGCTGTTGGCATGTATGGACCGAGGGGAGCGGGTGTTGCTGAGCATCTCGATTACGATGTCTATGCCAACCCCAACAGGACCAAACAATCGCAAAAAGGCACCGTCATGGACAGAATCGACATCATTACGGGCACGTTGGGCAAAGCATACGGCTGCGTTGGCGGTTACATTGCCGGCTCCGCAAAGTTTGTTGACGCAATCCGCTCTCTTGCCCCTGGATTCATCTTTACAACCAGTCTTCCCCCTGCCACCATGGCTGGGGCCGCCGCCGCAGTTGAATACCAAGCCCGCTATCAGGGAGATCGACGACTTCAGCAATTGCACACCCGTGCCTTGAAAGAAGACCTCAACCAGCGTGGCATTCCTGTCATCCCCAATCCCTCGCACATCGTCCCTATTCTTGTTGGTGACGCCGAAATTGCCAAACAGGCGTCTGACTTGTTACTGAGTGATTACGACATCTACGTCCAGTCCATCAATTACCCAACCGTTCCTCGCGGTGAAGAACGACTCCGCGTCACTCCTACTCCTGGCCACACCGCCGAGTTGAGGGCTGAACTCGTTGATGCCCTCGAGGACGTGTGGCAGCGTCTAAACATTAAGCGTGTTGCCGACTGGGAGGCCCAAGGTGGGTTCGTCGGGGTGGGCGTCAAGGATGCGGCGCCTGTCCAACCCCTGTGGACCGATGCGCAACTGGCCGATGCCCAGGCCGTGTCCGAACCAGCAGCTGATGAGGCTACTCAACAGCGTGTCATGCCCATCGCAGCCGCGGCGGCTTGAGCTTTCCCACGATCTTGAACTACTTGTTTAGCTCGATCTAGGAAGTGCTCGCCGTCGCTAGCCATGGTGCTATGAGGGGGAACGACGTGCGAAAAACGGAATCGTTTGAGAAGAAAATTTCTTTGCCATGTTTGGTAAATGTCCGGCTCTTCAGCCAAGATATATAAAAATCACATTTTCCGGCCAGAGTAGTCCCTGGCCGATGAGAATATAAGATGGCCACTATATCCAGTGGCCATTCTTGACCTTCTAAACTACATTACTGGCATCTTCGTATCATGATTTCATTCTCTCTGCCATACTCTGTTTTGGCGCTGTACGCCAGCGCATGCCTCTCCCGCCGTCAATAGATGATTCGCAGCAAGAAGAGTCCTAATGACTTATGAATGCCGCTTCATGAGAGGGTGCTTTTATCTCCTGTTGGTACTGGGTCTCCCGGCACTGATCTTGGGGAACTCGATGGGGAATTTGAGTTTGGCAAACTTGGGCTTGGGCACACTGGTTTCCTTGCCGTCCTCGTCGACGACTTTCCTCGCCTTGCCGATCTTCTCCCAGCCCCAGCGCGCCAATTCCGCATCACCCAAGCTGTCGACCTTGCAGCCGAGTTCGCGGTAGTACTTGTACACCGCCGCGGATGGCAGCGCCAGATCCAGATGGATGTCCGAGGGCTCGGTGATGAGGGCGGTCATGGTCGCGCCAGGCTGCCACTTGGGCGGGGGGATGTGTAGGGTTAGAGCCAGGATGGTGGTGGCCAGCAATGTCTTTGCGGACTGGGTCGGAATGGAAGTGGGAAAGAAGCGAGCGACGAGTTTGGATAGGAAGGCAGTCGAGAGGCTGGCGTCCGAGGTCGTGCCGGCTGGCCACCGTTCGGGCTGCGGGATGGGTTTCCGGCCCGGCAGCCGCGTGACATATTCGTGGATCTCCAGGAGGAGCTGGATGTAGCGCAGGAGCTGGAGCTTCAGCAGGGCAGTCTGGTCGTCGGGGTTCTCGACATGCAGTCTCGTGAGGCGTTCGACGCGGTGGGCAATGAAGCGGTAGTGCGATTTCACGTCCTTCTTCGCCTGAATCCGCTCTCGCCAGTATGCGAGGGGCATCTGCGACAGTGTGGTGCGTGCCGGGCCTGGGAAGACGAGGGCGGCCAAGTCATACACTTCCTCAATGTCCGTGGTGTCCAGGTTCGCTTGCGGGAGAGGCTTGTTGGCCCGTAACATGGCGGCAGCGGCGGCCAAGTCGCTGCGCTCGAACCCGTCGTCTTCTTCATCCTTGATCGACGACAAGATGGCGTTCGACAGCGGGTTGTCTTCCTCGTTCTCGCCTCCACGAGCCAGCAGCCGGTTCTCGGCCACGGCAGCCACAGCTTTCTTGGACTTCTTGGTTCCAAACGCCTCCGTCAGCGCCGCACGGGTGGAAAGCAATGGGGTGGCGGCCGTGGCTTGTGTCGACTCGTCCTCTTCGTCGCTTTCTCTCATTTGTTCGACTTGTCGCACGCTGCTGCGGACCGTCATTTTCTTGGCTTCCATGACCTTGAGTTTTTTCGACGTGGGATCAAACACGGCGATGTAGTGTTTCATGTGTTTCTCGCCCGCGTCGGTTGTCTTGCTTTCCGTCACTACATAGTCGATCGTCGGGTGGTCGGAGGACTGGAGGAGAAGGCTGCTTGTTCCTGATTGCTCTTTCTTCGAGAACCCGTTGAACTCGACCTCTGGCAGGAGTTTAAACCCAGGCGAGAATGCTGACATGGGATCAGTGAAAGTTGAGCCACTCGCAAGCACACTGCCTACTTACCGATGACTGGCTTCGCAACATCAGGGCCGGTCAAGTGAGTGACCTTGACTTTGCCCGTCTGCGGCTTTTTGGCCGGCCTCTCGGTCTGTTGGGTGGCTGCCTTTCTCTTTTTCTCGCCCATATCGTCGAGATTTATTGACCAAGAACACGGTCAGCATGCACGCTTGCTGCACAGGTCGCTCTTTCAACAAGGTAAGTAAATGACTTCTTTACATTGCTTTGAAGCGCCGAAGGAAAAATAATTTTTGGTCGGCGATTTCGGCTCCGCACACCGTCCCCAGACGTCACGCACGTAGGCTTCGGCAATAATGACAGCTAGAATGTAATGCCACCTACTTTGGCAAAAAGTGATCGAAGAGCGCTGTGCACAGTTCACGATACGGTATCAGCACGAGTTATTATCGGCAAGAGCAAGGGAAGCTAGAAGATGGGACAGATACAGAGCTCATTGATCAATTGATTTCTACTTATGGGGCACAACATCGGAAGACGACGTTGAACCGAGGCCAGGTAGCTGTGATGGCTCTGTGTTTTCCTTGTTTTGAGATGACCTAGAGTCTAGGACATAGAGCGGTGTTGTCTGGAGAATTTCTGCGTATCAAATCCTCCTTGAGATATGCCCGAGACATCATAAGCAACCTCGTCAGAGAGCTCCATAGAGAGTTGACCATCCTCCACTCCTCTTACACGACAAACGCATTGGCGAAAGTTCGAAATTTGTAAGGCCGATCTTCTTCATGACCACATATCCTCCATGGCGATTGATGGCACGCCTCCGAGGCAAGACTATGGTCGGGTAGTTGTGTTGCTGTCGAGACTCGATATCCGAGGACTAACTCAACGCTGAAGAATCATTGACATTGGTCGAGAGGGATGATGTGATGGAGCAGGCGACGCGATTACTTGCTATAGCAGAGGTTAGAATGATCGTGTGCGAGCATTGGTTCACAATACATACCTGCGGGCTCTCGTCTTTCTCCTCTTGCGCTTGAGGCGTCGAACTCTCTTCTTTCTCCACTTGGCTCTCATCTTCGTTCAATTCCGACTGCGTCAAGTCAGTAGCTGGCCACAATGATTCAGGGATGCCTGGGATTCCATTAGATCCCAGGCGGGTAGACGTACGGAGTTGGTTTCGAGGATGAGTGTGCGGTGATGAGAGACGAAAGCGTAAGGAAGGGGAAGCTGCTGCGGGGATTTTGTAAGGGCACTGCCTGCCAAGCGCTGCGCTGCTTGTGTGCCAACTGGCTTGGCATGTTTGCGCAAGTGACGCAAGTGACGGTGGCATCAGCCATCCAAATCCGGAAATACTGAAGGGCACTGTAAGATACCGCAGGCTGCAGAATGGCACTCACGACCATGTACTGTACGCGGTCATTGTCCGGTGTTTGCTTCACCACTATCAAGCACCAAGCACCACTGGATCTCCGGCGGTCGTTTTGAGCAAGACACCACCTTTTGGTGCAGAAGGGCACACGACCCAACCCAGTATTTACCTATTATGCCACCGCTCGTCCTCCTGATCTTTGAAGCAGTCTCCCTACGTGTAGCATTGTGTGAATCGCTTCGACTCTGACTATGGCAGCTTTACCGTGCTCTGGCATTCGTCGAATATGCAGCAGCTCAACGCCATCTTCCCTGCCACCTCTTGCCGGAACCTTGGTTCTTCAGGACCGCCATGGCAAAGTTCTTGCACGTGGGTCATAGTTTGTTCGATTTCTCTGCTTTGTTCTCGAGTATACTAGTCTGTCTAGGGAAGAAAATCTTTACCAACCAAGATATGGTGATTGGTCGCGATGAGAGCAGATGGTGAGAAGACAGGCTTTGGGCAGGCCATCCGCTAATTAGGCAGTCAATACGTTCTCAGCGACCCCTATGTCTCAAAGCGACACGTCAGGATCTACACTGTCGTGTACGAAAATGACGAACCTACCGAGGTCGACACCCTTGTATACGCTGAGGACCTCTCTCAGAATGGAACCTACCTAAATGGGGACTTCATCGGCAAGGGTAACGGTGGGTTTCTTCTCAGTGACGGGGATGTCATTCGGTTGAGTCGCCGAACAAGCCTCAGCTTCCATGTCGTGAATAAGAGCAAGTCAAGGGCCACATTTGACTTCATCCAGGAAAAAGAGATGGCGGTGCGGTGCTCTAGGTCTACTCTGATGTCTCAACTGACGGCCACAGTGTTTTCGACAGGATTATGTTGTCACAGATAGATTACTTGGTGCAGGGGCGTTTGGCAAAGTCTTCATGTCGATTGAACAGACCGCTCGGACCCAGGTCGCCTGCAAAGTCGTCGACCTACGAAAGCTCACGCCCAAACTACAGAACCAGTTCGGCCGTGCTGAACAGCCTGCTGCTGCCGAGTACGTCGATAACAGGACACAGGCACGCATAGTTAAAGCTTGGTGTAATCAAAAGAAGAGAGAGCAAGGAGTTGAAACGAAGCTGAAGATGTATTTCCGAGAGATTGAGATTCTCGCCTCAATCAGCCATGTAAGTTCGTCGGGCTCAGACCCCTTGCCCTGGTCTCACATCCACTATCAGCCCAACATTATTGGACTCGAGAAGGTGTATATCACCACCAACACAATGTGAGAAACCTGAGTTGCTTTAGCACCCGACCACTGATGACCCTAGCTACCTGATGCAAGACATTGTGACCGCCGGGGACCTCTTCTCCTATATCGAGTCGAAGAATGGGAAGCTCCTTGAGGCCGAAGCAGCCGTGATTATTCGACAGATTCTCATCGCCGTGCGTTTCCTTCATCAGAACAACATCGTCCATCGGGACATCAAGCCCGACAACATCCTTATGACCAGTCTAGCAGCTGGTTGTCGCGTGGTGTTGACAGATTTCGGTGCTGCTCGTAGGATCCAGAGTCAGCGATCCCGCATGTCGACAGTTGTTGGCACACACGAATATGCCGCCCCGTAAGCTCTCCAATTTCGCCCTTCCGGGGCTTGGGCCTGACAGAATGTACAGGGAGATCCTCAGACGAACTCATGGCAGACTTCAGTCCAAATGTTCCAACGGCTACACTCAGGCTGTAGACATGTGGGCTGTTGGATGTGTTGCAGTCATTCTTCTGACGGGCGGGATGGCCTTCAGTGACCCTGTCACTTGCACGTACTCCGAAAGACTAGCTCGGGACTGCGATCTCGAGTTTTTGCGCAAGTCAGAAGACTGGCTAGCTGTCAGACAACGGCCGAGAGGATTTGTCGAGCAGCTTTTGGTGATGGATGAAAAGTCAAGAATGACGGCTGAAGAAGCACTCCAACACCCATGGTTTGCCAATGAAGCTCACAAGCATGAGTTCGAAGCGCTTTATCAAAGGACAATCAAGCATTGGCGTCCAAGGCACCCCAAGAGTCCTGTAGTTGATTTCCAAGACGATGGAACCATGAAACATCTCGCATGCAAATGGGGGTTTGAGGACTTCTACCAGAAAAGTCGAGCGCGGAGCCACCGTCCGGTCGAACCGCCGTACAAACCATTTCCCCGGAACATGCATCTGGCGCTCTGGCCAAAGAGCGATGCGAAGAAGAGACTGTCCATCGAGGTACTGACGGCAATCAGAAAATGGTCGCCTGGGTCTGCGGCCCGGCTTGCCCGCAGGGCGATGTACCTGTCGGATAAGGAAGTACGGGTTTTTCTAGCACAGAACGTGGTGGAACCCGACATTGGCAGAAACACCAGAGCCCGGACCGCGCCGCCATGTTTTCCAGCGCCAGAATCGAAGCCGGCTGTGATGAATCAAGATTGCTTCCCGAGGAAAGGCAGAAGAACAGTGGCGGATCAGGAAGAAGAGACGGCCAAACGAGCCGCAGACTCGGGCACAATGTTAGACACGCCTCTGACCCGAGATGCCCACCCGAGCAATCCCGAAAAGCCACAGGCATCTCTCATCCCCAACCCCAACGTTCTCTTTGACATGATCAACTGGAGGAATCCTTCCACGTCTAAGTTGCCGGTGCCCGTGCCCGTGCCTGTGCCTATGGCTCAGAAAGGAAGCGATCTGACCAATACTGGAGGTTCGGGGATGGCGCGGAAGCTTAAACTCAAAAGAAGGGCTTCATCAGCATCAGCATGGGCCAGTCAAAGACGCGTGAAGCGTCGAGGCTCGATTTTCGACTTGGTGGAAGATGACGATTGCGACGGCGAGGCCGACTTTGACCAGGAACCGCGGAATCAAGCTGCCAGAGGCCCCTCGGAGAGTCAAGCGAAGACGGCATGGGGGACGACATTCCCTCGCCCGGAGTTGTATCTTCCTCGATGATGGGGCCTTCTTTGGACTGGCAGAAGAGATCCAATAGCTGAGGTCGTGTGCGTTCTCGATGGAATGGTGCGTGGATGTGGGAATCTGGTACGAGTGAAAATGGAAAACGGGGGTCCTTCTTCACGTCTTCACGCAGCGTAATGACGGCGAGACGACGATGCCTGGGGCGGAAGATGAATCGTTCTCGAAGCATTGTTTAGATTTTGTAATGTTACATGATGAGTCTCCAAAAACTCAATGCGAAGAGGGGAAATCAGCTAAGTATCGAGGGTTCAAGTATAAAGTATAAAGTATGAGACATGAAGTATAAATCTCCATTCGTTCATCAGATGGTCGCATTCTATCCTATCCTATCCCCTTCCACGGGCCTCATCTGGTGTTGAGCACGCTCACTCACGCCAGCTTGTCGGCAACTTCCGCGGCCTTTTCTTTACTGCGTGTCTGATCACTACCATCGACACTAGTGCCGTGGCCGTCGACGAGACCTAGGACCGGCGAGGCTTTGCGCTCGTCTGCCTCAATGCCGCTGACGACGGGGCCGGTCTTGGGGCCGGTGAAGTTCTTCCTGCCATCAAAGACCCAGGTGACAAGACTGATGATGCCGATGATGCCGAAGGCGGCACTGCAGTAATTCATGTTGTCGCCCGAGACGGGGCCGACCTGGGGGAAATTGAAGTCGATGCCGGCAAAGACGAGGAAGACCAAGCCGACAGCGTTGATCAGCGGGCTCCACTTGCCTAGGGTGTAGGCACCGGGAATGCGTTGGGCGACGTCGTGGCCAGTGAAGTAACCCCACAGGCGGACGAACAGCGGCATGGCGTACGAGATGTAGAAGCCGAAGGTGGCAATGGAGATGACGGTGCTAAAGCCCTCGTAGCTGGCAAAGTAGATGCTGTTCAGGGCCATCTGGATCACCATGCACAGCAGTATCGAGTACACGGGTACTTGTGAGCGCTTGTTGACATTTGCGAAGACTTTGGAGAAGGGCAGGCCATGGTCGCGCGCGAACGCCCACAGCGCCCTGCTGCCCTCAGCCATCAGGCTATTTGCGCAGATAAGCACAATCACCGTAATCAGGCACGACAATGCCGTGGCGCCCTTGATGCTGCCAGTGCTATCGTACATGATCTGGATCAGAGGGACGCCTGTTGGCGTGGCCGCCGTGGCATCCAGGTCGCCGATGCAGAAAAATGCCGTGATCAGGAAGACGAAACCCGTCACCGCCCCCAGGTACACCGACAGGATGATTGCTTGCGGCGCCTCTTTGGTCGGATTTATCATTTCTTCTGTCAAATGTGAAGGAGCTTCGTAGCAGCACATCCCTGGGGCATTAAACCACGTCAGCTAGAAAGAATAGGCTGGAAGGAGGAGAAAGGGGAAGGGGGGTGTGACGGTGATACTTCGGCCGACCAGTCACAAGGCTGCGGCGGTGAATGAAATGCTAAGACACGTGACATGCACACATACCGAACAGAGTCTGCAACAGACCGATCATGACGCCCATGCCGGCGGATGAGAAGCCCGTGTCGTTCTGGAATTCGGAGAACACGAAGCTGGCGGATTGCTTGTGGTCATTGCAGGCCAGGAGAGTGATGATGACGACAAAAAAGCTCATGATGTTCCAAACCACCGCAAAAGTGGAGATCTGGTTGAGGAAGCGGGAGAGGAAGATGTTGACTAGAGCGGCGCAGATGGCCACCAGATAGGTGACCAGCACATCGTGCCAGCGCTCAATGGTGTAGCCCGGGCTGTTGAGGTTGGCCATGCCGAGGATGAAGTTGGAGCAGATCTGCGGCTACAGTGAGTGCTTGGACGAGATGCCAGGAGGGATCAGGAGTCAGGAGGTGGCAAGGGAGGAAGAGGCGAGGAAGGCAGACAGGAAGGCTAGCCTTACAAAGTTGTTCACGGCGCCCATGGCGACAATTCCCGTACACATGAACCAGCCGGTGACCCAGGCGGTGCCGCGGGCGTACTTGGGTGGAGCGAGGATGGCGACCCAGGAATACTGGCCGCCGGCGGTGGGATAGGCCGAACACATCTCAGCGAAGGAGTAGGCGACACACAGGGAGAGCAGGCAGATGCCGACCCACGACCAAATCATGACGGGAGGCCCGCCGGCGACGATGCCCACGATCAGAGTGCCACCCAGGGCGGTCCAGCAGGTGACGATGGAGAAGCTGAAGCCGACCATGCCCAGGAGACTGAAGGAACGTTTGAGTTCTATAGGCAGCGAGGCCATGGGTTAGCCGGAGGGATCGAGGGGTATATGTAGGACAGACTCCAGCATACCCTGCTCATAGCCCAATTTCGCCAATTGGGCCTCGTTCCCCAGGGACGAGTCGTATTCCTCATTGACGGCGCCGTGGACAAGCGAGGACAGGCGGCGAGTGGCCATACTGGACGGTTCTGGGTTTCAAGGTGCCACACGGCGAAGGCGAGCAAGGGCAGAGAAGTGGAAGAAGATGGGGGCCCATTGGCGGCGAAGGGCGAGGTAGCACACTGTTATATATCTAGTCAGCTCGATCAGAACGTCGATAACGTGTTGGACCGGGGGCAGCCAGAGATCCAGAGATCGTCATGCCGCTCAACCCCTACCTGGACCGCCATCAGATTGGCATTCATATCACTCGCCCTGACATTATTCACGGGCTGGAAGCTTGCCGATGCTTATCTCTGAGCCCCTGGGCTGGCGTGGAAGATGTGATTGGTATGTATCATTTTCATTATTGGGCAGAACATGAAATCGAGGGAGCGTGGCGGTCCGGGGTCTGGCAGAAAGAGATCCAGTCGAGGAGATGGCCGGCCACGCAGCAGGCTGCACCATGTTTCAGAGCGGACTTGGCCACCTTCACGTGACGGCCACCAGCTCGAATGCAACTGCGCCTGCACCTGCAACTGTAGCTGAGCTCCGAGTCGAAGTCAGTACTACATCCCTATCCATATTACTGTAAGATTGATTTTCTTCTGCCAGTGTCTAATGCTGCTGCTGCTGCCGTCGCCGCCTTCCTGACCCGCACACGGACAACCTGCACTGCCGGGACAGATGCCGGGCCCTCCCAGCATCTTCATCGCCGTGCGCCGTGTGCCATGTGCCCATGCAGTCAGTGATCATGTCGGTGGTTTTCCTCCAGACACCTTTCTCGGAAAAGAACAACCACAGCCCCCATGCAAGCCCCTTAATCGTACATCGAACACCATGATCTCGGACTCCCTGTCCTGCGCTCTTTCACTGCTCGCCGATCTCATCGTTCCGGCCTGTTACGGCTTCATCTGGAGAAAGAGAAGACACTCGCAGCCAAGTCGGCTCCATTCTACATCCCACCCATGCCCAGGTCGCCTTCCGCGTCGATGATTGCCAGTCGTTGCTTGGCCGTCTTAGCCTTCTTACTGATGCCCTTGCCTCCTCGAGGGCGGTTGGGTCCTGGAGTTTCGGCAGGGCTGACCGGGACAGGCGTAGCGGCCCCCGACGGTTTGGCCGATACATCGTCAAAATGTCCTTCACCTGCAAACAAAATCGTCAGTTCACCATACACTCAACCAAACAGCCCAAGTCGGAACTCACCTTCATGATACATATCGTCCAGGCTCACCTCTCCTCTTCTCTTTCTTGCGGCCGCCGCTTGAGCCTTCTTGCTCTTCTTCTTCGAAGTCTCTTCTTCTTGCGGCTTTTCCGCAATCTCTTTCTCCTTTTGTTCAATGAGAGCAGCTTGATCGTCATCCGCCAGCCACATGGCAATGTCCTTGGTTCGGTTCTCGCGACGATCTCGGGTGTTGAAGTCGACGCCCGCACCATCCCCGCCGGTGATGACCACCCGCTGCACCTCTTCCTTCTGCATCGCCCGTTTGCGGATCCGCTCTTCAATCGTACCTCGAGTGATGAGACGGTAGACCGTCACTTGTTTGGTCTGGCCCAATCTGTGTGCTCGGTCCATGGCTTGCGAGTCGATTGTTGGGTTCCAGTCAGAATCGTAGAAGATGACCGTATCGGCAGAAGTCAAGTTGATCCCCAATCCACCAGCACGCGTGGAAAGCAAGAAGATGAATATCTCGGGTCTCGTCTGGAAGGCGTGGACTGTGTCCCGACGATCTTCCAACTTGGTGCTTCCGTCCAACCGACAGTACTTGTAGTTGCGGTACGTGAGGTATTCCTCCATCAGGTCAATCATGCGTGTCATCTGGAAGTACAACAACACTCGGTGGCCTCCATTCTTCAGCTCTCGGAGAAGTTGGTCCAGTTTGGCCAGCTTGCCAGAGTCGGTAACGAATCTGCGCATTGACGGAATCGAGATGTGAGTGTACCGACCCTTCTGCGATTCTGGCTTGGGCAACATGTCGGAAAGGGGGAAGTTGGCGGGGTCGACGTCTCGTTTGAGAAGTTGGTCTTCCAACGACTCTTCGAGCGGGAACAAGCAGCCTCGCACATCCATGTTGAACATGGTCAGCTGCCGCTCGGTGATCGAAGACTGGTCACAACATCTAATCTCGATCGGCGGAGCCGATGCGTTGGGTCTAGCAGCCGGTTCCAGGACAGAGTAGCCTCGGTCCGCTAATGCTTCTTGCGAAATGTTGCAGAGCTTGGCAAGATTTGAATTCGAATCCAGTTCCGCCAGCACCTTTCGAGGACTGTTGTCAACGATGTTGAACAGGGCATGTACCGGAGGTTCTGCTTCCGAATCTTCATAGATAGGCAAGACTCGTCGCGGCTGCTTCTTCAGCTGCATAGCACGTTCCAAAGGCCCGGAATCGCCGATGGAAGACGCTTCGCCCACCGAAGTATCCACAAAGCGCAGGAACGAGAAGGCATCATCATGCTCCATTGACAATTTGATGTGCTCGGTTGTCCAGATTCTCATCAAGCCACCCAGTTTGTCCGTCCGGAATCCGGCTCGACGAAAGCCGGCCTGAGGATTGTTCGGGCCAGCAATGTCGAGTCTGCCGACATCGTTGCACAACACTCGAGGCAAATCATACTGGATCGGGTTTCGGACAGAGTAGCCAACCTGGACGAAAAAGCCCTCCCGAAGGAAGGAGGCGGTTTCGGCGAAGCATGACATGGAGAACGGTGAGGTCGTGTCGGCTCTTTCGAAGAGATCGGGGTGGTTGCAAACTTTGCGGAACTGCATCACCAGGTTCATCAAGGTCGCCGTGTCCTGGTCGTCACCCAGAGTCGCTTTCTCAATCAGGTCCATAACACTGATCTTGCTTCGCAGGTTTGCATAATAAGCACGCTGGCGGTAGGTGAGGTCGCAGAACACGTCTCTCTCGACTTTGTCGCCCAGTTCCTTCTGAACATGAGCCTTCACACGCCGCAACATGAAGGGTTTGAGGATCATATGCAGCCGCTTCAGTTGATCCTGGTTGAGCTTCGTGTTACTCTGTGCGTGGCTTTCAATGTCCTTGGAGAACCAATCACTGAATTCGTCATGAGAGTCAAACAGCGTAGGCATGATGAAATGCAACAACGCCCACAACTCTTGCATGTTGTTCTGAATTGGTGTGCCCGTTAGCAACAGCCGATTTCGACATTGGAACCCGAGAAGGGTCTTCCATCGTGAACTGCTTGACGACTTGATAGCCTGAGCCTCGTCGAGAATCATGTACTGCCATCGGATCTTCTGAAAGTATTGCGCGTCCTGAACGACCAGTTGATATGAGGTGACAAGGACATGAAATTCAGAGTCTTTGGTATAGGTGACGTGCTTTCGATCCCAGAATTTTCGCAAGGTCTTTCGATCCTTTGCGTTCCCCCAGTAAGGCAATACCTTGATCGTAGGCACAAATTTGGTGATTTCTTGTTCCCAGTTGTGCAAGGTTGAAGCCGGTGCAATGACCAGGAATGGTCCCCAGATGTTGTGCTGTTCAGCAAGGTAGCCCATGACCGAGATCGACTGCACGGTCTTGCCGAGACCCATCTCATCCGCTAGAATGCCGTTGATACCTTGTTCGTAGAGGTTGACCAGCCAGTTGAGGCCTTTGAGCTGGTATTCCTTGAGCTGAGCCTGCAGCATTTTCGGCTGAGACACTTGGACATCGCCGGCCATGGTTGGGTTTTGGAAGTTCATCTCGCTGGAATCGAAAGCTGCCATCGGGTCTTCGCCATTGAAGTTTCTAGCCTTGTCCTGTGCATCTTGCAAGGCGCTGGCAGCATTGGCCGCTGCTGCTCGTCTTAACTCTGAGTCGTCTTCGGCGTCAAAGTCAAGATCTTCAAAGCTCGTAACCTTGTGGTTACCATGCTCATTAGACAGGGACAAGTCGTCCATGCCCCGGTCCCGACCAGCGTTGGCAGGCCGTTCCCTCTCTCCCGAGGCAGCCAAGTCAGGATCATTCGTCGCTCGCTCCACCTCGTCAGTTTTGATCTTCCGACCAATGAAGTGGGAGTAAATCTCTGTTTGCGAGATGAGGAAGTTGAGTTTGCGCTTCTGTCGATTGGCTTCTCGGTCTGCTTCAGCCTTCTTTGCATCCTCAATCTCTTTTCTTTCTGCCATGCGTCGCAGATCGCGCTCCTCCCGCTCATTACGCTTCCAGAAAGACATCATCTCACGCATGACTCGTTTCGCCCGAGCTTGGGTGTCCTTCATGCTCTTGTTGGTCCGCTCCTGCCATTTCCGTGCCTGTTTGCTGGCAAGAATCGCTGTCTTTCGCAGATTTTCTTGTCTTATGCTGAGTGACATCTGTTTGATCTTATAAACCTTCGGTATGTCCTTTCTAGCGAGATCTCGCCAAATCTGTTCGTAGATTTGATTGTAGCCTTTGGACTCGTAGTTGATGGTATGCGCAGCTGCTGCCGCTGCCGCCGCGGCCGCCGCAGCCTCTTCTTTTTGCTGCGCCTTCTTGCTTTTGGCGGATTCTTTCTTTGTTTCCTCCTTTGGAGCAATCTGTATCAGGGCATCTTTTTCCATGGCAGCGTAGGCAGCCTCAGCAGCATCTTTCTCTGCCTGCTTCTTCTCCTTCGACTTTTTAAGACGGGCAGATGGCCCGCCTTCCCTCTTGCTGCGTTTCTTCGGAGGCTCAGCAGGTTCGGGTGATCCAAGTTGGAAAGAGGACGTAACGCCTCCCTCGTAGTTGGGAGCTGGAGCAGAGACCTCCATATCTTCTTGCGCAGGAACGCCCTCAAGAAGTTCTGCGGTTTGTCTGATACGTGCTTGGGACTTCTCTGCCTGTTTCAGATATTTTTGTGCCTCTTCTTGATCTTCCGCTTCTCTAGCGCGTTGCTCAAGTTCCTTCAATTTTTGGGTTTCATTGTGGATTTGTTGTTCACGTCGACGCTTTCTCTGCATGTCCTTCTTCCGCTCTTTTTCGGTCTGTATGTCTTTGTCCGCAATCTCCTTCGCAGCCACTGGCTCGAAACGGTCTCGGAAGCGTTGAGCAGCACTAATCGCATGTCCCTCGAAGGTTTTGATGAAGGAATCAAGAACGAACTCTCTGCGGCGCTGCCAAGTAGTGTTAGTGCAACGAAGACGGGGGGTGCGGCAGAATTAATGCTTCACTCACCTTACGCTTGCGCAGTTCACCTTCAGCGACATCAGCCGCCCTCTTCCTACTTCTCTGCTTGAAGCGCGCTTGTTGCGCATAGAAACCACCGTCTTCCGCGTCACTCAGAGGACCTTCGTCGATCATGGCGAGTGCTTTCAGAATCTTTTCCGCCTCTCCCTCCGTGAGGATGTTGCGTGGTTTTGACTGCGGAACATGCTTTCGGTGCACAGGTAAGACGTCCATCTTCGATTGTAGCTTCGCCTCCCCGTTCGTGAGAGACCGTGGAGGGCCGACGTCTGGCAGTTTGACCACGAGCGACTTCTCAGATGGTGGCTTGCTTTCAAGCATAGAACTCGACGGCAGTGTCGCTGGCCGCGGGGGCGGTCTGACATTTGCAACTTTTGTCGAGGGTTCATTGTTTGAAGGACCTAAGATGCTGGCAAAGGACATTGGGTTGCTCGCTCTATCGGGTTTCTGTGCAGACGAGTCAGCAACTCCTTGGACTCCATGTATGCGTATGCCTACATCTTTTGACTGCGGGCGTGATTCTATGGCGGCGTTCTCAGCAGATCTCCCGTTCATCAGACTGTGTTGGTCCCGCATTGGGGATTGCAACGCAGAAGACCCCGGGCCTGATGGATGAGCATGTGTCGGCGTGGTATCATATTGACTCGGCATGTTTGGCAGAGGAACAAGATGTCCCGAATATGTTCTTTGCAAAGGGTATGAAGGGCTAGAGGCCAACGGTGGATACTGAGAGCCCGGGCCTACTGATGGAGGCGGCAAAGCATTTGATGCAGGCAAGGGTGATGCGAGCGCTGAGGGTCGACCGTGAAGGGGGCTCTGTACCAGAGATGCTGGCGGAAAGGGGGGCGGGGTCTGGATGACCTGCTGAGGAGGTAATTGATATGGTTCATGGCCGACTTGATAGAAGGGGCGGTTTGAGTGTGTCGGTGAGTAAGGCGGATATTGGTTCGGTTGCGTGGGCGATCGGGCCGTGAAGGGCGTTGATCCAGACATTGTCGGTAATGTCGAGAAGGGATTCTTTTTATGATCACTACCTTTAGGGCCTTGTTTGGGGCTGTCGACCTCTAAGACCAGTCCCGGGATCAGAATTTTATCTCGACCCTTTGTCCGCAGTTCCCATAGCCCTGATTATGGTATGGCGTCAAAGCAAACGCGATAACTTTTTGTGTGAGATGAGAGGACCACGAGAAAGACAAAGATCGGTTGGCGATGGCTAAACCTTGGGTCCGGTCTTTTTGCCTTGCGCGATGGATGCTCGGGCACGGTCAAGTCGTGTCACCGTAGTTAGGCCATTCAAGGGGCTCGCGACATTGTTGGCTGAACTTAGGCGGTGGTGAGAGATTGTCGCGTAGGAAGAAAGGACGATGGTGGTGGTGGTAGGATGAACGGATGGGTGAGGGCGTGAGAAGGGTGAAGATAGGTGGCGTCGCAGGCAGAGATCGGAGCATGATCAGTCACAGTTGGTGCATCACAGCCCAAGCTCGTCTGGCCGGATGTCTGGATCATCTCAAAACGCGACGAGCCGGCGTTAAGTCCACTGAACATTGAAGTGAGCTCAGGTCACGTGCTTTGTTCTATATAACACCGGTTTCTATCTGTCCAGGCTATCTAAGAGGTGAGGATTGCCAGCAGAGTCCTTTTTTCGTGTGGCTTTGTTCTCTGCTCATGCGCTGTCTCGTCTGTGCCGAGCCCTGGCGAGGGTGGTGCGAAAAGGCTGCTGGGAAGGAGAACAATAAATGACGGGCAAGTCTGCTGAGCTGATCCACACGGCACTGTTGACTTGTTCCTTCGCCCAAAGTTTTGGACGCCCCCCAAAATGCTGCCCTGTCCGCAGTCGCAGTCGGCGTGTTCACGCTGCATCATTCCCCGCCAAGACAACATGGCGCCGCTAGGCTGCTAAAGCAGGAACGCCATGCCACATATGGAAGTCTGCACTAACAGCTTTCCACGCCTCTACGGAGCACGGAGCACGGAACACGGAGCACGACTATCATACGTCGCCCTCCAAGAGAGACGGGTTGCAGTTTAGCAACAGAGTCAGTCCACCGTACATCCCTTGACCGTGTGGCTAGGGGCGGTTTGACCGTGCATCTTTAGTGCCTGACTGATAGCTGGACAAGAAGTCCAAGGACAGCAACCTATATGGCCCCCAAGAACAAGGATCCAGGGAAAGCTGATAAGGGCAGAGTCAAGGGCAAGGGCAAGGGCAGTAACGATGATGGCTCAGCTGGCTCAGCTGGCGGAAGCGGTAAGCTGAAAGCGGCTCAGTCAATCAATGTCAGACACATCCTCGTAGGTGCCTCACCCTGTGGTCTTCGCTCCCCTCCCCGGGCGCCACCCGTCTAATATACCGTCTCAACTCAGTGCGAGAAGTTCTCGAAGAAAGAAGAGGCTCTGGCCAAATTGCGTGCTGGTGCGAAATTCGATGACGTGGCAAGGGAATTTTCAGAGGACAAGGCCAGACAAGGTACGGATACTACTATTAGACCAACCTACTCATCACCGGGTGACTCCGCCAGATGATCTGACTGAGCTGTTATCCTTGTTAGGCGGGTCTTTGGGCTGGAAGGTCCGGGGCAGTTTGCATGGAGACTTTGAGAAAGTGGCCTACGACTTGGAACCGAGCACCACAGCCAATCCAAAATGTGAGTTTCTTATCTTCATTATTACAAGGACCGTGGGCAGGATATACCTGCGCAAAGGGACTGGACGCGAAATGAGTGATCCAACACTTTTGAACGCGAAAAGATAACAGAGCCATTTTGAACGAAATGTGCTGTCCACAAAGCCGCAACAGAGAGAAAAAAAGACCGTAATCCAACCACTAGCTAATCGCTGGACAGATACTGAAGTAAAAACAAGTCATGGCTACCACATCATCATGGTCGAAGGAAGAAAATAAGGGGTCGTAATAGACCAGAAGAGTTCAGTGAATGAGTGGACTGGCCATGGTGACATCTGCGAGCACATCCAAGGCAATATGGTCAAGTGGGTGTTTTCTTTTTCGGGGAGAACCGTCCACAGGGAGAACCATGACATTGATCACCGGTTCTTTGCCGGATTCAACCTTTGGGGGAGTGCGACCGGGTCTCAAAACACCCGGGTCAGAGTTCGCATAGCTGGGCGGACTTGGTTCATGATGGGGAGATGTGGTGCGAGCAGCATGATGGAGACCGGCCGGTGCGTGGTCAGAGAAGGCCTTCTGACCGTGTCGTTCTGCAAGATCGAGGTTCAGGAATCCGCTTGATCTGGGCTCTTCCTGTGCGGTGGGCTGGCGTTGGGATGTGTTGAGAGATGTGGGCCGTGGTAGTTCCACGAGGTTGAGAATGCCACTGGAGCGAGGTTCTTCTGCTTCTGGAAGAACTGGGGCGAGGCTGTTGGGTGACAATGCCCTTGAAGAAGGGGTGTGGACGGATCTTTCGTCCACGCTTGAAGATACTCGTCTCATGGTATCAGGTGAAGTATGGCCATTCTGTGTTGGTTCCTCTGGCGCTTGGGTACGGAGGCCCAGTCGCCTTCTTTTCGCACGCCCGCCTTCCAATTCCTCCAGCCTTTTCTCCGTGGAGATGGCGGCGTCGTCAGCGGCAACAACACGGTCTCTCAAACGGAGCTGTTCATCGTAGTTGCTTTCAACCTTGTCCTCGATGTCATGGAGCTTCTTAAACATCTCCTTCTCACTTTGGTAGAAGCGTGCTAGGGCTTCACGCAAGATCCGAACCTCTCTCTCCCACATCTGCCGTTCTCTCTGAAGGGCAGTTTCTCGATTTCCACGTTCATTCTGGATGGTTTCCTCCAAACGCTTGATCTTGTCACCCTGCTTTTCTAGGATGGTATCAAGGGTTTGTTTCTTATCGATGGTGGTGTCGTGGACGTGATAGCATGCTTGGTGGCCGCAATCACAAATGTTTCCAGGGGCGCTTCGGTTGTGATGGAAGGACTGACATGAGCACTGTTGATTTGGTGTAGAAGGATGCGATGGATATCGACATTCGCCAGTAGGAAGAGGGCGTGCACTTTCGGATGTCAAACGGAGAGGACGATGCTCGTGAGCAAAGGTGGCGGGAAGCGACAACGAGTTGGGGGCAAACATCGAGGCCTCGGTGGGGTACAAAAACCCTCAAAGACGGCTCCCGTTTAGAAAGATGGATTGGTGTCGGCGGCGCATGAAAGATGCCCGCACAACAGAAGTGTAGAGGGAGAGTTCCGCCCTCCCTGACGAGAGAGGGTGATATCCACCAAATATGGTTATTTCCTTGCGTATGCCCAATTGTATGGAAATGATGTTTGACTGCGAGCCGTCAGACGCCCGTTATCGCTTTGACCTCTGCCTGTGACAGGTCAAGTTACGGTGAGTGCTGGCAGAGATGCAGCCTGTCGAGACAGAATGTTACCAAGGCGCAAAGCTCTTTCTCAAAGAACTCCAGCAGAACGTGTACCACAAGTACGTGCTCATTGTAGCTGGATCAATGTCAATGGGCAGGAGCGAAGAAGCCTCGCGGCGAGAGACTGGAGGAAATGCTCGTCGAGGGAGTATCGGTGGCCCAGGAGCAGGTTATCAGGTCGGTGGACTGTTTGATCGAGAGTGAAGAGGTTTCGTTATCTGCGCAGATGCTCGGTTCAAAAAGGGACTAAGGCCGGCACAACCGTGTCAGGGAGACATGTGCCGGCGAGAGCACGGGCAAATGGACCTGCTTGGGATGGGTCAGCTCGAATCAGAGCGAGAAAGACAATCGGGTGAACAGGATGTGCAGGAAGGACGACATGGATCGGAAGAAGGTTAGGCTGTGCTAGAGGCTAGCTTCCAACGCTGCCCGACATGGCAGACTGCTGGAGGATGAAAGAGTTGATAAGGCTAGTGAGGCTGCGGACCGGAACAGTTACGTGGGATTCCACCGACAAGGTTGCCAAAAGGAAGATCAAGAGCGCACCCCACTCAACCTCACCTCCAGAGTCCAGAGAGGGATGCTGAAGTACTGTTTGGTTGTAGGGCGCTTGCAGAAGCACAAGAGTCGTGCGAGGAACGAGGGGGCTGTGGACGGTGGACGGTGGGTTGGTGGAGGTGACAGCGCTCAGGGTGTGTGGGAGGGAAGATGTGTACGGCAGACAGCGTAGTAAGTGTAGCCGTTAATTACTATTACTACTAGGTTAGTAGGTAGGTAGGTACAGTAGTACGTAGGTAGACCGAGGAGACGACACACCGCAGGTTGCGATTACACACGCCCAGACAACAGCGGTTACGAGTGGGGTTCTAGTGCAGAGCGTAGAGTCGTAGACTCCTACCTAAGGCATAGGCTAGGTACTCTGGACTAGACACATCCACCGTCAGTAGCCCCGGCACAGTCCTGGATGCCGGTATCGAGGACCCTGCTGAATGAGCCCTGCAGGCAATCACCCATCCTCGCTCCATGGTCATTTTAAATGCCTCAGGCCCCAGGGACGCATGCTGGTGGATGCGGTGGTGGTGGTGGGTGTATGCCGTGGTGCAATAGCCCTTGGCCTGGATCTGCTTAGATCCTGGGAGCTGACGGAACCGGGAGCAGACTCCTGTCCGCCGCCCGGTTGCGCTGCTGTTGGAACAGGGCCATACTAGGCCATCCCCATGTCGATAGGCTGCACGCCATCCCCCGGAAGATGCCACCATCGCCACCAAAATGACCTCAAGTCTTTTCCGGGATGCCTGTCCGCTATTAGCCTATCTGTCAAATGCATCTCTGGGCTTGCGATGCCACAGCTGCAGCTCGCCAATGACCAGCGACAGATAGTCGGTCGTCAGGGATCAAGTATGTATATTAAATCTTTATCAACAACACTCTGAACAGCGTCGAGGTCGCAGGAGTCAGAGCATAGTACGGGTACTGCAAGATGCCCTACATGTTCGGCCTCGGAAAAGTGCATCTGACACTGCTTGCAGCCCACCGGACAGGACTCGCTCGCTCGCTCACGTGCCCTCACGGCTTAATCATCACAAGTCCGGGAGCCCGGCTTCGGCTGCGCCAAACACTGACCATTGCGTGGCAAAGTACGGATAGAGAAGCTTCTCATAACTACTACTGACCTTGCACGGGATACACAGATATTCAATCTTTAGCAACATCCTCACTGTACGGATACTTCCCACTGTGATTCCTATTGAAAATAACACCGACCAAATCCTGTTCCAACAGCGTCATTCGAGGCCAACCACCGATCAAGGTTTTGCTTCGTCCTCCAAACCCCGCAGTCGCCCACTGATAAGCCAAAGCGGCCACTATTGCTGTGTACTTCCGGCGCAGATCACAATTCATCTGTACCAGGTGACGGTGACCTGTACAGCGCACTCTCCCTTCTGAAGCCATGTCCAACGACAATAACAAGTACCAACCTCCGCCCGGTCCGCCGCCCACGTACCCTCCGCAAGCCCACCACGACGCCGGCCCATACTACCCGCCGAATGGTAACAACGAGACTCGCGGGCCCATTCCCAACTCGTACGGACCACCGCAAGATCCCAACGGCTATTACCAAGCACAACCGCCGCAGGGCTGGAATCAAGGGGGACCGCCGGGAGGCCCCTGGCCTCCGCAAGGACAACAGCCATATGGATACTATGGACCGCCTCAGCAAGGCATGTATTACCAACCGGGACCTCCGGTAGGATACTACGACGACAGGAGAGGTGGTTCGGGTGCTGGAGAAGGGTGTTGCGCTGCACTGCTCGCCTCATTGGCATGCTGTTGTTGTCTCGAGTTGTTGTTTTGAAATATACTTCAAACAACGAAAATCCCCAACGAATCATCCCGCGTCCAATGGAAGGTTTGTCATTGTGATATCGTTGTCGCAGGAGGATCTTGGATCCGTCTTACAGCCTTCCTCTCCCCCCACCCTGCTTTCGGTTTGATTCAGCTCCACGTACCATGTACTGCGCTTCGATGTCGACATAATACTCTTGTCAGGAGCTTCAAGATTTGCATTGCCTTTATGCGCCCACGCCATCAACAAATCTGACGTTGTCATTGAATAATGTACGTGTTTCCTCCTGGAATTCTATTCCCCCATTTTCTTATCCTTCAATTTCCAGTGGTTTTTCACTGTCTTGTCTTTGTCACTCCTGACTTGCCCAGCACGGCCTGACTCAGGCTTCACCCGTTCAAACGCTTTGGCTCCAGGTCGCCTGGACTGGAGAAGCTAGATGAGTCAACCCCGAGAACCCATGTTGCTGCATGAATCAACACCGGCACGACCTGAGTCTCTACTCTAACGAGCTTTTCTGCGCATCGTTACTTGCTGTTCTCACCGAATCTAAGCTGGAGAAGACAAGATTGCAAGTCCCATTGCATTACAAGCAGGCGTCTCGGACGTCTTGACACCCATTCAACCCACCAACCGCCAGTTGTTGCATTCCCGCCCTCGTCGAGCGTCGCTCCCAGCCACCGCAATGACCCGACCAGCTGCGGCTGGACCATGCCGTCCAATATTTTACCTGCTCCTGACAAATCTACTACTCTGCTTTCCAGTCGCCGCAAAGCATGCAACATACCCAACCATGCGAGTCCGTCAGGAGCCTACAGATCCTACGTCGGTCTGCTCGTTCGAGTCTTGGAACAACCAGCCCGAATTCTGGCTGTTTACATTTAGCATAGTTCTGGCTCTCATTGGCATTCAGATCGCCATCTGGTCGATTCGGATCGTGGCGGGGAAACGCAGGGCGCGGATCAAGACCACGTGTGAAAGATGTCGCTGCCAGCTGCGCGTGTAACGCTGAGTTGGACATAAGGGCGCTTCATCTCGGACACTGCCTCTGGTGTGTCAAGTGGGGCTGAGTTGGATAGTCCCAGTCTGATATGCGACATTGAGTTTAATCCACTACAATCAGGAAGTGAGTCCGACCAGATTCTTTGCACATTGTGAGGAAGCGGTGGCGAGATATTGGCAAGGCGGCTACTAAAGGAATCCATGCGTTTCAGTTTCAACGCTCCCATTCATAGGCAACCATCACATGTGGTGGTCGAATTGGTCTGTGTACCTATACAAGCATTACAGGCAATCAATCCTTATCAGCTGGCACCGTCCGTCCCCGTACTCTGATGAAGAAAGTACATCCATGTCAGCCCAATGTGCACTCGCGTTTCTCACTTTTTCACCATCAGAACTGCATCCGGATACACTTTCTGCACTTCAGAGGTCATTTTTGGTACAGGTTTCGCATCTCTCCCGGCATACAGGCTAATGACGGTAGCCAGTGCGAGGCGAGACTCTTGTGCAACGGGCGTCCAGTGACCACTTCGAGGTAGTATCGTCACTTCACTGTCTTTGCCAAGATAGTCTCCTAACCCATCCAAGCAGATCGGCCTTGAACACGCCAGGTCTTTCTCCCCCCAGAGGACGTAGGTGGGTGCCTTCAAACTGCCCTTGACCGGATCTGCGAACAACGAGGTCGAGATTGATGATCGACGACGGCTGAGAGAACTGGAGTGTGACGCCATTTCATCGAACGGGTACAAGTCCGCAAGCGCTTCCAAGGACTTTGTCCAAGGCCTCCATCCAACTCCGTCACGGTAATAGCCAGTCATATTCCAGAATGCTTCTTTGGGAGACTTCGCTCGCTCGAGGACAGTAGGGCCATATGTATCACCATTTCTGTCATCAGGATTAGATATCCTTGATGTTTTGCACTCCTCGGGGCCCGGGCCGAAAGACGCCGCCATGCACTCCTGAACACGACGCTCATTCGATCCTCTACCGTAAGCAGCCCGATAGGCTCCTCTAACGAAGGAGTAGTTCCCGGCGACTCCCATGTACTTGACAAAGAATGGAGGCAAGTTAAATATGAAGATGTAGCCCATCAAGAATATCTGCCACAATAATGGTCTGAGGGTATTCACAGATTTCGAGAGACATCCGAGATTGCGTCTTGGGGAGTGCTTGAACTGCTTGAATATCTTCGAGGCCGAGTTCAGAAGGCGGTCTTTGTTGGCAAAGGCATGTTCAACCTATCGAGATATTAGCTTAGTTCAATTGCACGGTAGAGCGCGGATATCGACTAGACTCACGTGTGGAGCGTTGGAAAGGATGAACCGATCTGCTAGACACGATGCATCAACTGCAAGCCGAAATCCAAGTACGCATCCCCAATCGTGGCCAACAATGAACGTGTTGGCCGAGTCAGGAACCTCTGTAGAAATGTACTTCTCGCGCATAGCGACCACAAATTCCGTGAGAGCTTCCAGCACCTCGGTGCCGTATCTCTTGAAGCTATCACTCCCTCCATATCCGGGCAAATCGACGTAGACACAGGTAGCTTCGAGGGATAGCATAGCCGGCTCTTTCATGAGATGCCTCCACATCATTGAACTGTCAGGAAAGCCATGCAGAAACACAATCAAGTTATCTGACGAGGCACCCTCTCGATTGCTGATATAGTGCAGCTTTAGGTTGTTGCGCAACGTGTAGAAGAAGTGTCTGAAGCCGGGAAGTGGTGCTTTGGAGAGATTCCAGAACTGATCTCGAGCTACCGAGCGAGCAGGTCAGCAATGTCTCGTTTCTATCCGTGGTGGACAGACCAATGGCATATTGGAGTTTGTCCTGCTCCGAGTCTTTCTTGAAGAAGGCACCGGTTTTGATGAACAGGCCCAGATACAGAAGCCAATTCAGCACCCCAAATGTATAGAAGGACACGATTTTGAGAATCTGGCGGAAGAAGCTCGAAGCCATCACGGTCGTCGACAATGTCGAATCTGAGCAGGGGAGGTAGTAGGAGGTCAGGTTGTCAAGTCATCTGGTATTCAGAAGGAACCGTTTGCCTGCTAGGAGCCCGCCCGGTAGGTCTGCCCAGTAGGAAGGTGATGTGAACGTCTCAGTGAGATGCGGTCATTGGCAACAGAAGGGTAGAGACGGTGTGCCGGAGAGGGCAGGTCAGATTTTGCGGGGGGTTGGCATGAACAACAGTTGCATGCCAGTGGAGGTCAGTTCAAGGAAAAGCAGAAGGAGACAGATGGAGGAGTAAAGAGCATTCGATAGAAAACCGTTCGGGCCAAGAATGAGGTACAGTATTCAGTTGAAGTGACGGCGATACGGGTAAGCAATACTAGTAATTCTAGTAATAGGTCAAGGCCAGGCAGAGACACAACAACTACTAATAGGTGAATCAGGTCTTGCACCGGTGGGGAATGAATAGCATGATCAGCTCGTGCTGCTGTGCGTGCAGTCAGTCAGTCAGCGAGACAGGTGTTGCGGTGGAAGTGGAAGGGATTGATTGACGAAGCGGCAGATGGTGGAGGCTGGATTCTACTACTACTACTTGTTGGAGAACTTCTGCTCATCCTTTCCTCCCACATTTCCAATGCCTAGATCCCTGCACTTCATCTGTTTTCCGTCTCGCAGTCCCTCTGCCTGCCGATCCAGAACATCTTCCAGTTTCTGCTTGCCACTTGTTCTCCTTCACCGCCCTACCGAATGCCGTCCGCCTGACGATCATTCCTCCCTCCCTCCTCCCTCGCAGCTAAACGGGCTGCTCTCCCCCTCAATCGTGGAAGATCTCCCTGTGGTCACACGGACGTGCTGAAAGGTCAAAACATGGCGCCACCCATGCTCACATGGTGTTGGCCAGCTGATGTGTCGCGGATGGAAATACGCCTGTCAACGCGGCAACCAGGATGCTAGACTCCCCCTGCTGCTATTTGACCTGGAGCAACGTCTTTCGTGGGCTTCCTCCTGGCGCGAACTCTTCTGAGGACGCAAAGAGCCAATATCATCAAGAGCAATCCCCAAGCAGCCACACAAACAGCAGTGAGCACCCAAGGGATATTGGCGGATGGCAGTGTGCTCCGTTGGTCCTTCCGACCGCTGGAACGGTCGCCCGGCTGGCCGTCCCCATATACCCAACTCGAACCAGACCTCGTTTGGAGCACCGACATGACAGTTGTACGTGTGCTGCTAGGCTGGCCACATTCAGCACTCTATTGTGCACTCACTCTTGTCGCGTACACTCTTAGGCAGGAGTACAACTAATGCTTGTTGCCAGCATCAACGGAACGTGCGTGTCGCGCTGTTGATGGCGAGTCGATGCAGAGGCAGAGGCGGGTTTGCTTTCTGATTTCACCTTTGGTAAATCGTTCTTTGCACTAGATGCCGTCCTTCCAGCTTGAGCAGATTACATGTTGATATCCTCCGTTTATAACCTTCTATGGCCCTATCGATTAGCTAATGGCAGTGTAGATGCTGGGTTCCACCACTCACCGTCTGACGCAGGCCAGCAAGGTGACTGCTTGCGATTAGGTCGGGACACGAGTTCACGAGTCACAGGATGCGGTGTGAATCGAGAGCAACGCGTGCTCTGTCATCAATTGATGCCCTGTATGAGAATGATCACACACCGTCCGCTCCCGCTGCGAAGCAACTAGTACAGTTCGTTACAAGGGATGGCCCCCTTATTTCCAACCAACAGTGGTAAGTGGTAAGTGGTAAGTGGTAGTATAGGATGCTAAGTCACTGCAGCCTTGTGGTTTCGCCAAGCGTTTACCTTTGCCCGAGTGAAGCCAAAATACCAGTTAATATATTGAAGGACCGGATTTCCAGTCAACATCGACCAGCCTCGGCCTCTAGACATTCTACCATTCCAAACCACCACCGGGGTGGGGTAGTGGTATAAGCCCTGCACAACTGGTGTCCATGCCTCAGCAGAGAGCGGTTGGACTCGAAAACTGATGTTCGGAAGAACCTTGCTACCTAGGATTACAGAGTAACATTTGTATAGGTGGTGGTTTCGCTCCCTTGGACCTCAGTAGCCTAAACAGCTACTGGGCTTCAAGGAAAGTTTTTGTCTCTTGGGGAGAAGGGACTTTTTGGCCGAGATGTTTTTTGCTCTTCGAGGATTGGATTTTGGGTTTGTGTGTGTGCGGCCGGAAAAGGGTGAGGCAGAATTCCACCCTCACCGGGCACCGCATCAGCAAACTTAAATGGTATGCAGGAACAAGTCACAAGGCTTTCTCTTGGCTTGTTCTTGCTCAAGCAAACACCACATCGGGCCAGCGGCCGCCATCTCTGGCAATGGGAACGGCAATCCAATTAACCAACATCTAGACAGTCTTACAAGAACCAGAATCCTCATGCTCTAAAATATCTCGAGACAGGGAGGGAAGGTGGTCATCAGCGCCCATCGTCTACACTTCAGGTATGTCCTACTTCGGAACAGTACTCAGCCAACTGCCTAGGTGAGGACGAAGATTGATATATCCCTGCCGCTACCGGGATCAATCCTAGTGAGTTCTACAACCAACTCCGTTCGTGACAGCTCAGTCGCTCTCGACGCCAGAGATGCCGGAAGAACGACGGTACAGCTTTATTCTCGAGATGATTGCGCATGATCGTCCTCCATCACCCATCCTCCATCCATCTAGCACTACCCATGACGTCGGTAAAGGCTCCCATCACCTGTTTGGGCCGGGAGAAGGAACCTTAGCTAGCCTTGCACGGTTGGACCGTCTAGCAACTCCATCTATCAGCCGTCTGACTGGGTTCCCCCATGCTAAGCACGAGCTCTGCCCATTATGCCTCTATCATTTTCCGCGGCGGCCGCGGCGCCGTCGGTAGCATTTTGTCGTCGGACTTTTTCGATCCTCCAACTGGTCCTCTGCGAATGGTGTCCCTCACCTTGGGAGGGAAAGATGGACCCATCTCCCCGGGAAAGTCGAGAACGGCGGGCTTCATGTCTAGCCCGGGTTCCCTCGCCTTGCCCATCTCCCTGGGAAAATCGGAAACGGCGGGCCTCATGCCTCGCCCGGGTTCCCTCGCCTTGCCCATCTCCCTGGGAAGATCGGAAACGGCGGGCCTCATGCCTCGCCTATGGCCCATCGACATAGCGCCCGTGGCCAGGGCATCGATCCCCTTCGCTCCATCCCTGTCCCATCCGTATCGGATGTAGAGATGCCACAGGACCGCGGTGAGGAAGAATCCTAGGGATGCGAGGAAGAAGAAGATCGTGTTATCTGTGACCGGAACATGGCGACCATTTGCTACACCTGCTCCAGCGTCGCGCACGAAGATGCGAGTATGCTCCGCAAATGGAGCAGCGATGCTCGTGACCAGTTCAGGATCGTTGACGTTAACTTTCATGTTACCGGTGAAGTCAGGCTCAGTCTCGCTACTTCCGTCATGTCGGTCCAGGATAGAATGAGCGCGGACCTGGGTCGAGGAAGTAGTAGCTGCGAGCAAGCATGAGACCAAAACGACAGAAGGGATCCATGAGACGGAAAAAGGGAGTTGTTTGGTCCGCGGTGGTTCAGAGCAAAAGAGTTGTTCAGGACACGACTGCGACACCGGTCCAGCGAGACTGTTTTGTGCCTCTGGCGGCGGCGGGGCTCCACGGGGGTAGGGCTCATGAATGCCGCCATCTTCCGGCGCCAGCTTCAATGCGCCTGGAATCTGTGTGGTGCAGGGAGCTGGCAAAGGACAAGTCTGTCCCATACTGCGTCCGCTTCCACCGGGCTTGGGTTTCGGGCTTCCACTTGGACCGGCGCCACCAGTACCGCCGCTACCGCTACCGCTGCCACTTCCTGCAGCGAGTGAGAGTGGTGAGTAGGGCAGTCTGCACCGCATGGCCTCTTCGGGATCCGAAACCTCTAAGCGATCCTTTGGTTTCGGTTTCGGACTCCCACTTGGACCGGCGCCACCAGTACCGCCGCTACCGCTCCCGCTGCCACTGCCACTGCCACTTCCACTTCCACTTCCACTTCCACTTCCTGCAGCGAGTGAGAGTGGTGAGTACGGCTGGGCGCAAAGCATGACTTGTGCGAGTCCTGAACCTTCCGAGTTTTCTTTGCTGGGCGGCGTATCTGTGACGATGGCAAAGGTAGGAGCAGAAGGGGCCATGACCGGCTGGGGCGGCATTTGATCCCTTAAAATGAGTTGGTCGAGGATTTCTAGGTTCAGGTCTAGGTGCCGTCTGTCGCTAACACAGGTCAAGTCAGTCACCAGCTTCTTCTTCTTCTTCTGTCCGCCCACTTGTCTTCAGTCCAGTTCAGCTCAGCGGACCTTGGCTAGCTCGAAAAGGCCAGCACATGGGAGGGGGCTTGGTACCGTACCGGTTTAGTTGTTGGACAGCCTCGGCAGGTTTGAGATGGGATATGGAATATGGGATATGATATGGTTCTTGTTCAAGGCTTGAGTGGTATCGATATCGACATTGGTCAAGTTGACTCGAGGATAGGTAGGTAGGGAAACAAGAGACAAGAGACAAGAGACAAGAAACAAGAAAGAAGACTATTGGTATGGAGACGATGATCTGCTTCTGCTGATTGCTGAGACTCTCGATATTTATAGGAGATGATCTGATCCGGGCTGTCTGTGTTTGCTCTGGTCTGGTCACTTCCACCTCCTTCACCTTACATGTCACGCTTCACACTCCGTTTGTATCTTTCACAGCGCGTTGACAACGTTCGCTTCGTTTGTGTTTGGGTCTGGGTCTGGGTCTGGGTTTGCGTCTGGGTTTGCGTCTGGGTTTGCGTTTGCACGTCCGTCAAATCAATCATCAATCAACCATCCTAAGCGGCAACACAACTGCGTTCTCTATCCTCTCACCATGACCGTTCGATAGGGCTGGAGTTTGGAGTTTGGGGTTTGTTTGTCGCTTCTCACGATCCGGTCAGGTCCGGTCGGTCTTTTCTGACGAGGTTAGCCCTAGCCTCGCCTAGCATACTCGGTCAGTCTGAAGTTCACTCCGTGAGAGTTCACTCAGTGAGAAATTCACTCTATGAGAGTTCACTCCAGTTCACTCCAGTTCACCCCAGTCACTGGCAGTCATATCTATATCTATAGCTATATCTTGTCCGTCTTGTCCTGTCATGGTATCTCATTGTCTATTTCTATCAGTTCACATCACTGTACTGCCTTCTCTCACATCACTGGATCCGGGATCCGTCGTCCGTCGTCACCGTCCACCGTCCACCGTCGTTCGATACGATGCGAGGCGATGCGTGCACGACAACTAGCCAGGCAGGCAGCCAGGCAGGCAGGCAGGCAAACCCCTCGTGCCTAGTTCAGGCGGCCTAGCTTCCCAGAAATTCTATTCCTATTCTTATTCTTTTGTTTTTTTGTTTCTCTTCCTCCTCCTCCTCCTCCTCCTCCTCCATCTAGCTCGTGACCTCCCCCTTCTTCTGTCAAACTTAGGCATTCCCAGCCTTGCCCTTTAACCAGGAGGCAAGGCTGGTTTAGGCGTACTATACACTATATAGCCTGCGATCCGCCTGCGATCCTTTGACCTGCAATCCCCCTGCGATCCTTTGACCTGCGATCCCCCTGCGACCCTTTGACCTGCGATCCCCCTGCGACTCTTTGATAGAGGGGGAGAACATGGAACAAGGAACATTTCAACCTTTGACATCTTCATCACCCCCCACCGAATCCAAACAACTCTTCGAAAACATTCACTTCCACCCCTTCACTGATATGTTTCCCGAGAGAATCTCTCACGTCTCTTGCTAGACTTGACGGGCCGCAGAGGAACACTGTCACCTCCTGGTGGTGGTGGTGCTGCTGCTGATTCAGGGCCGTTTGGACTCGGCGCCGAACTGTATTGCCCAGGTCGACGCCACTGCCACTGCTACTGTAACTGCTATTGATCTTCTCCGTCACCGAGCTCACCGCCAATGCTGTGTCAATGACCGACTCGAGATCTGGCCGATGGCCCAGACGGTGGACTCTGATCCCCGCTTTCATCGGTCTAGATGGGGCGGGCGTCGCGTCTTCCAATGTGATATAGATGTCCAGATCAAGCCCGGGTTGGATATCACCGCGGTCTTGAGCTTGGTTTAGGATGGTTATGCCCCACTGCGCGGCGGCGAGAGTCTTGACCAGCCAGATCATCTTGGTTCTATTGTCATTGCCATTGCCACTGCCACTGCCACTGCCAGGCCTCGTCGTTGTCCTTTGCGAGGCCAGCAGAGCCATGTAGATCGGAAGTGTGTAGGTCACCCCAACACCACCTGCGATAAGCAAGATAGGGCCTCTACCGGTTCCGGTGTGCTGTCCCTTGAGCAGTCGGGGGATATACATCTCCGATTCCCCGTAGGGACCCTCAACCTGGAGTGCAAACTTGCTCGGGCGCTTATTTTGCTTCTGCGCCAACCCGCTGAGATACGACGTCTGCGGCCCGCCCGTGTTTCTGAGCACAAGCTGGACCTCCACCTCGGGCTGCGCAGCCTTTCCATCCTGGAGTTTCTCGTCCTCATCCTCAACTGCGTGATTGATAGGGTGGACATTCGCAATTGTGAATGGATTCTTGGGGCCCAATAGCCCCTCGTGACGGATATAGACATGTTGTCCAGCCTTGGCGTGCGCGAGGGGGCTCCATGCGCCGACGGTAAACCTGACACTGACCAGCTGTGAGCCGGTCGCGGCGACGGCCCCGTCGAGCAGTTCGCTGCGTGCAGAGACGGTTTCACTTCCCCGCTGCCGCAGGAGACCACCAAGGATCCAAAATACGGCCGCCTGCGCAACATAGACCCTCGTGTAGGGGACATGGAAGAACAGAAGCGGAAGCACCACGGCACTGAGCACGACGTGACTCCTGTAAAATACCGAATGATACAGTCTCCTCCGCACGGCAGGCAGAGCGAGAAGGGCCAGAGCGTTGAACACCCAGAAGGCACTAAGACCAAGCTGCACGTCAAGGTCTCGAACGCGCTTAGCCAACAAGCCCAATTTGACGAAAAATCCCAGGTACAGCACCGCGTGGGCGCCGAGGAGAACGTGGATCATGCGCCCGAAGAGGCGGTGGAACGCATTCAGCCGTTCATGCGTCAGCCCCGTCGCCAAGGTGATGGGCGACTGGGGCGATTTGAGAGCCAACAAGTAGTGCATCGGCAGTTGGGAGATGGCCACATGGCCGAACGATTTGGTCAGGTGCATGTAGTCGTTCCCCGTGGCCCGAAACACCAGGTATAGCAGCCAGCAGAAGTATCCGAGCCCTATCAGCTGGACGTGGAACGGACCGAATTCGCCCATGTAGGTGGTGTTTAGGACCCAATGTAGGCGGCGGAGGAGGACTTGCACTCGTGAAGGAGGCCGCTGGGACACATTTGGAGATAGGGACGCCTTGTCTGTGAGGAGAGAAGGATTGAGGCCCCGTCGCCGAAGCTGCCGGTATATCCATATGGTGACCAGCAGGATGATAGGCGCCAGCCATGCGTGAAAGCCCGCAAGGTCGAGTTGTGTGCGGCGCTCCTCGAGTTGAGCAGGGGTGAGGCTGACAAAGGTATAGTAGCTCATGTTTTCAGAATCAGAGAAACTTCTCGGTTCTCGGCTTGGAAAGATACATAGATTCAAAGCAGTGAAGGCGAACAGGAGGCGCCGCGCGGCACGTCACGTCAGCCTCCGGTTCTCTTTCGAACTACTCCGTACACCTGAGATCGAGGGTTGACCCGAGATAGGAATGCGTAGAACGCCAAACAGAACCTTGGTTTCTCTTTTCGCTGCAAAAGCGTCGTTTGCTACACATACTATCACACATACTAGGTCTGGTATTAGAATCCCCTATTACTATCCAAGATTGAAGGGACATAGAGAAGGAAAAGAGTGGCTTATGCCACGTGACTATGGGCTAGAGCCGGAAAGGCTTACATAATCGACGCCAAGCCAAGGCTGAACCCCTGCAACACTGAAAAGGAGGTCTGCGCGAAGCAGCAAAGAGACAGGCAATTACTAGTATATTGGACGATGCAACTGCAACACCAACATCTCGATTATCGTCTCATTTACCACTCCGTTGTCTTTCCAAAGTCTAGTTCATACGAATCGCCAGGCACCCGTCCTGAAGATGTAGGACAGCAATCAATTAGATCTCCTCGCGACCACATGAGATTATGCAACAAACCAGACAACAAGGCGCTTGCTATGCTATGCTATGCCAGTATTGTACAGGTTGGAACCAACAACACGTCGAGGCAGTGACAGGCGGTTTCAGAGCGCCAATGACCGCAGGTTCCGCACCTCAGTTCGAGCAACAAACGCGTTCAACAGTCGAACCCCCAAACGGCAATTAGATAGATTTTCTTTTTTGGAAATGCCATCAAACAGATGTCACCCCAAAAGTCATAGTCGTTCTCCACATAAATCAAGCTCACGATGTCTATGCCTCCATATTCAGGAGCTTGGAGCACTCACAGCTGAGGGGACTCCTGACCCCGACCCTATCTGCCCGGCCGACTTCTCCTCTTTGACAGGCTTGGAAGATGGATCGATTTGTTCAATGTCATTGTCAGTGTTTGATTTGACATCCTCTTGTCCTAACTCAAAGTGGGGAGCTTTTAGGATCGGTTTGGGGACTTTAGGAACTTTGATCGGCGATATCGATTGATTCGTCGCCTCGATGACTGCTTCTTTACTCTCGCTCTCTGGCATCTTTCTTTTCGGAGGTTCTTGTACTTCTTCTAAGTGCCGAGTCCCGGTGCTCGACAACAACACTTCGCTTTGGCGTCTTTGCAGTTCTTCAAGCTTCGTAACCGGGTTCTGTCTCCCACAGTATTGGCATCTCCACCAAAAAACGCCATGCAAATCATGCAACGGGGTGGGCAAAGCAGGGGACGCACGCTTGGAATGGGAAGAGGATCGACGCACCCATTCTTCTTGTGGCGGTACTCCGTCAGCCGCCGGTAGGTTTCCTCCTTCGTCTCGCTCCCCTCCCCAGAAGCTCGGTCGTCGGATCGGGGCTGGAGTCACAGGTAAGCTCGGCCGTTCGACTTCGGTGGGAAAATCGGTGATTCTCAAGCTGAATTGTCGTGGCTTCTCTGCTGGAGGAGAAGTAATATCTGACTCGCCCGGGGAACGCTGGGAAGGAGTATGATGCAAGACTTGTAACTTTCCTTTCCGCGCTTGACTAAACGCCTGCACGTATCGTTCAATTTCTGGCATGTCGTCCCAAGCATTGGTTCGTTGCTGGAATGATGCCCAGGGGTCTGAGGGCGGGGCCAGTGGAGTGAGAACGGTTTCTTCGGTGATGTCGGTCACGTCGGTGGTGTCAGTCGACGGCGATTGAGCTGCTACTTCTTCGGGAGGCGTCGGTTCGGGCGGAGGTGGTGGTCTGGGTGCCTGGGGCTTGGGGAACACCCGTGTGGGTTTGGGGGCTTTCGACTCCCAGGGGAATATTTGTTTCGGTTTGACCGGCTCGGGAGCCTTTTGAGGGACCTGATACCACATATCTCTGGGGGCTTCGGGGTACTGAGCGGGAGGCTGGAACAGTTGAGTATCGCTGGACATGTCGTAGATCCGGTTCGGGAAGTTCGCGGCTTCGGGTTTCGAATGGATGGGAGGCGGTTCTCTGTAAACTATAAGCACTTCCTATCTCACCGAGGGGCCAGTGGCTTACCGTGTAGGCTCCCAGCCTACATGAGGAGCTGAGAAGCGCCTTTGCTCGACCGTGGGTGTGGGAGCATCCCTATGGGGCAATTCCACCGAGACAGGTTGGTTCGACCCGGACTGAGAGACTTCTGTGTGCGGTGGGAGGGGGAGCTGTTCTTGGTGAGGAGGCGATGGTTGCTGGTGGGGGTTGGACCCAGATTCTTGACGCGACCAGTCGGCAATATAGAAAGGTTCTTCGCCACGTACATAATCCTGCACTTTTTTGGTAGACCTATATGTTCGACTGTCATGGTGTGTGATCGCCTTGGAGCCATCAGCAACATCGTCCCCTCGTTTTTCATGTCCACTGACCTTTGGCCGATAATGCTTGTCGAACACTGCCCACCACATTCCCAGCAGTTGGCCATAGGCGCCGGTGTTATGCTTGTTTTCTCTTCCCAAAGTCCAAGGCTTGTCCGGACCTATGAAATGGACTGCGGCAATAGTGCTGGAGAAGTGTCGGTAGGCAGGTTCATATTGATAATTACCACTTGGCGTACAATTGTACACGAAGCTCAACCTCTCCCAATCCCGGAAGTGCATGTTCAGCAGACCTTGATCGGCGCCGTCGAAACTGATCCCTCGCTGTGCTAACGCATGCAGCGCATAGTAGTCTGCCATATTGGGGTTGAGGACGAGCAAACCGCTGTTGAAACAGTCCGGCCAGCCAATGTCGGGGACGGCGGCGAACTGCGTGTCGAGATTCAGCAGCTCGTTCGGGGCTCTGAGTACCACCATATCCGCATCCAAGTAGACTATCCTCTTGTACCGTGTCTGCCTCCACAGCTCAATCTTTGTAAATGTGGATACGAGGTCGGGTCGACCCATGAGATAGAGGTTCGCCGGGTTCTGGTTGACGATCTGCTGGACGGGTACGATCTCGTCGTAGACAGTCTAGAGCAATCAGTGAACTGTCCCACGAGATGCGGAGCAGATGGGCAGACTCGGAGCTCAGTGACGGTGTCAGAGGATAGCTTGTCGAGAAGAACAAAAGCTACCAGAGGAGCCTTTGCACCTCTGTCTTTGAGGGAATGCCCCAAGACCATGGCGCCTGGTGTGATATCAGCGCTTGAACACACGCCCTGGCGACCGCGAGGACATACCTGGGAGATAGGCATCGTTCATGAGCAGCTGGACTTGGTGTCAGTGACGCAGCAGATGGGATGCGGGGAAGACACGGGGAGGGAACTCACCGTCGCGAAGACAGCTGCACCGACGGGCGCCATGGCGGCGGAGGCCAGCGACGGTCGTGAAGGAGAGACTCGGTGAGTATAATGAGGGTGCAGCCGGAAAGAATGAACATAACAATAGGGAAAACAATACAGTTAGCAATAGTAGTGGTAGTAGTAGTAGTTATACCCAGCCCAGGCCGGAGACTGGTCAAGATGTTGGAGCGGAGGAGGAAACAGCTGTCGAACTATGTACGGATCGTAGTATGCCAGTATGGAGACGGAGCCGGGCACGGTGCTGAGCTGCGCTCGCTCGCCCTGCTGCCGCCCGCCGACTTTGGTTCTGCCCCCCCGCACGAACCCGCGTTGTGCAGCTTCTTTTGCTGTTGAGGCCGTGGGAGCTGCGAGCTTCTTCCTTAGCTGCACAAAACACCCGACGGTGGGCCAAACAGACGAGCTGCCACCCCTGCGAGCCCTCCATCGCTACCTGCTAAACCTCAGGGATCCGCCTCCACCATCCCTTGTGACGTCGACCTTGGAGAGAGCAATCAATGATGGACGTGTCCACGAGATCACTGTGAATGCAGGCGGTGAAGCAAAATACAACACATTCTTACCCTCGGTCACCCTGTTCGTCTCCTCACAACCAGCCCTCCTGCACTCGATGCGGCTTGCCTTGCCGCCGCTGGCCAAGGATCTCGCGGGCAAAGAAGAGAAGGGAAGAGAAACAGAAACATGTGCTCCAGCTGCTGCTGCTAGTACTTACTAGGCAGTGGTACTTTACACCCGCCACGCGCCCATCCACCCTGCCAGCGATAAGCAAACCTGGCGTCCAATTTCAACATTCGCCCCGTTCTGCCCGTGGCTAAGCTGCGGCGGCTCTGCTCGGAGGTCCTAAAAGGCGTTGTCCTAGCCTTTTCCTGCATTTCTTGCTGGCTGTTCCATTTCGTTGCTGTGGCGCCCCGGCGTTTTAAAGCTTCCAGTCTCCAGCCGGCGCCTTTATTATGCACGAAACTAGAGACAATATCAGACCATTCTCGCACCACTTTTGAGTTTGGCCATCAACTTCCCGGTCGAATTTTCCGACCGCGCACTCTCTTGGGGGTAATGCTGCCGACCTTGAGGGCACGGATACTGCGCCCAGCGACCTGATTGCAGCCTAGAGGCGAAAGGATCTCTCGGTGAGATACAAATACTGGAGGAGCTTCTAGTGCAAGAATATTGAAGCAGCTCTGTGCCAGCGGGATACAGAATGAAAGCTGTCAATCGATTCCGCGACAGCGGGATCCATGGATGCTGATTTCGGCTGCTTCGGGCAATCTCATCACCCTTCAGATCCAGGATCTAGTGACACACTCTAAAAGTCCATATTGCCCAGCCTGCTATCAAATCTGTCCCGTCAAAAGCCAGTTGCTTACAAAGTACCGAGTATCCGCAGAGTATTCCGCTCTCCACAAGCTGGTTATTAAACAGGGGTATCTCTTTTCACACAATCGCAACCAAATCATCCAGCTTCTCATGCTAACAGTCTCTCAATATCCCTCAACGTGCCTGCACGCATCTCGTGCCGTTGTTTCTCTTTCCTCTCCCCAAACGCGTCGCTAGCGAGTTTTCTCTTCTGCGTCTGAATCTCTAAGACCTCATCTTCAATCGTGCCCTCGACTACCAGGCGGATCACTTTGCAGGCTCGGGTCTGTCCCAGCCGATGGACACGATCGACTGCTTGATCCTCAATCGCGGGCGCCCACCAAGAGTCCGCCAGTATGACTTGGTTGGCCGCAACAAGATTGAGTCCGACGGAGCAGACGGACAGAGAGGCGAGCATGATTTTGCATGAAGGGTCGGAGTTGAGAGAATCGATCGCGGCGTCTCGGCGCGCCGAGTTCATCTTGCCATCCAGTCGCGTGAAACTCAACCCCTGTTGAACAAGTTGTGTCTGCACCAGATCCAGAAAAGACGTCCACTGTGAGAACACCACCGTCTTGACCTCCGAATCAGCTTTTGACGCCTTGAGGACTTTGACGAGGGCCTCGATCTTGCTGCTCGTTGTATCAGAGTCGATCTCGAGATCTAGCTCGTCACCTTCCCCGATCCCAGCCGCGGGTTCAACGAGTTGGTCGTTGTTTGCCAATTGGGCACGGCACATGGGACATTTGTGCTGCCTCTCAATCACCCTCTCGATGCAGTCTCGACAGAACACGTGGGCGCAGGCCGTGATCACTGGACTTTTCAACGAGTCGAGGCAAACGCAGCAGTCCTCCTGGGAGTCAATCTGGAGCTGCAATACGTCCTGTAGAGCCCGGCGATTTGCAGGATTCATTACGTCCACCGCCACATCGCCCTCCACTAGCTCGAGCAATTTCTTGACTCTGTCCTCACCACACATCTTCCAATGGTTGCAAGTCTGGCGGAGTCGGAGAAGAACTTCCAGAAGGTGGGTCATGGTGTTGTCGCCCTTCTTTGCTTTTGCTGCCTCCACTAAACCCTTGGCCTCGCTCTTGAAAGCATCATATCGTTCTTGTTCATGAGGTAAGAATTTGATGGCGTACTTGTGGAAGGTGATCTCTGGAAGCTTGAGGTCGATGAATTTCATATCCTTCATCCGGCGAAGAGACAAGGTTGACATAAGGGCTTGTAGAAGTAAGCGAGCCCCATTCTCGCCGTTCTTAAGTGGCCGAATCAATGTGGAATTGAAGATCTCAAATTCCGTCAAGCCACCTGATAGACGCAAGAACTTGACATGCGAGTATAGATCCTTGAGATTGTTGACGATGGGCGTCCCGGTCAAGATCCATCGGGATTGCGCGACAAGTGTGCACGCAGCCTGGGACATTTTGGACTTGGGATTGCGGATCTGATGGCCCTCATCCAGTACGATCCGTCGCCAGGCCATAGAGAACAGGCCCCTCGCGGCCGGTGTCGACTTCGGTTTCGAGCTGCCATATGAAAACAACTCGCGTGTCATTGTCTGGTAGGTCGTGATGACAATGTCAAACTCTTTCAGTTGTCCTGGTGGTAGATCTGTGTTTCCTTGGCCGTGATAGATTAGGATTCGCGGTGCGTATTTGTTCTTCACATGAAGCGCTGCTTGCTGGCTCCAGTTGCTCATCACAGAGAGCGGTGCAATGATGAGTGTGGGCTGTCCGTTCTTATGCGGGTCGGCGACGATGAGGGAGATGATCTGGATGGTTTTGCCTTATAGAGAGTTCCAGTCAGCGACGTCCTAACTAAGACGCAAAAGTGTCTCCATGCACGACTTACCGAGTCCCATGTCATCGGCGAGTAGACCACCACTTGCAAGCTCTGGCGCCTTGCTGAAGGAGAAATTCGTGGCGATGTTGGTGTAGACGGTTCCCGCCTTCTTCCACATTTGCACAACATCATCGCGGTCCTTGGGCAGCTGTGGCGATTCGTGATCCAGCATCCATTTCAGGCCTTGTCTCTGATATGGTAGTAACACGGTGGCCAGCTGCCGTGGCTGCTCTGCCAAGGGCATTTTCTCCAGCACGTCCTCACCGGATCCGAGTTTGTTCACCACGTCCTGCACATCACGAGGGTTGAATGTGGCTGTCCCGTCGAGGAGTTGGTCCATGGTATCTGTCCACTGACTGCTCCCTATGCCAGGCGCCGTGTTCAGGTTGCTGTATCGGTTAGGACCTTCATGGTCAAATACAGCATTGCCCCGTTTCTGCATGGCCGCAGCAGCCTTTTCCCTAGCCTTTCTCTGCTTCTCCAGCTCCTGCATGCGTTTCTTTCGCTGCTTGTCCGCGCGCAAAAAGTCGCCTACCGGCAGCCGCAGGTCCTGCATCTGGCGGCAGAGCGCGGCACTGGCCACTGGGTCGCTCGTGCCAAACAATTTCAGACCGATGGGGCAGTCGTAGAACGTTTTAGGTCCCGTCAGCGCACCTTCGATCAGCAGCGAGCCAGCGTCCATCAGAGGCGCCAGCTTTGCAGCGACCTGGCGTCCAATGTGGCCGATTTGCTCGCGGAGGACGTTGTCGATCCGGATGGCATTGCTGTCGTAGGGGTTGCTTGGTTCGCGACGGACTCGCACATACTCGCCCACAGTTGCTCGGCCGTCGTAAAACCGACATCCGACAATTTTGGTGTTGAGAATCCCGTACAGTTGATAGTTCTCATACACGTCGTCGTCGAAATCCTGCGTCAGATCGATCTCTCGGGCAATGTCGGCCTCCTCGTCCTGAGTGGATGTCAGCCAGCCTTCGCGCTCTGTCTTGCCGTGTGTCGAAGTCGGCTGGCTGGAGCGGGCAAGTCCAGCGGCATAGTGTCCCTGTCCGGGCTGGCTAGACGAGGGTGGTGTTGGGAGAGACCCACGGGCCTGCGCGGTCGACAAGGACGAGTTTGATCGGGAGTACTTGGAGTGTGCCGGTCCGTTGGCATCATCATCGTCGCCGGTGAGATCGACTATCTCGACCGCCTTTCTTTTCGCCATGGGCATGTTGAAGAAGGCTTGTGATGGAGTTTCGATAGAATTAGACTTCTGGAGATGAGCTGGTGCAACCGGCTATACGAATGGCGAACAAAATAGTGCCGACTTATTAGAGCGCTATCATATTCACTCAGTTCCGCTGCCACTGGTGGATGGTGCCAAGAGCAGAGAAGCAAAGAGGGTGGACGTGTGGCCACAACGCGTCTCTTTGTCCTGACTGCCTGACGCGTGTGTGAAGTCGTGATGTTTCAAGTTGGTTACCGGCGGTCACCTGGAACACAAGCTACGCGGGCCAAGGTCCCAGTGTCAGACAGCAAAATATAACGCCAAATTAGCAAAAGCACTAAGGCCAACATGTTGTCAGACAGCATCTTTTCTGTCGAGGGGGCATGGATGTTACACAACCGAGATTGTCTGCAAAATACATAATTACCACCTACGTAGCTATGATGCATCCGAGGCAGTAGTGGACAATGTGATCGGCTTGCCGGGTAGTTACCTAGGTAGGTAGGTATATTTCTCTCAGCTATGCTACCAGGTACAATCTCACCGGAGGCATCCCAATTATTCGTCCTCTTCGTCGGTATCCAGGCCAGCATCAATCGTCGGGATCTCAGAATCGTCACTATCATCGCCATCCGGTTCTACAGCTGGTCCTCTCCTTCCAGAGGGACCGGAGACTGGATCTGATGCCGAGATTCCCATCTGCGGTCGGCTGTCAGCACCGGCTAGAGAGCTCGCCGATCTGGTTTCAGGAAGGTTGTCCCTCGCCGCGTCTTCCTTCGACCATTCCTCTCGTATCGATGTCGATGCGTAGGTAAGACCTTGCTCTGGTCGCAGCCGCTTGGCCTCCCTCTCTTCGTTCGTCTCTTGTGGGATGGTAATTTCTGGAAGACTCTCGTCGACGTCGATATATGTGCGTTTCTTGGTAACAATGTCCTGAAGCCCATTTCCGCTCACAATTCCCTCCACAGCCCTACGTGAGCTGCTGTCTTGTTCAGTGAAAGAGTCGCCAACGACTTGGGCCCGCGTATCGTCACTAGGCTGACGATCATCTTCTTCGCTCTCCGGCTCTGGTGAGACTTGGGGGAGTGGAGAATGCGGCGCAGGGGATGGATCCACTTGTACGACAGGCATTCGAGGCCTGAGTAATGCCTCAACCGTGAAATCGTTGGCAGCCGACCTTGCAAGAAATGGCAGCAGACTAGGGCCGTTCGCTTTGCCGCTCTTCGATAGCACTGGGCGCATCACGCTTGCCAGCATGGCTTCTCGATGGCCGAGCAACACGGACAGCCTATCCATCTCTGTCCTTAACTGTCGGGGAGCTGGTGGCCATGATCCGTGTTTGAGGAGTTTGGGCAGCAAGCTCCAAGCACTAGCGTAAACGTCGGGCCTTTCTAAGAAAGGTCGAGCATATCTGGCACTCTTCTCCTGGGTATTGTTCGCAGTGAGGGCAGAGTTCACCTTCAGCGATGCCTCTGTAGCATCATTTGTCTTGGTCCGGACCTCTAGCCCTGGCACGGCCCTCCTCAAATCATAGCAGCATTCTGTGACTAGTGCTGAGAAACCATCTCGGGACAATGCGATATCATTTGGATTCGATGCTTCCAATAAGAAACCGAAGATGTCGTAGACGCCCTGTCGGACTCCTTCCTGGTCGGGTAAGGCTTGGAGCAAAGCTGCAGCTTGACTGGCCATGGTTCGATATATGGACAGTAGGGCCTGCCCATAAGTTGTGCACATGATATGCAGCAGACGCAGACAAGACACATGGAGGAGCGGAAGATTCATTCTGAGTTCTTCCTTCTCCTCCCTACTTGCTTCTTTATGGTATTTCAAGGGCTCAGGGCTTGTCGGGACAGTCACTGCCGCAATCCGTGCGGTGAGGTCAACGATTCTACCCACCGGAACGCCCACAGTCTGAGATTCAGGTGTTGAAAGGAGACTTCCGAGCCAGGCCAGCAATGTTGAAAGTCTCAAGCTCCCCTGATAGATGCCAGTCCATGGCTCCAGCCCAGTTGAATCAGGCCCGACAAGATGTGGTTCGTGGGAGAAATCTTGTTTACCAATCGATTGTTGGCGAGCAGGATCGTTTGATTCATATTCTTCGAGCACAGCTCTGAACAGTTGGTCCACAGTTTCATGCGCGGCACTGATGATTTTGAGGACAATCTGAGACCATTCCTGAGAAAAGGTATTCTTTGAAGCGCATGACAATAGCAGGCATAGGAGCTTGATTGCCAATTCTCTGGACGAAGTAGATGACTCCTCGCTCCCCAGCAGGCCATGACAGATCGCCTTGATGCGCGCAAGCTCTGGACGGAAAACTGTTGCGTGTTGAGGCAATAGCTGGGCCCAGCATCTCAGTACAGTGTCCAGTAAAGGGCTTGGGACTCGGGTAGACCGCTCGCCACCTTGGGTCTCGACGGGCTTGATTAGGACAAGGCAGGTTTTGATGAAGTGCGGGAGCAGCGGAGTTGTAACCTCCCGCAACAGATGAGGGTGGTTCTGTGTGAGGACGAAGATGCGGGTAGTGGTAATCAAATAGAGCTTCTTGAGTTCGGTGGCATCGGGTTTATTCAAACAACCAAGCAGACCTCTGGCCCAGCCCTCAGAAGCCGAGACTGCGTTGGAACCGCCATGCTCGACGACCGCCTTGATAAGGACTGCAGCAGCCAGTCGCCCAGATGCAGATCTGTCTTGGAGCAGAGAACCAATCCGTGTCTTCAGCTTGTGGGTGGTGACAGACGAGCTGCTACCCTTGAGGCCGGAGAATTGCGATTCGAGTGAACAGTTGGCCAGCTGATTGGCGAGAAAGCCGCAGATTCGAGGCAGATCTTCGACTGGCGTCACGCTGAGGCGATTGGTGATGGCTCGTAGAGAGCTGTCAGCCTGCATCGCGAAGAAGAATAAGACTATAAGACGGTGCTGTCAACTCATACATCCAACAACTGTATTGTCGTCGAGGAATTTTTTGGGGAGCCATCAGGTTGGCCTGCCGAGGTTTTTCCGACGAGCGCAGTCTGAACTCAAAAATCAGCAGCTGTCTGACAGGGCGGATGGGAGACATGGCACGGTCAAATGTCTCAGTGACTTCTGTCAGACAACTGTCACCTTTCCAACCCCGAAGTCGCAACAACCCGTTGAGTACGACACCCGCCGGCTTTCAGATAAACGGGGATTGAACTCATGCCAACGGATGCGCGTCCATGGAGCTGCAACCATGCATTCCAAATCCGAATGACTTGACGCTTCCAATTTCAACTTGAACAGCTGACTGCTGACTGTATGGAAAGAGGCCCATACAACGGCCACAATGACCGTGCTCCCTGTACTTCGTTGCCTGGATCTTGACATTCTGCATGCTCTTGGCTAATCAAGGGCAGGTACATCATGACAAGGACAAGGCCCAGCGGTACATTGGCCTCCTTGATACAGCGCGCGTGGCGGGGAACTGGCAAGACCTTCCAGAACTCATCAGAAAAATCCGGAAACATGCTCCGGATCGGAAATGTATGGCTCCCACGCTGGACCCTGGATCCTGTTCGATGTTGACATTGGTTACAGGCTTAGTTGAGGTCGCGAGTTTTGAGCTCGAAATCGCCAACTATGCGAGTCGAAGACCTGGCACCGCAAACCGTAGTTCGACTCTGCCAGACTCCCGAGTCTCTGCTCTCGAAACACAACTACGCGCGAATGGGCAGTCGTTTGAAGAGGTTGTGCAGGGCCATACGTCCCTGCTATGGGCTCGTTGGCTTGGCCTATTACAAACAGACAAGTCGATCCTTCCGCCCGACCTCAATCCTTCTCGAACCGCTGCCGATGCCACTTCTATATGGACCAAGATCTGTGTGGTCAAAAGCGTATACATGGGGGGAATGCTGCTGGGTCAGGCCGGCGACGAAAAGAATGGAGGAGATTTACATAGCACACTTCTTCCATGGCTGGACTCAAATCGAAGCCTGATCATCTCAACCCCTCAACTGCTGTACTGGGCTCAGCAGCTCCTTGCTCGTGTCGCACTTGGCTTCCATCAACCTCACGAATCCGGTGCTCCCACAGCTAGTTCTGATGAGTCTTTGCCATTCCGCCTCCAGGCATATCGTCATTGGGCAGTGTTGGCCGTCAGAAATCAAGACATCTCGCCCTCGACATACGGTAACGGGCCTGGTCATCTGTCGAAACTTGCGGTTTGGCGTTCTTACTATCGGTTTTTGTCAGCTATCCTGCAGCAGGGCCCAAAGAGTCTCCAAGTAGCCTCCATCACTCGTCCGGACCTGGCAACAGAATTGCGTCGAGCGGAGACGACTTGCGAGAATGAGCTATTACGACATACCCAGTTCCCAAGAGCCCACGAGTCCAACACTGTCATCGAAGAGTGGGTGGAAGAGGCAATACACAACTGGCACGTTCTTTGCGGGCCAGATTGGTCAGATTCAGATCTAGGAGAGGGCGGCCGCAACTCGGTTGGGCGAAACGTGCTTGACATGCTATATCGGGCTGCGACAAAGACTTTCCACTCCACACTTATCCTAAGGCGACTGTTTCAAGTACACAAAGCCCTGGCGGATTTTGACCTCGCTTATAAGGCTTTGGATACATACATCGAGCTGATGGATCGGGCACGTGCTCGAGAGGCCAAATCTGAAGGGCCGAGTAGTGACAGAGACAGCCATGAGGTTTTCTTGAGAACAATTGCAGAGGGAATTGAGGGTCTTTGTGCATTCGGACGGCGACCCGAAGCTGAGAAGGCATATGAATTGTGTTTAAAGCTCGAAGATCTTATGGCAGAACTTGGATCTGCATCGTCCGATCTCATCCCGAATGGTTCGGAAGCGCCAAATGGAGCTTTGCAGACCAACGGCTCCGGACCACATCCTCTATCCGGTGCTTTGATAGAGTTGACCTACCGGGCCATTGGCATTGCGAAGTCCCAGTGGGCTCGATGGACTCCGTTCAGCGAACATAGGTCAGCTCTGCAATCGGAGGCTCTCCAATGTCTTCACAAGGCTGTGGCGCAGACACTCCCCCCCCATCAGCAATTAGAATCACTCTACGCACTTAGCCGGTTGCTCGCAGAGACGCGTGACATTGACCGAGCAATTGCAGTGGTGAAAAAAGTCCTGACATCCGAGTTGGCCGAAGACACAGCGGCTCACTCCTTTCGAATACCACGGCAGCTATTGCCTTTCTGGCACCTGTTAGCCCTTCTGCTCACATCGCGGCAGGACTTTGAGAATGCGAGCCAGAGCTGTGTTGCTGCACTGGCTCAATTTTCGCCGGCCGATGTCATGTTTGGCACTCTAGCTAGCGGAGGAGAAAAAACGTCAATCGCAGGGCAGAAGCCAGGACTAGTGGACGACATGGAATGCGAGGAACTTCAAAGGATTCTTGAGATTCGAATCACGGAACTTGCTCTGACTGAACTGATTGAAGGGCCGGACAGTGCCGTCAACCGTAGCAATGAGTTGCTGGCATTGTATTCTCGGCTCTTCGGCCGGTTTGGGGGCCTTGCTGGGACGGAGGAGACATCAAGGACAAGGAACGTGGAGCCCCCCAAGAGTTCCGCCGGTACGGTGAAGAGCGTTCGAGGCAGTCTTTTCTCTCGGCGAAGGATAGGACGTGAAATTGAGAAAGGGCCTAAAGCGAAGGAAGCACCATCGGTCGTGGAAGAGAAGACGCGGCCCAATTCTCTGCCGTCGCACGCACCGGCCATTCAAGTTACGAATGAGGACGAGAAACGATTACCGCACAAGCACAAGATCTTTCCTCTATCTCACGAGCATGAGCATGAGCATTCCAGAGAGGAGAAACCTAGGCGGCGCCTGTCCCGCTCGCGGAGTCGAGGCAGGAAAGACACCAGTCACCGGGACAGCACCAGACAATCCTTCGAAGCGAGCCGTGAGACGACATCGAACTCTCGTCCCGGGGGGGAAACGGCTCAAGTCCTACCCGAAGTGCAATCTCTCTCCTCACAGAACGTGCCGGTTGTGCCAGTGTCGGCGAACCATGACTATAGCCAAGAAGCCAAACAGCCGTTGAAGGAGATTCATCACAACCTTGCATCTCATAATGAGCTGCCCCGACCGGCTCGCCATGAAAGTCAGCCGCCACAGCAGGATGTACGACTACCCCTGGCAGGGTCGCACACGACTCAGACGGATGCGGTAGCGCGGTTCCCGGCAGCCACGTCGCAAAGATTTGCGCTTACGGTGCTTGTGAAGATTTGGTTAATTATCGCCACATTATACCGACGGGCCAGCATCTTTGACGACTCACGAGAAGCATGCGACGAGGCAGCGAAAATTGCGATGAAGATCGAGGGCATGGTTGCCAGTGTGGAGAGTTCAGCACGAGCGTTCGGTGACGCTGGATGGGGCGGCAACGGCAAAAGCTCTGATGAGATCTGGGCTGACGTGTACTACGAACGAGCCGAGTTGTCGATGGCCATTGCACGGGCGAGAGAGGAGAAAGAGGGCCAGGGGTACAGCGAGGCAGTTCGAGAGGCGGCAGATCAGTACGAACAGTGTCTGATGTACCTTGCCGACCACGCTGGGGGTATCGTGGGGTTGAGTAATGTGCTTCTGGACTACTACGAGCGCAAAGTGGAGTTGGCGACAAGGATAGACGGCGGAAAAGGCCAGGTGGACGAAGGGCTGGAAGAGAGATCGCGGCGACACAAGCGAGAGTTGAGCCGGAATTCTGAGGGGCCCGCGGTCAATGGCATGACTGATGCAGATGGACCGCCCGGCCCAGCCACCGGCCCGACAGCGGCACCGGGATCAGCAGCGACCCATTCAGGCGGGACGAAAGATGACGAACTCAAAAAGACGCCGGACAACCTCAACCGGCTTGCGGCGCGAGATCGCGCATATGGACTGTTGTCGGCGTTGACGAAACAAGGGTCTGGCTGGGACAACTCAGAGGCATGGTTCGCCCTGGCGCGAGCACATGAACTGGGGGGAGAGATCGACCGGGCGAAAGAGATCCTGTGGTGGTGTGTCGAGTTGGAAGATACGCGGCCGATACGACATTGGACGAATGTGGGATGCAGCGGATATGTGCTATAGCCGGTGCGCCAGGCCGGAGGAGACAACTGGGACACCTCAGAGGGCTGGCTGTATCACGTATCAAGAAGGGTGGTGGTGGATGGTGAATGGTGCAGCATGGAGATGACGAGGCCTCCCAGATGCGGTGGTTCATCTCAGATGCCTCATTATGCGCATCCAGCGTCTGTTGTGTCCGTGTACGGAGCGCAGGGTTGTGTGAGATTTCCCCTACCCGGGCAGTGTCACTGTTACAAGATAGTTTCAGGTCCCGTCTGAGGAGGCCTCAGCCAGGACTGACAGGCTGGTTAATAGAAGAATAGCATCTTCGGCGGGCTCAGGCTTACATATGTGCTGCTGCTGCGTAATGAGGCTCAGGCTGTTGTCCCCAAATTTAGCTCTTGGCCTCGTGTGTCGCCTCGTCTCAGACCCCTGGCCGCGTCAGCCTGTAATTATATACTCCGTACAGCGTATCCGTACAGTTGTTCACGGACATAGTGGCGACTCCTCCGTATAGGAATCCGTACTAGGAAGACACCGTTGGCCGGGGTACGGCACCGTACCAGACAGTCCGCGTCATCGCCGAGCAGACGACCTTGCGCCAAGTGCAGTGCAGGCCTAGCTCCGCCTAGCTCTCGCCTGGAATCCTGCCCTGCAAGATCGGTCTAGGTAAGATCTGGCAGCCGGCAGTGTATTATTGTGTACGGTGTACTCCGTATTGTCCAATCGTGTCGCCTGCTGGTGGCGGCTGGTGGCGGCTGCAGCGCTGCGCCCACACCTTCCTCCTCCACTGCCACGGCATCATCGTCTAGATGACGCTGATCTGCCTGCAGGTGCTGGCGGTGCTTGTCCTCCGTGACGACGTCGACTTACTCTGTGCTCCTCTCCTAGAGTACGAGTACCGGTACGTACTATAGAACAATAGCAACAATAAGTTTTTCTTGTCCTGTCTTGTCTCTACTTCTCTTCGTCCTCTGTTTTCTGTTGCTTCCTTTCGCTACCTGAACTATCATTACTTTCATTTTCGTTCGCCGCCCATTGCTGCACCACCGCACTTCACCCTTCATGTCCCCGGTACGGCTTATTTGACACCCGTTTCCTTGATTGCGATTAGAAGAGAAGGCGAAGCAGGAGTGAAGTCAAGGGATTTTTTCTTAAAGCAACATCTGCCCACAGTCCTTTCAGCTCCAGCATGAGATCCTCTATTGCTGCTGTCGTTGCCCTCGCCGCATTCACCACTCCTCTAATATCCGCCATCCGTCTGGCTCCTCGCTCCGCAGCCCCAAGTGTCCTCAGCCTGCCCATCGAAAGGAGAGCCCCCAAAGACATCCTCGCGCACGACCGGTCCCGCCTGAGAAAAAGAGCAGGCACCGTCGAGCAGACGTTAGACAACGAACAGAGTTTGTATTATGCGAATGTCACTCTCGGCACGCCTCAGCAATCTATTCAGTTACACATCGACACAGGCAGTTCGGATTTGTGGGTGAACACGGCCAATTCCTCCTTCTGTTCCTCCCGCTCTGGTCCTTGCGAAGGCGGCACCTACGACCCCACCGCTTCCTCCACCTACAAGCTGATCAACGAAGACTTCAACATTTCATATGTCGACGATTCAGGCGCCTCCGGAGACTATGTCGCCGACACCCTCCACTTTGGCGGGGTGGCCTTGACTGACTTCCAATTTGGCATCGGCGAGGTCTCCAGCTCCCAAGAGGGCGTCCTGGGCATTGGCTATGTCTCCAACGAGGTCCAAGTCAATCGTGCAGGTCTTGATTCCTACCCCAACCTGCCCGAAGCCCTGGTCAATGCCGGCAAGATCGCCTCCAATGCCTACAGTCTGTGGCTAAATGATTTGGACGCCTCGACGGGTCAGATTCTCTTCGGCGGTGTCAACACAGCCAAGTACGAAGGGGACCTAGCCACCGTACCCATCATTCAGAGCTACGGCGGCTATTATGAGCTCCTAGTCGCTTTGACAGGCGTGTCCATTGCTGGCACCAACCTGTCATCGTCCAGCGCCCTGCCAGCAGCCGTCCTTCTCGACTCTGGCGCCACACTCACCTACCTCCCCGACGACATCGCCGAAGAGATATACAACCAAGTCTCAGCGGTCTATTCGTCCAGCGTCGCCGCCGCTTACGCCGACTGCAGTTTGGCCTCGTCCAATGCCACCCTTGACTTTACTTTCTCGGGCCAAACCATCAAGGTCCCCTACGACGAGTTGTTTCTCGACGCCGGCACCAATTCGAACGGGCAACCTTTGACCTTCCAGAACGGCGCCGAAGCCTGTCTCTTCGGCATCGCCCCCGCCCAAGGATCGACGCCTGTTCTGGGTGACACGTTCTTGCGTTCCGCGTATGTCGTCTACGATCTGGCCAACAACGAAATCTCTTTGGCCCAAACAGTCTTCAACTCGACTACCGACGATATCCAAGAAATCTCAAAGGGATCGGACTCTGTTCCCAATGCCACCCCGGTTGCGAATCCCGTTACAAACGTTGCAGCCGGCACTGGTGGCGCACGCCTCGGCGGTGCCACAGCCACCGTTACAGGGTTTGCCAACTCTGCGGGCAATTCGGCACCATGGGGCAAGGGCACCGCCCACGGCGCAGCGCTAGGAACCGTCCTTGCTGCTCTTGCTGGGGTCGCTGCGGTGCTGTAGGCATACGTTGGTTAGACTGACCTGGACTTGTACATACGAGTACATACCCCATCGGCAAAAGAAATTTGCGGCCTGGAAACACACGGATGAACAGAACCGGCCGGACGAGGGATAGAAATAACGAATCATGACATTATTGCAAGGGCAGCATTGGATCGGTGTTTTCCTGTTGTTCAAGCGTTGACTTGGACTTGGGGTGTTGATCACATGCTTTGCATGGCGTGGACTGGCGTGGAATATACGGAGCCGCATTTTGGGAGGTTCCATCTGGAACCGAGCTGTTTAGGCCTTCTAGCAGAAGCTGGGCCAAGACACCATCAGTATCAAAGTGCTGGGCATGCTTGAACAGGCGAACAGCAAACGGTCATAGGCACAAAACCCTCGAATGCCACGGTCGTCGCCTCGCTCTTGAGAGCACTGGACAGACATGTAGCTCCTGCAATGTAAATAAACCAGGACTCGAAACCAATATGTCGTTTTCATTTCTCTAGCGTGTCTGCGATTCCACTTTATATGTTTATACCATCGCTTTCGGACTTTTCCCATTCATCGAGAAGTCATTGGGGACCTCAATTAACTCGTCGCCGCCCCTACAATCGGTTTGGAGCTCCCCACCCGAATGCCCTTGGACGTGAATGTGTGTTGCCGGATCGGATTGGCATTGGGGCTCGGATGGGGAGTGGCATCAGGACTTGACCGGCCCGATCCTGAACCGGACACCGACCCCGAATCTCGACGGTCTTCGCTTTCGTCGTCTGTGTACTGCGCCCGCGCTCTATCTCTATTGCGGTAATGCGGCGGGGACTGGAGATGCGGCGCAAGCTCTCGGCCCGTTGCTTCTGATGATCCTCCACCTCCCTCGCCTCGGCGAGCTGACGGTGAGGGTGGAGACTCCACCGGTGACGGATTGCTCTTCGACATTGTGTCGCTTGAGCGTGCATCGAAGAGTTCCTGGTCTAGCTTTTCCTCCCCCTGTTTCCGGGACCTTGCAGTCACCGCATCCAGCACCGACTCATGCGCTCCTCGGGGAGCTTTTGGAGCTTTTGGAAGCTTGTAGTACTGTTCGACCAAGGTCATGAACGTTGTTGGAGATGACGCTGATCTGGGCCGGCTGTCATGTTCATCTCGATATTGTCTCTCGCGCAGTCGCTGGGCGAATGACTTGGCCTTGGGTGTGTGCGGCGTGTCATTTGCGCCGTCATAATCCGAATAGCCGGCCTCTTCCACTTCGGGCCATGTCGAGTTGAAGGTGCTCTCATTTTTCTGCTTTCTGTGCAAATGTGCAGTATCGGCGATGGAAAGAGCGAGATTTCTGGAGGTGCCATTCGAAGTGTGGCCTAGCGCGTAATCACGCAACGCATTCAAGACGTGTGGGAAAACATGAGTATGGACATCTTTTCCCCACAAGAGATCCAGGTGTTCGTAATGTGGTACCTCCGTCGCAATAGTGTGCCGTGGTAGTTCTCTCAGCATGATTCTGATATCTACCAATGAATCACTCCCACCATACACCAAAACAATTGGGGTTCTGATGTTGCGCGTGGGGAACTTGGCCACTTTGTAGTACCGGTTGCGGGCTCCTATACTGAGCTTGCTCGAAGAATCGTCATCGTACATTTGAAACGACCTGTTGCGAATGATCTGGAACCAGTGTACCACTGACTTCGTGCTGGTGAAGCTATAGAGATGAGGGTAGGCGGCGAGCTTCTGTTGCAGCGAGATGTTCCGCCCATACCACGCGAAGAGGAATGAAAGCGACATATCGATCAACCGGACAAAGATGGGTGGGTACAGGATAGACTGCCACATGGTGGCTGAAGACAAGATGGATTTCCGACCGAACGCCAGGAACAGGACATCAGGACTCGTCTTGATCAAGGCATCAACAATGCCATTGCTCAGACCGGCAGGCGACATTGCGGGAGCTAACGCCACAAAGACGTTCACTTTGTCGTTCAGGCCTGGATGGATTGAGAGAGTTGCAAAGGCTTGTGCAGTGCCCTGGCTGAATCCGATGTAAGACAGCGAGGTTTGAGATGTCGTGCTAAGAACATAATCAATGGTATTAGGAATATCATGGAAGGCGAACTCATCCATGGAGAAATTCCAGAAGTCAGGAGATGTCGGTGAGGCCTTTGTCGATTTCTTGCTGTATTTGTTGCCTCGATTGTTGCCCAGCCAGACATCATAGCCTTGACTTGCTAGGGTGAAGGGGAGACATCGTTCTTCTTCCGTCAGACACACCCAGACCTCGCTGTTCATGAGAAGGCCATGGTGCAGGTATACCACTGGCTTCTTTATAGAATCAGGTCCAGCGTTGACCCGCACCCCGGTCTCTTCTTCTCCCTTCCGGAACGGCAACCTGTGTACACCGAGCAGGTATCCATCTCCGGTTTGCACGACATGTTCTTCGGCATAGTATCCAAACAAGGCGCAGAGCTCGGTGAAGTCGGAACAGGTGGCGATAGAACTGTAGATGGACTTTTGTTCCGACCTGGCTTGTCTCGACTTTGGAGACGACAGACGGTTGAATAGATTCTTGGAGGTGTTGTAGCAGAAGCGAATGACGGGTTGTGCTGCGACGCTTGTGAGACGGAGGAATGAGATGGGCCCGAACATACTCACGAAGTCCGAGGGTGATGCAGCGCACCAGGACCTCCAAAGCGACGAGGATGAGAGATCCAAACAGAGCCAGGTACTCTCGCCTACAACGTCAAGAGTTAGTACAGGGCAACCATACATTAGAATACGAGAGGGTGCCCACCAAAAGAGCCTGCCAATAAAGGGGACCCTGGCCATGATGGCCAAAGGAGATGCCAGGAGATGAGGAAGGAGGAACGTTGACGGCAGATGGGTAAGGTCAAGCTAGCTGGACATCGGAAGCCATTGTCGGATAGAATATGGAAGTCCAATGGACAGGGGCAGAACAGTTCCAGGCTGGTTCGAAGTAGGTGGGCGGCACAGGAGAGCACATGCTTGAATCGAGCAACGATTAAGTGTTGGGCGACGAAGGACGAATGTGAATGCACCGCAGGGCTCAAGTTAACGTCATGAACTGCTAGCAGCCTAATAGCATTCTCCCAGGAGGATTAGAGCCACTAGCGCCATAATTCTGGCTTGGACCGGAAACTACTCCGAGGACACTTTCACGTGACTGCATTTTGCCAACCACCACGCATAATTATTTTCTTCCTCGTTTTTGTTTCCCTCCTTTCTCTCTTTTCTTCATGAACAACGCAAAAACACAACCTTCCTGCAAAAGCGTTCCTACGAGGTAGCTTTACAGTGCCCATGATGTACGGAAATCGTCTATTGGAATGGAGATCAACAACAATGGCCGATCTTGGGTGCAGTGCTAGTCACCTTCTTGGGCATGACTAGGATTGCAATGATTGACCACACATCCTCACGATACAAGTGAGATGCCTCTTTTCCATTCTACTCGTAGTCTAAGATTCATACTGTTGTATCTTAGAAATACAAATACATTCTCCCAGGGGGTTATGGGTATCACTACCGTCTGGCTACCTACCTACTTATGCAGCTGCTACTTGCTCTCAAGCCACTCTTCAATCCGGTCAACAATGTCTGCTTTCTTGCCCGCTGTCGAGATCTTCTTCGATGCACAAAAGGTCTTCAACTGCGCAACATTCAATTGCCCGATCCGGCCCTGCTGCCACAGCTCTCGGATCTTTTCCTCGCTGGTCGGATCGCCCACCTCTGATTTGACCTTTTTGGTGCCGGCACTCGAAGTAGCTGCAGGGTCATTTGTAGCGCGCTTTGAGCCCGTGCGGACCGCATCAGGATTCTCGGCTTGGTACTGCTTGTACGCGTCCTCCAATCTTCTTCCCCACTCTATGGTCTCATGCCCAACCCTCTTGTCAATTTGTCTGTACTTCGGGACCGTCTTGTCGTCTGGCTTTTCGGGGATATCTTCATCGAGGGCTAAGGCTTGGAGAATACGATAGTGCCATTGCAGGCTAGGATTAGGATACTTTGACGGGTCATAGATGCCCTTCGGTAGATTCAGCTGCTCTGATTCGCTCTCATCAGCTGCTGTCAAAATCCCAAGGTGTTTGATGGCAGACTTACGGATGATAGGCCTCATAGCATCGACAAGGTCGTCTGGCGGGCGTAAAGGGTGCTGATGTGTTGTAGGTGGGTTCTGCCTGATATCATCTGCGAATGGCAGAGGGATCAAGTGCAATCCTTGAGGAGCGCCAGTGGCAGACACGCCGGCCACATTTGCCTTGTCGTCGGTCGCTTCGGCGGGAAGAGTAGGGATCATGGCAGCCATGACAGGGGTGGCGTTTCGTCTCGGGACAAACCATGTGAGGGCGAACAGCTTGTCTTTCACGAGCTTGTGGTGCAACGCGCCATACACACGCGTACTACCAACATAATCTTCTTCAGATGGATAGATGAAAGTCGAGTTCTTGATATTCGCCCAGAGCGGCAATCTCGACATGGGCTTAAAACCGATGGTTCTGATTATTGGATCCCCGAAATTGCGAAGTTGTTTGACTTCTTCGTCGGAAAAGGTGATTTGCTGTCCCCCGAATGTGTAGGCCTTGCGAATCTCGGTCTTTTGAACAGGTTTGGAATTTTCGAACGCGACTTGCTCAGTGTATCCAGTCACAATCTGAGGCCGTTCTCCACCCAGATAGATATAACAGCTACGGGCGGGCTTTTGGTGCTTGTACAGCAGATAGCCTTTGACGGAAATTCGAAACCCCGGAGCCAGCTCGAGGGGCACCGAAGAGAACAGGGCCCGTTTGGGTGTGACCTTGGATGCTATATTGGACAGCAGCGACTGCAGCAGAGAAATGCCGTCGTTGGAGCCGGTCACGAGTTTTGAACCAGTGCCATCAACCATGGAAGCTGGATTATATGCAATAGCCTCTGGGTCGGAAGGTGATGACTTGTAGATGATGTCGTCGAAAAATAGCGACGTGTCAAAGGGGTATTCTGGCGTCGAGATGGGGAATAATTCGATGGTGACACCCAAGTCGTACAGATCCTTGGCTCTCACAGTTGCCTGCGAGCGAGAGCCCTTGTTAGAAGAGGCTGGGTCGTCGTTATCTGTGACGATGAAGAGCCGCCTTGAGGTGAAGTTGGCCGCCTTGTGCTGGAAGATCTGATTGGCGCAGAACAGAACATTGTGCATCAGTACCGGTTCTCTCGATGGCTTGAAAATGTCGGCAGATTCTGGGGAGTCGGCCTCTGTCAGCTCCTTCAGCGCTTTCACGTCTTCGGCTTCCGGGACATCCAGGTCTATGAGTAGATAGCAGTGTGGAAAAGACCAGCCACCCCGGGAGTTCTCGTCTTCGTCGTAAAACTTGGAAGCCTCCGTGCCATAGAGCAGAACCCCCATTTTATCTCGAGGTGTCGAAATGATGCGTTGCTGCATCAGATGATACGCACATTTCAGAGCAGCCAGGAGGGGAGAGCTCCGGTCGCCCTTCTTCGAAGAAGACACCGGCGGCACTTTCAACATTGATTCGTTCACTTCGATGGCGAAGAGCACGGCGTCTTTGACCGTCTTATAGCCGCTCTCGTCGACTTCCTCGTCCTCGTCTTCATTGTCGCCGGTTTGCACATCTTCAGTCGGGCCTCCCTTCGATCTGAAAGTCAGATCAGGAGCCATGCTGTCTACGCGCCGAAAGCGGATGGGGTGTTTGGTGATTTGTCTGTCATTCGACACTGGAGCACCATCAAACAGTCAAAGAATGACCTCCCGCGGTGACGCAACTCAGTCAATGGCGGAAAGGCAGCAGAGTCGCGTCCAGGCCGCAGGAGAACACGAAGTCACGTGGTGGACCAAAGTGCGAAATATAAAGAATATGAGTGGCCAGTATCCGTAGTTACTCCGTGCGCCGTATGTGACAGCTACTACTATGGAGTACGGAGTATGGATACTTGGTCGTCCTTTGCCTCCAAGACCACACCACACCGTCATCGTCATCGTTTACTCTTTTGTCGGCCAGATATCTTACATTACAGCAGCAAGAAAGTCAACCCAGGTGGAGATATAATCGGTCCATCATCATCTTTCTTTCCCAGTATCCTACCAGCAATCGCACCCTCGCCCAACCCCCGGTCAATGGCTCGGTAGACAGAAGTAATGCGCACCCTCCCTCCCACAATGTCGATGCGTACTTCGGCAGCCTACCTCACTCGCCACCTACCACTTCGCTCTACACTCCGACCAGTACCCAGTTTGCTGGGTCCCCATGGCCTCCAAAGGTCTTCCATGGCCACTGTCGCCCCTCCGGTGACGCAAAATTCGGTTGACAAGAAGGGCCCGACTGCGATCGTGTTCCTGAACATGGGCGGCCCATCCTCAACAGCAGAAGTAGGAGATTTTCTCAGCAGGTTATTTGCGGATGGTGACTTGATTCCGTTGGGACGACTACAATCATATCTTGGGCCGTTGATCTCACGCAGAAGAACACCTAAGATACAACAACAATACGCAGAAATAGGCGGTGGCTCTCCAATCCGGAAATGGTCAGAGTATCAATGTACCGAAACGTGCAAGATCCTGGACAAAATTTCACCAGAGACCGCACCTCACCGACCCTATGTCGCCTTCCGCTACGCGGATCCCTTGACCGAGCAGATGTACGAACAGCTTCTGAAGGATGGGTTTGGCGGTGGTAACGGCGGTCGGGCCGTGGCATTTACGCAATACCCCCAATACAGCTGCTCTACAACAGGAAGTTCGCTGAACGAACTGTGGAAGTGGCGAAACCGGCTTGAGAACAAAAGAGTCCCGGGAGAGAGTTCCCCAAACGGTGCCATCACCTGGAGTGTAATTGACCGATGGCCAACGCATCCTGGACTGATCGAAGCCTTCGCAAGGAATATTGAGGACAAGCTTGCGGAATATCCCGAAGAGCGCAAGAAAGACGTGGTGCTTTTGTTTTCAGCACACAGCCTTCCGATGAGTGTAGTCAACCGCGGCGACCCATACCCTGCCGAAGTCGCCGCAACGGTGTATGCTGTCATGCAAAGGCTCAAGTTTTCCAACCCATATCGACTGTGTTGGCAGTCCCAAGTGGGACCTTCTGCGTGGCTTGGTGCTCAAACAAGTGACACCGTCAGATCCTATGTTGAACGTGGCCAGACAGATCTAATCCTGGTACCGATTGCCTTCACAAGCGACCATATCGAGACTCTCTACGAATTAGACAAGGAGGTGATGCATGAGGATGCGAAAGGCCATCCAGGCGTGAAGCGCGCGGAAAGCCTCAACGGGAATGAGACTTTCATCCAAGCTTTGGCAGATATCGCCCATGCCCATCTTCAGAGTGGTCAAAGCTGCTCTCCGCAGATGGGGTTGCGATGTCAAGGCTGTAAGAGCGAGAGATGCCTGGAGCAGAAGAAGTTCTTTGCCGGAGAACAGGCCCAGATTCTTCCAACTGTACGATAAAAAGGAGGCGAGACAAAATCGTTTGTATTAGTCAAGAAAATAATGATTCCTCGCTCTTACTGCGTGCTATAATTTGCCGTTCGCGCGATACTGCAGTGGTAATTCTCAAGTGCAAGAGGAGTTGTGTTGATCTCCTCGTACACATACCCCCTTCTCAACGGTGGCATTGTAGATCGGTGCAAACAAGGGTTAGTGATGCTGCTACAGGTATCAAGCGACAGGCATGGCGTATGACCGTCATGGATTGCACCACGTCCTACATCTGAGACGCGAGTTTGAATCCAATAACAGGGGGGCTCCGGGGTCTTCCCGACCCTGAAGTCGACATGCAATAGGACGAACGCTCGCCTACGATCCCCCTTCTTCCGGTAAGTTGCAGCGTACGGAGCAGACAATAATAATGTTTACGGAGCACGGAGTACACCACGCACCCAACGTAGATTACGTCAAGACCAACTATCGATCCATCAGATCTACATACATTCATTGATAACACCGAGTAGCAGCTATCGCCTGAGAGTTGGGGGTCTTCTCTCATCCTTTCACTACAGCTGGGAGTCTATCCTCGTCCATTGACTCTAATTCACTGAGCAGATGCGATAGCACGATCTCTCCTCCCAGTCCAGTCCATCCGTCCCCGGCTTCCAAGGCCAATCCGCCCTCCGACCCTGATCCCCCTCTGCGAGCGAGACGATGGATCCTGAAGAGGTCTTTGCAGAGGAAGCGCAAGAGGAGGCGCTGCTGTCGGAGACGACACCTCATACCCCAGACCTCGAGACACATTTGCACGTCGGGAAGGGCGATAAGCAGTCGGAGGATGAGAACAGCCCCTTGATAACTTCGCGTCGTCGACGGACGCACCAGGTGCCATACACCAGGGCTAGGTCGAGTTATGAAAGAGCCATTAGCGAGCCCTGGAACGGTGCTCATGGATCAACAGGCCAAGCTTGGTACAAGAAGCCTTCGGTATGCTTGTCACTGCCTCCTCGCATACTGGACGGTCGCGCTCATGGTCTTAGATTTTATGGCTGCTGCCTGCCTTCTTCCCATACTGCATCGCTTTTGGAGGTATCATTGTTCCGAAAACATATCTGATCCTCGACCTCATTTGTCAGGGATATCTATCGGATCGAGCTGCACAGGACCCCAACTTCAAGTTCCTTCCCGTGCTTCTAGGGGCGGAGAACCCGCAGTGTAGAGATCCTCATGTACAGTCGCTCGTGGCCAAGTTCAACTTATACTACAGCCTCCTGTCAGGCGTTTTTTCTGCTCTCACAGTACCTCACCTCGGGGCTCTCTCTGACCGCGTTGGACGGAAGAAGGTCATTGTGGGCGCATCCGTGGGCGCCGTTGTCGCCGAGATCATCACAATCATCGTCGGCACATATCCCCACCAAGTATCTGTTTATTGGATATTGCTTGGGGCTCTCTTGGATGGCCTTTGCGGCTCTTTCACATCAGCCATGGCGTTGGCGTTTGCTTATGCCTCTGACTGCTCGACTCCGGAGCGACGGAATGTCGCTTTTGGCTATTTCCACGGCACACTTTTCACCGGCATCGCTCTTGGCCCAATTCTGGCGGGATGGCTGATCAATCTCACCGGCACCGTCCTCACGGTCTTTTATGTGGCACTGGCATGCCACTTATTTTTCATTCTCTTCGTTTCGTTCGTCGTCCCAGAGTCTTTATCGAAGGAGCGACAGCTTCTAGCCAGAGAGAAACGCCGCACTGCAAGACTTCAGTCACCACACAAAGATTGGCTTGCTAGGCTGATAAACTACAACCTCTTCGAGCCACTTTGGGTACTCCGACCTACGGGCGAGGGCTCTAGCTCCCAGCTGCGGAGGAATCTGTTCGTTCTTGCTGCCATCGACACCATGATGTTCGGCGTGGCTATGGGTACCATGCAGATCATTATCATCTATGCTGAGTATCGCTTTGGCTGGACCGCGGTGGATTCAAGCGTGTTCCTTTCCGCCGTCAACGTCTGTCGAGTATTGGGTTTGATTGTTATACTACCCCTTCTCACACGAATCTTTCGTGGGCCGGCCCGGGAAAACTCAGCCGGCCATAAGGGCTCGGACATGCTTGATGTCAATATCATACGCGGCGCGGTCGTGTTTGAGCTTGTTGGATATATCGGATTCGCGCTCACTCCATCTGGCGCGATCATGGTCATCTCGGGTATGGTGGCGGCGCTCGGTGGAATTGGTTCACCCACCCTACAGTCATCCCTTACAAAACACGTTCCAGCGGATCTCACCGGACAGGTTCTTGGGGCATCAGGTCTTCTGCATGCCCTAGCGCGTGTCGTGGCTCCCACAGTCTTCAACCTCATCTACAGCCAAACCGTGGGGGTGTATGCAGGTATTGTCTTTGTTTGCTTGGCCTCGATCTTTGTCATTGTCTTCATCTTCAGCTGGTTCTTGAGACCCAATGGTACGTGCTTCAGCCATCGATGCCAACTGTCCCCGCATGGCTCCTAACCTTCTCTAGTCTACCTGACCGAGCGCTCCAGTGTTGATCACGGAGAAGAAGATGGCGCAGACATTGCCGAATCTTCTTGACTGTTTGATTTTATGTATCTACGGCGGCGTGGTGTGGCTCAGGATGTAATCCACACGATATAGCGTTGCGAGTCATGTACATTCGGCTATTATTTTGCACTACTTGCAGCATTTAGAAGCATGTTGACATATAGAATACGAATACCTCTTCATGATGGCTACTCCTCAAGAGCAACCAACCGAGACTCATGTCAGATCCCAATACCCAATGCTAACTAAATGAAAAGGACAGATCTGCACCCTCTTTCTCACCTTGACTTCCCAAAGTGGCCGTGATGTTGAGGACCAGTCACCCTCGGTTAGCCGATTGAACTCCAATCATGCAGGTACGTCCATTCTCCAAAACGCTCCTCTCACCGGGATCGAGTATTTCAGTCAAGCTCTCACACACACTGTTCAACCTTGGCTTCTTTCTTGCTCATACAACTTGACCTGCCAGTGGCAAACCGAGCCAACTCCTCCACCACCTCTCTGGCTTCTTACTGCGCTGAACCACATCTGTGAACCCCCTTGACCGCTTCCCGTTGTTGTGTCGTCAAGACGAGTGGTTTGGAGTCCGCCAGGATCTCTAGCAATCTCTCTGCATCGTGGACGTCTCTGTCTTTCTGCCAGCTTGTCCGATTGAGTCCACAGCTGAAGATCTTGAAGACCAACAGGTCTGTAGGAGAAATGTACGGGATTTCTCTCACCATGCTGATTGGTGTTGCCGCATCCGGTATGTAAGAGAACATGAAAGAAGTTAGTCATTCGTACACTATAACGGGACATTTGCACTGACCTGCCACTCCAGTATGAAATCCATCTGAATGGCATTCTTCGGATACGGCGGATCTTTATCGTCAGGAGTTTGAGTCGCTGGTGCCAGAGGCCAATTAGGATCGTAGACGAATTGACCTGGCCACTGCCGAAATGCCCTCTCCGCGGCGGCGTGAAGTCTTTCCTTTGCGTTACATCCGGTGATGAAGTCAATATCCTGCTTTTGTGTCAGTCTGTTTGATTCCAGCCGCGCATATCAGACATACATGGCTTCGACGGTAACACTTGGTGTGTTTCATGACAGCCATGCCCCCAACTACGGCTATTTTTGCATTTGAGAATTCAGGGATTTGTTGAAGATGGTGGATGGCATCTTGAGCTGCCCACTCCAGCTTTGCTAAAACTTGAACCATCTTGGAGAGGTGTGATGATGAGTGTCTTATGGAACAAAATGTTGAAAGATTGTACAGAATGCGAACTGTGGGACAGAATATCCTTACATATTCTTATAGCTTGACTGCATTGCCTCCAGCTCTTGGAATCAAACAAACCACAGTCCTGGTTCAAAGAGGTGTTTGGCCTGGGCAATCTACCACTGGTCGTTCTTTGTTTCGGTCGGCAGCGAAATCGTGACCACATCACAAAACAAAGTCAGACGCGAAGGACCAAGAGAAAACAACCGACGGAGAAACCCTGGCGGCAGCACTGATCATCTCTTTTGTCATATCTCCGGATCAATCTCTCTACAAGTCCTGAAGGCAATCGGCCACGGTTGAGAGGCAGTGGTAGATCATGTCTGGCCTATACTTGGAGGCTCCAGCTGCACCCGAGCTCTTGCAGTCACTTTCCATCTATCGGCTTTACCGTTGCCAGGAGACATCAGACATGTCTGAGATCCCGGTACACCAAAGTCCTCTTTGGCAACAATACATTGCCCTACTTTTGGCGCGTGCTTCGCCCTCCTTGGGAATTCATGCCACTGCGAAACAATTGGTATGATATCCAGGCCAAATGAAGCCAAATCAACCATGGCATGCAGACAACGATCGGGAAAGCGAAAAAACCGGAGATCTCATCATCCTTTATTGGGTGTCTCATGATAGCGACGCTTGCGCTACCAGACGGAGCTTCACTCTCTCCAAATCATCGGCTGAGCTGTAAATTGACAAATTCATTTTGACAGGATATAGGATTGAAATGTGGGAGAGCACCAGCAAACATGCTCCATGGACTAGGGTGCCCTACGGTCATGTCAAGCTGAATCGATTTCGCATTTAGGACGCTCTTGGAAATTGGTCATCTTTCCACCTCAGAGTGTATGCATGGCTGAGAGACTTTTAAGGCCCAAGCGCGAATGGTTCCAAGCCTCTTCTAGATTGAATCAAATGACGGCACCCTCCCTGGACGGATCAAGTGTTGATGTTGCCAGATTTGGACGCGTGTATTTCAACCGAGCCTGCTGCCGAGACTGGGGATCCAGGGCCCCTGTAATTGAACCAGAAAAGGTTGTCGTGGTTTGAAAGACCGAATCTGTGTAATCAATAGGGTTCCACAGAGTGGCAGGAGACAGGTAAAGTCGTACACGTGAAAGTCGTCACTCGGCTGGCATCTAGGCTCTATCTTTTGTTCAGTGAGTGGTGGGAAGGTGGAGGTGGCTACCTTGTGAGTAAGAAAACCAGATGAGCAGGTGTCAAATCAGCTCGATCGGAGTGAAGACTAATAGTTCGTCAGTTGGTAGAACCGCGGGGTTTGAAAAGATGCGGTTCAACTGGCCATCTTCACCGTGCTATGGAGGTTCAAGGTTGAAATGTTCCATGTTGTCTATCAAAGGGGTATAGGGAGAGCCCCGACTATACAGGCGTGCCTACACCAGCCTTCTGCTTAAAGGGCAAGGCTGGGAATGCCCAAGTTAGTGCCTAGGTTTGACAATGGAACCATTCTACCCACCGAAAAGAAGAAAGGGGGCATCTACCAGATTTACGGCCTCCACTTCAAGTCTCACAGTGAACGACATCGCATCCATAGGGCTTGTTTAAGTCCTGTACCTCTTTATCTTAGTTGCATGTCTTCTCTAATCAATCTAACTAACTAATTTCGAGAGGTTACAACCACCGTACGATACCGTCCGCCGTCTCTGGCCCCGTCCGCATTCACACAAGAGGCGGTTTCAACTCGTTCTGGGACTTCAGAATGTCCTCAAGTTTTTTGAACATGGCCAACTTCGATATGCATTTACCATCGGCGTTGATGTCCTCGGCCGGGGTAAGGCCAGTGGAGTTTAGCCAGCGCATTAGAGGTCGAAACTCCGGCTTAAGATCCTTCTGACTGTCCAGGATGTCTGACCTATCCACGTATTCTGCCATATACCCATACAGAATATCCCAGGCATAGTCGACTTCTTCATCACGGAAGGATAGTTTGATGACAGCCTCTGTACCATACGCCGGGGTAGGTATGCGGACAGGGTGCAGGTCAGGCGCAAATCCGGTCATTCTCCCGACCCCTTGTTTTGTATGAGGGAGTAGAGGGTCTGAGGCAAACATCAATTCTCCGTTGGATCGGTCTACCTCGAAACTCGACAAGTTCCAAAGCGTTTCCGACTTTTTGAAAAGAGAAATGACTTCGAAGTCGTCTCTGTGTAGGTGCGCCGGTGGAACCGGCCAATATTTCCGTGAGGTTTTATCACAGAGTCTGCAGTCGGCAAACTGGCTACATTCGGGAAATCCGGCTTCGCGAAGAGCTTCATAGGCGGTAGATATCTTGTCGTCGGGCACAATGAAGTCGGCTGACTAGAGTATAATTAGACCATCATACACAGCTGAGCAGTTTCGATAGACATACCCAGTAAACAGTAGGAACTCCGTAGAGCGTCAGCAAATACTCGCTCCACAATATACTGGGGACACCAGCTTCGTCGAGAGTCTGTGATATCCCTGCAAAGAGCTCGTCACACAATCCTTCGCCTTTGAACTTGTAGCCAGGCATTTTGAGGGAGGATTTTAGACAGTGTTTGTAGATGGGATTCAGGTCGAGGCTTGGGTGGCTCGCACCTCGACATAGTATATATACCTCTCCCTCTCTCTCTCTCTCTCTCTCTCTCTCTCTCTCTCTCTCTCTCTCTCTCT